CCTGGAACTCACCCTGTAGACCAGGCTGGCCTGAAACTCAGAGACCTGCCTGCCTCTGCCTCCCAAGTGCTGGGATTAAAGGCGTGCGCCACCACCATCCAGCCAGTTTTTAATTTAATTTTTAAAATTATTTTATTGCATGTGCATTGGTGTTTTGCGTGCATGAATGTCTGTGTGAGGGTATCAGGTCCCCCGGAACTGGAGTTACAGACAGCTGTGAGCTGTCAGGTGGATGCTGGGAATTGAACCCAGGTTCTCTGGAAGAGAAGTCAGTGCTCCCAACCACTGAGCCAGCTCTCCAGCCCCTTTAATTTAATTTTTATTATGTTTATTATATGAGGAAAAGGGAATGCCCTGTGCCACAGATTGTGAGTAGAGGTCAGAGGACAATCGGGGGAATTGGTTCTCTCTCACAGATCAAACGCAAGGTGTCAGGCTTGGCAGCAATCACCTTTAGCCACTGAGCCATTTTGCTGGCCCAGCAAACTAGTAGGCTGTTTTCTTAGAAATTAATTTCAGTTTGCATTAATTTCTTTGCAAATGGCTCTGAAGTCTGTGCTCTTAGCCTCCTTCTCATTGCCAGTTACGATTTCTGTCTCCAGGTGCTGCTACATACAGATTATCGTGGGAGTCTTGTCATTACCATAAAGCCAACTTTTCTAAATTTCAATTATTTTTTCCTAAGACTGCCTTAGTCTTTCCTAACACCATCTTAGTCAGTATTCTATTGCTCTGAAGAGACACCATGACCATGGCAACTTTTATGAAAGAAAACATTAAATTTGGGGCTTGCTTACAGTTTCAGAGGTTTAGTCCATTATCACCATGATGGAAAACATGGTAGCATGCAGGCAGGTACTGTTGCAGTAGTTGAGAACTACATCCTGATGAGAGGGCAGAGAGAGAGCCTGTTCCTGTCAGGGACTTTTGAAATCTTGAAACTGACATTGAGAGACACACTTCCTCCAACAAGGCCACACCTACTCTAACAAGGCCACACCTACTCTAACAAGGCCACACCTACTCTAACAAGGCCACACCTACTCTAACAAGGCCACACCTCCTAATTCCTAGTCCTTTGAAATAGTCCACTCCCTGGTGACTAAGCATTCAAATATATGAGCCTATAGGGGCCTGCCTTTATCTATCCATCCATCCATCCATCCATCCATCCATCCATCCATCTATCTATCTATCTATCTATCTATTTTCTGAGAGTTTCTTAGGTAGCCCTGGCTCTCCTGGACCAAGCTGGCCTCGAACTCAGAGATTTACCTGCCTCTGCCCCAGAGTGCTGGGGTTAAAGATGTGTGCTACCACTGCCCAACATGGGGCCATTCTTACTCAGCCCACCACAGACACCTTTTTTGGAATGTGCATGTCGGGGCAGCACCCCCTCCCCGCCATGTGCATGTGCATATAATGAAGTCAGTGTAGAGAGGCCTGTCCTAATGCTCTCTACCCACCCCACCCCCAAGACTGTATAGCTCTATGCTGTATAGCCCTAGCTGGCCAAGAACTCACAGATATCTGTCTGCCTCTGCCTCCCATGTGCTGGAATTCAAGGTGACCACCTAATTTTTTTGACACAGGGACTTACCTGGAAATCAGTTCAGCTACACTGTGAGCCCCAGGTTCTCCCTGTCTTTGGTTCCCTGATGGTGGGATTACGAACTTACATACCACTGTACCCAAATGATGGACTCTTATCCCTCTGGAAGCATAAGCCAAAAAAACCCCCTTCTGTAAGCACCTTGGTTATGGTGGTTTTTGTTTTTGTTTGTTTGTTTTTCGAGACAGGGTTTCTCTGTGTAGCTTTGCGCCTTTCCTGGAACTCACTCTGTAGCCCAGGCTGGCCTCGAACTCACAGAGATCCGCCGGCCTCTGCCTCCCGAGTGCTGGGATTAAAGGCGTGCGCCACCACCGCCCAGCTGGTTATGGTGTTTTAACAGAGCAACAGTATCAAGACATCTTTATAACTTGTCCATAATTATCCTCTCAGTCCCACCCATCCCTCATTCACAGAGAGATTTGTTATCTAGAACTCAGCTTCACTGACCTCATTGTACCTGAAACCTTTTTGTGTTCTCTCGCCATCTTCAAGTCTCGTTAACCTGTCACAGGAGACACCATATCAGATCACAGCCCTGTCACTTGCTGATTTTGGCAAAAACACAAAACAGTGCCTGAGGCAGGCCTAGCTCTCATTTAGAAGGCCTTTATTCTCCTGACTCTGAATCTGATGTGATGGTCATTATCTAAGGACCTGGCTTTAGGAGATGCTCAGTGAGTAGTGGTGTGCTGGGCTGAGAATGTAGCTCAGTGCTAGAACACTTGCGTAGTATGGACAAGGCCCAGGATCCTCAGGAGTGCAAAACCAAAACAAAAATGCTTATGTTGTACTTACCTGCTAGGCTTTGTACTTGACACTGCACTTGCATTAACATTTGATTCTGCCAGTGTCACAGTGGAGTAAACATTAGCTCTGAGCCTGTCACACTGAGGAGGCTGAGCTGCACACTGGGGCCTGTGTTCATTGTTTTTTATTTTGTTTTAAGACAGGGTTTCTCTCTGTAGCTTTGCGCCTTTCCTGGAACTCACTCTGTAGCCCAGGCTGGCCTCGAACTCACAGAGATCTGCCTGGCTCTGCCTCCCGAGTGCTGGGATTAAAGGCGTTCGCCACCACCGCCCGGCTTCATTTTTTTTTTTTTTTTCTTTCGAGACAGGGTTTCTCTGTGTAGCTTTGCGCCTTTCCTGGAACTCACTTGGTAGCCCAGGCTGGCCTCGAACTCACAGAGATCCTCCTGGCTCTGCCTCCCGAGTGCTGGGATTAAAGGCGTGTGCCACCACCGCCCGGCTCATTTTTTGTTTTATTTGCATGTTCATTGTTTTTTTTGGAGTAAAACTTTTGCTGTGTCTGGCCTGGTACTCACTATGTGGCCCAGGCTGTGTTAATCACACTGGGTGAGAATAAGACCACTACCATAATTTTTTAGCCAAATTTGAAGCAAGCTTTATTAAATACTGGCCAGGTCCACACCCAGGATTTGGGGAACGACTGCTTCTGGTGCTTATATAGGCAAAACCCAAAAGGTTATGTACTTCCTACCTTTGTCCATTCAGGGGCTAGCATACATCCTGATATACTGCCTGTGTATGTGTCTCCTGCCTACATGTGATCAAGCACATTCTGTTCAGTTGGAGCAGCTGTTGGTTTTAAATAATAAGCGGTGCTGTTAGTGTGCGAGGAAAGGTCAGAGGGATGACAAAACTCAGTATCAGAGCTTTATTAGGGGCAACAGAAGAGGGCATGGCCAGGCCTGGGGCAGAGACACGTGGGGGGGCGGGGAGCAGAAGAGAGTCGAGGAGTCTGTGTCCTGCTTTTTAAGGATTCCCCTGTATATGCGCAGGTGGGCTTATGGAGCTACACCACGCATGTGCTGATTGTGTGACCGCACTGTGCATTTGCACAATCATGCAGTGCACTGATAACATAAGATGTAAGACTCCTTGCTTATCTACTGAACTGCGCATATGCTGTCGTATAGTTGGAGTGGCAGAATCCTTGTTTACAGAAGTGAAAATACTGAGCTTGTTATCTTACATGAACAACAGCCCTCAGCATTCCAGGAAGTTATCTGTGCTTGGGCAAGTGGAGCTTACAGGTTAGGGGCATTTTTGTTTTGTAGATCTCTTAAGCATAGTACAGTAATTCAATTTTAGCCCTCACAGCTGGTCTCATACTGGAGTCAGTTCTCCTGCATCAGCCTCCTTGGTGCTGGAATTACAGGTTTGCGCTACCATGGTCAGTTTTTATTTGTTGTGTCATGGTCTCCATATGCTCTCAGGCTAATTCAGATTAACTCCCATGACCCTCCTCAACTCCTGAACAGGCACATACCTGTCTATTAACATGGTGTCTCCAAATGTAGTGCATAAGCCCCTGTCTTTGTGACCAGTGTGGGCAGCAACAGCAAGACTGAGAAACTTAACAAAACACCAGAGAGTATGTGTCCTTTCCCTCCCTCCTCCTTTGGGGAGTGGAGTGCTGTTGCTTTTGTTTTGAGACAGCCATACTCCTTAGGCTAGGCTGACCTGGGATTCACTCTGTAGCTGGGACTTTACTTAGCTCACAGTACTACCTCTGCCTCCTGAGCACTGGGATCACAGCCATGAGCTCTACACTGGGCTCTGAATGAACATTTCTTCAACCTGGCTTCCCACCATACCTCCTGGGAGCCTTTCCTTTCCCCTGGTCTTTTGGTTTCTGCTTTTTCTACCTTTCATAGTTGAGGCAGAGCTGGAGGAGCCTCAGGAGTGCCCATAGTCTATGCTAAGGATGGAGGCATTTTTGAGTCTTAACTCCAAGGCTTTGCCACTGTACTGTTGTCTGTTGTTGAAAGGACCCTGAAGGTAGAGGTGGCATCATGTGTTCACTGATTAGCATGCACCAAGCACTGGTTTTGGAAGCCCCTGGGGTTTCTCAGAATAAACCCAGCATAAGGTGGGAAGATCAGGAATTCAAGGTCATTCTTAGCTACATAGCAAGTTTGAGGCCAGTTTGGGCTACCAGAGACCTCTGCCTTAAGAAAAAAAAAAATCCCATGACCCAGATAGAATGAGTCTTTGAGCTCGGAGTGGTAGCACGCACCTTTAATCTTAGCACTTGGGAATCAGGATGGTCTCTGAGTTACACAGAGTTACTCTGAGTTCCAGAACAGCCAGTGTACCTAGCAGGACCCTATCTCAAAAAAAAAAAAAAAAAGAATCTTCAATATGTTTCTGTGGTACCAGGCTGACCCAGTCCGGAAAGCACAGCCTGCATGTTGAGGTTGTTTTGGGAAAAGGGTGATGGGGAAGCTGGCCTGGCCCAGGGTACAGGAGAGCAAGAACATGCTAACTTTCTTGGGGTACTCCAGGAAAGCCCTTATGAAGTAATAGTTAACCAGGGAAAGGCAAATGTCCATAGACAAATGGAATTGTTCTCTTTTTTGAAACAGGGTATCTTGAATTCTATATTTCGCTGAGGAGGGTCCTGAACTGTTGATCCTTCTGCCTCCACTTCTCAAGTGCTAAGATTATAGGTATGAACCACCATGTTCAGTCTTCAAAATGTGGTGTATATGATGGATATCTGTTGCTGGTGGTTTTTTTTGTTTTGTTTTGTTTTGTTTTTTTTTTTGGTTTTTCGAGACAGGGTTTCTCTGTAGCTTTGGAGTCTATCCTGGATCTCGCTCTGTAGACCAGGCTGTCCTCGAACTCACAGAGATCCACCTGCCTCTGCCTCCGGAGTGCTGGGATTAAAGGCGTGCGCCACTACCGCCTGGTTGCTGATGGCTTATAGAATATAAAATCGTATTAATTAAATTTGTCACATTAAAAATCAGAACTCTAGGGCTGGGGATATAGCCCAGTGGTAAAAACACTTCCCTAGAATGCCTTAGGCCCCGAGCTTTAACCCCCAGCACCACACAAGCAGATTCATTGAATAAAGCTTAGAACTCTAGGGCCTGGAGATGAAGCTCAGTTGGTAGCGTTCCTGTCTAGCATGTATGAAGCCCTGGGTTCAGTCCTAGTATCACAGAACCAGGTGTGGGGTGCATGCCTCTCTCTCAGCATCTTAGCTTGAAGCAGGAGGAGTTTGGAAGCCAGCCTGGACTGTTTGACTCGCTCCTCATCCACCCCCCATAGAGACGGGGAGGGGGGGGGCTTTAATAGAATGGCAGCACCTTACTCGGCTACTGTTCATCCTGTTTTATTGCTTTCTCCTTTAGACTTTATGATGCATTATAGCAGTGTCCTGATTCTGAAAGTTTCTATGTGTGTGGATCCCAGAATTTACTGAGAGATGGAGGAGCCTCAGAAAAATGACCTGAACACGACAGGGCTGGAGGAAGATAGTCCCGTCAAAAGCACCGGCCCTCAGATTTCTGCTAGTGAATTTTCCTGTCATTGCTGTTATGACACCCTGGTTAACCCCACCACCTTGAACTGTGGCCATAGCTTCTGCCGGCACTGCCTAGCTTTATGGTGGATGTCTTCAAAGAAGACAGAGTGTCCAGAATGCAGAGAAAAATGGGAAGGTTTCCCCAAAGTCAACATTCTCCTCAGGTAACATTGGATGATTGGCAGCATGGATGTGCTGTATGGTTTCTCTGTGGGAACTGCAGTTTGAAAAGGAGCAGGCTTAGGGCAGATCATTCTAGGAGCTTGGAACCAAAAAACCAGACCCCTTTTCTCAGAAGTGGCCATCATCTGTCCTTCTGTTTTATTTATTTTTTGGGCAAGGTCCCACTATGTCATGCTGGCTGGCATGGAAGCTGCTGTTAGATCAGGCTGGCCTAAACTGAGAGATCTCTCTGCCTCCTGAGTTCCACTCCCATTACCCTTTCCTGTTACCCCCCTGAACCCCTCATGTTTTTCACTTTTTTGTGAGTCTCTCTCAGCTCAAGGTGGCTTCAGACTCACACTGGTCCTCTTGCCTCAGCCTACTGAGTGCTGGGATTACAGGCACAGGGCGACATGCCTAGCTGATTGTTTTGTTCTACAGGAAGGAACCAGTCAATTTCTGGTTATGACCATTGCTTGTAGTCCCCTGTTCTGGAACACATATTACTGATTTATAATATAACTATACAATTAGAAGTAACTGATGCTGATTTTCATAATCTGTAAATAAAACCTATGGTTGTCATCGCTTGGTGGGGTTTCTCTCACAGCCAGCAACAAGGCCTTTCAGATGGCCAGTTCTTCCCTGAGTCCCAGTTATTGTTTGGTTTGGTTTTGGTTTCTCTTTTTTCTTTTTTTAAGATTTATCTATTTATTTTATGTATATGACTGCTGTATTGACTTTATGCCAGAAGAGGGCATCAGGTCCCACTATAGATGGTTGTGAGCCACCATGTGGGTGCTGGGAATTGAACTCAGGAACCTCTGGAAGAGCCATCTCTCCAGCCTCTTCTTTTTGTTTTTAGGCTTATTTATATGTATGATGTTTTACCTGAATGTTTGTGTGTGCATCTTATGTGTGCCTGCTGCCCGAGAAAGGCAAAGGAAGGTGTCGAGTCCCCTGGAATTGGAATTATGATCATGAACTACCATGTAGGTTCTAGGAATCAAACCCAGATCTCTGTAAGAACAACAACACTTAACACAGAACCTTCTCTTCAGCTCCTCCTAGTTCTTATTTGTTGGTTGGGGCGGTGAGGGGGCAGGCTGTTGTTTTATGTGTGTGTGGTGTGTGTGTGTGTAGAGTTTTTTGTTTGGTTGTTCATTCGATTGTTCTTTGAGACAGGTTTCACTATAGTTTGGGACTCACAGAGGCCTGCCTGCTTCTGCTAGGATTAAAGGCATGGTGCTCCATGGGCCCCATGCCCAGCACCTCTGTTTCTACTGTTGCTTTAGCAACGAGCCCGGCCTTTCTTGGATCGGTAGAGACCATTAACCTCGCATTGGTCATAACTGTTGGCTTTGCTTTGCCTAAAGATTAATCTTACCTGGAAAGAGGACTCCCTGATTTTATGTAATTGAAAATGAAAAGAGCCCTCTGGGGGCCAGCAAGATGACTCCATGGGTAAAAGACACTTAACTGCCAGTCCTGACAACTCAAATTTAATCTCTTGGATCCACATGGTGGAAATTGTCCTCCAACCTCCAGCATGTGCCATGGAGAGAAAAATGAGAAGGTTTCCCTAAAGTCAACACATTCATAAACATACACAAAAGAAATAAATGTAATAAAAATATTTTTAGAAAGACCCCTAAATTCCCTGATATCTAGTTTGGCTCTCAGAGCTCATACAGCAGACCAGCCTGGTAAGTCAGCACTTTCCTCATCAGAGAAGCTTCTTATAGCAGACAGATGCTGCTACTGAAGTCCAAAGCTGCTGGACTTAGCAGAGAATCAGTGACTGTGGCACTCAGGTCCAGTTGATTATAACCCAACCCTACACCTAAGGCTCAGGGAAAATCATGGAAAGATTGGAGGGCCAGGATACTTGGTGTGAGTTCGTGTCTTTGAGACATGACAAAGGAGCTACAGCCATGAAATCTGAAAACTTTCTGCCTAAGCCAGACCTGAATAAACACACCACCACTTGGCAGTTGACATGCCAGTGTGGTTGGGGAAATTTCTCAAGTCTTACCCCTAGATCAAGAGCTACTGAGAGGGAGGAATCAGTGTTCTCCAGGGGCAAGCTCACTGATAAGCCATCCTATTCCCAATGGTCAGCCTTCAACACATGTATACTTGAGCAACACTAAATGGACTCAGTGGGTTTTATATATAAAACATTAATAAAGAAGTCATTAATTTATTATCTTTTTGTTTGTTTGTTTTAAGACAGGGTTCCTCTGTGTAACAGCCTTGGCTGTTCTGGAACTCATTTTGTAGACCAGGCTAGCCTTGAACTCACAGAGATCTGCCTGCCTCTGACTCATGAGTGCTGGGATTAAAGGCATGCACCACCACCTCCCTGGCAGAAGTCATTAATTTTAAGGGGAGGAATTGGAGAAGAGGGAAAGGTACAAAATGGTATAAATTCAGCATTCATATATGAAATTCTCAAAAAATTTTTAATTAAAAAGAAACTAGATTTTCCTCTGTCAAAAAATAACTATATAGAATACTGTTTCCAACTGACTTCATTTTCCATTTCTGTAAACTTTTTGTTTTTGTTTTTGTTTTTTTTTCAAGATGGGGTTTCTCTGTATAGCTTTGGATCCTGTCCTGGAACTCACTCTGTAGCCCAGACTGGCCTCAAAACCATGGTAACCGGCCCTACTTGGCCTCCTGAATGCTGGGGCTGCAAGTGTTAACAGCTGTGTCTAGATTATTGTTTATATTATTTTCCTAAGATTCAAAATTAGTAATCAAGCTAAAGACCACCCCTCCCTCACCTCAGAGTCCTTTCCTTTTTCTGCAGAGTAATTTCAGTTATGACTTAATTGTAATTTCATTCAGATTTATAAAACTTTTTTTTTCAAAACAGGGTTTCTCTGTCTAACAGTCCTAGCTGTCCTGGAACTCACTTTGTACACTAGGCTGGCCTCAAACTCACAGAGATCCACCTATGTATGACTCCTGAGTGTGGGGAGTAAAGGCATGTGCTACCACCACCCATGCCAGATTTTTAACACTTTTGAAGAGGCTAGAGAAAGAACTCAGGAGCTGAGATTACTGACTGCTTCTGCAGAGGACCTGGGTTCAGTTCCCAGCTCTAGGGATGGTGCCCATAGATCTACTCAGGCACACACCTGCACACGAAATAAGTAAATTTGTAAAACAAAACAATGCCTTTTGAAGTAGAGCATGCTGGTACAGGAAGGGGATTCAGGAGTTTAGTCATCCTCCGCTATATGGGGAATTTAAGGCCAGCCTGGGCTACATAAGACCTTATTTCAAAAAATAAAAAAATAAAGACAAATACTTTTTAATATATGTGCTGACAGAAAAATGCTAGTATTTTCCACATTAGTGTTATATTGTCAGCATGGCACTGCAATATACTGTTGTCATCCAGCATAATCCTAGATTATCGAACTTGACACAGAGTGGCCCAGTAGATAGGTACATTTATAAAAATATATAGTATTCCACTATAAGATTTCAGTATTGTTGGCCAGGCAGTGGTGGCACACGCCTTTAATCCCAGTACTCGGTAGGCAGAGCCAGGCCGATCTCTGTGAGTTCAAGGTCAGCCTGGTCCATAGAGCTAGTTCCAGGACAGGCTCCAAAGCTACACAGAGAAACCCTGTTTCGGAATAAAAAAAAAGCAGTATTGTATTTTAGGCTCAGCAGGTAGTAGTACTTGCCTCTCAAGCATGATGACCAGAGTTCAGTGATGGAGCTCCTGAAAGCTGTTATCTAACCGCTACATGCATGGCCACACTCAAAGACACATCGAACACATGTGTGCACATAATCATTGTACGTGATTCTTTTCAGTCAGTCTCACTGTATCACCAGGCTATCCTGTAACTTTCTATGTAGACTAGGCTAGTGTGGAACTCAGAGTTCTGCCCCTGGAGTGCTGGGATTAAAGGTATGTACACCACACCTGGCAATATGAGTGTGGCAAACTTCAGGGGTGGGGCTGTAGCTCAGTGTTAGAGCCTGTTGCTACCATGTATGAGGCCTTGGGTTCAAACCCCAGTACTTCCAGAAAAAACAAATCTGATGCAAATACTTCATTTCGCTGTTTTCTTAATGGTGGACACATAGATTGTTCTTATGTTTTTGCTTTTATCATGAAGCAGAACTCTTTGCTGCTCTCCGAGACACCTATGGGGATTATGAAATGTTTGTATTAGTGAGTGTGGTCTCTGAATGCTATGTTTTGTCAAACATCTGTCCTGTGATTTCTCTCTTCTCCACAGGGATGCCATTGAAAAGTTATTTCCTGATGCCATTAGAATGCGAATTGAAGACATTCAACAGAATAATGACATAGTCCAAAGTCTTGCAGCCTTTCAAAAATATGGGAATGATCAAAGCCCCTTAACTCCCAGCACAGGGCGAGTGAACCAGCAGAGAGGAGGGGGATTCTTCTCCGGCGTACTCACAGCTTTAACTGGTGTAGCAGTAAGTTTGGCTGTTTAATCTGCACCCTTTGCCACCCACAGATAGCCCAGAAGTCAGTTCTTCTAACATCACTTGAAACAGTTGATGGTGTGACCATGTGTAACTCATTAAAATTGTATTGTATGTTGGTAACAGAGACCATAACAGTAGTCGGTGCCTTGGTAAGTGTTAGCTCTGTCCTGTTCAATCCTCCTGACCTGTGCAGTGAGTGGCATCATGATGAACCCCATTTTAGAACTGAGGAAAGGGGCAGAACAAGACTGAGAAACCATATCTGCACTGATGCTAGACTCTTTTTTTTTTTTTTAAAGATTTATTTATTGATTATGTATACAGTGTTCTGTCTGCACATATCCCTGCAGGCCAGAAGAGGGCACCAGATCTCATTACAGATGGTTGTGAGCCACCATGTGGTTGCTGGGAATTGAACTCAGGATCTTTGGAAGAGCAAGCAGTGCTCTTAACCTCTGAGCCATCTCTCCAGTCCGATGCTAGACTCTTAGGGAATTGAACTCAGGATCTTTGGAAGAGCAAGCAGTGCTCTTAACCTCTGAGCCATCTCTCCAGTCCGATGCTAGACTCTTAAGAGCACTCACGGCATGGCCAATGCAACGACTTCTTGAACTCTTAAAGTTTTCCCCATAGAAAAGGCATGTGATTTGGAGGGGTCAGGGATGCAGCTGTTCCTCAGCTGTCTGCTGGCTACCCTTTCCAGATCTCTCTGCCAGCCATGAGCAGAAATGAGTCTGAAGACATTGTGTCCTCACTTCACTAGGGCAGAGGTTCCCTGCTTTCCTGTATTCTCAGATTCAACCCCTTCCATGCCCCGCCCCACACTCACATCCTCAGAAACTGACCTTTCCACTTCTGACAGCTGGTCTCCTTTCAGGTCATCCTGCTTGTGTATCACTGGCGCAGCAGAGATTCTGAGCATGGCCTCCTGGTGCACAAGGCTGTGGCCAAATGGACAGCAGAAGAAGTTGTCCTCTGGTTAGAACAGCTGGGCCCTTGGGCTTCTCTGTACAGAGAAAGGTTCTTATCTGAAAGAGTAAATGGAAGGTGAGGACAAAAAATCTTCCACACCAGGCCAGGCATGGTGTTGCATACCTTTAATCCCAGAGGTAGTTGGGATCTCTGTCAGTTTGAGGCCAGCCTGGTCTACCTAGTAAGTTCTAGTCTAGCCAGGGCTACATAAAGAAACCCCATCAAAAACAAAACCAAACCCTCTGGCATACAGCCATGTTTGTAGATGACTTTATTGAGATACATTCTATCTGCCACAAATCCTTGTAGAAGTGTAGAAACATGTGTTGTTAGAATTTTTTTTTTTAACTCTTTGGCTCTTTTGGGGTCCTGCCACCCAGCTCCCAATTCACATGGAGTCTTATTCTTTCTTAATGAATGCCAGGCCTAAGCTTGGCTTGTTTCTAGCCTGCTTTTCTTAAATTATCCCATCTGCCTTTTGTCTCTAGGCTTTTATCTTTCTCTATACCTTTCTTTACTACTTACTCTGTGGCTTGCTGTATAGCTGGGTGGCTGGCCCCTGGGTCCTCCTCCTTCTCCTTCTTTTGCTCCTAGATCTCTCTTCCTATTTATTCTCTCTGCCTGCCAGCCCCACCTGTCCTTTCTCCTGCTTTCCTATTGGCTGTTCAGCTCTTTATTAGACCAATCAGGTATTTTAGACAGGCAAAGTAACACAGCTTCACAGAGTTAAACAAATGCAACATGAAAGAATGCAGCACACCTTTGCATCATTAAACAAATGTTCCACAGCATAAACAGATGTAACAAGTCTTAATATTCCACAGTAAACATGGGTTTGTAATGTCTTCACAGATATGTACAATCAGTCTACCTTCAGAACAATTTCTTGACTCCCAAAACTCTTCCCTTTCCTGGTCCATCCTCATTCCCTTCTCCCTCAGCAGATACCATTTATCTTTATCCAGAAATGTATTTGACTATGGTTTTTGCATATTAATGTAATCATACAATATGTAACCCTTTTGTGTTCAGCTTTTTCATTCGGCATAATTTCAGGGTTCACATATGAGAAAAAGCATGCATCTGTGCTTTATTCTGTGTCTGAAAAACTCCCTTGTATGGATAGACCAGATTGTGAGTTCTTCACTTGATGAGCATTTGAGTTGATTCCATCTGTGGCTGTTCTAAAGAGTGCTGCTAAGATCATGCACAAAGTTTTGTGTATTCTGGGAACTCTCTTGGAGAAGAATGGCTGCATCACAGGGTCAATCTGTTTACTTTTCAGAGACGTTGTTGAACTGTTTTCCACAGGGGCTGAACCATTTTCTATCAGTGACATTTTAACTTCGGTGTTATCTCTCATTATGAAAATAATATTACTTTAAAAATATAATGTAAGACATTGTGACCTCAAAAGTGCAATATGTTTATGTTGCTACTCTTCACAGAGTATTGCTGTCAATATCATAATAGACATAACTGAACATGGTGATACATAGTTGTCATCTCAGTACTTGGAAGATGGAGGTAGGAGGGTCAGAGATCAAGGTCAACCTGATCTATACATCATACCCTATCTCAAAAAAAAAAAAACACTTTCCAATCTTTCCAATTCTGAATGTGTTTCCTTGGTGGGGTGTCCTGCTGGGGATCACCCAGGGCTTTGAACATGCCAGCTCCTCTCTCTGCTGTTGAAGCCCTCCCCAGCCGTAGCTGGTTTATGTTTATACAGGAAGGAACTGGATTTTAAGTTCTCTACTACTGAACTTTATCCCATCATACAAGGACGGTTTAACACTGAGTCTTTGCAGAAAACGATTATTGGGGTTTTGTTTGTTTTCTTTTTACATTTTGTTTTGTTTTCTCATTTTATTTACTTTTTTAGATAGTGACTTTTAAATTTATTTATTTTTATGTGTATATGGTTTTTTTTACCTCCATTTTTGTCTATGCACCATGGTTATGCCCGGCACCTTCAGAGGCCAGAAGATGGTCTTCAGATCCCCTTACATATAGTCATTAGCCACCATATCAGAACCTAGGTCCTCTGGAAGAGCAGCCAGGGCTCTTAACTGCTCAGCTATCTCGCTAGTCCCTAGATAATTGTTTATTGATGAGGAAAATAAGTAAGGGATTTAGAACTTTCATTAAGTTGAATCAGTATCCCAATACACTGTTTTGTTTATTTTTGAGATTGAGATCTCGGTATGTTGCCCAGGTTGGCATCAGACTTAACTATTCTTTTGTGTCAGCCTTCCAAGTCACTAGTATTACAGATACGCATTATTGAACCCAGCTAAAACAACCACTCTTAATGTAATAATTTGCATTTCCTTCTGGTTTTCTCCTACACATACCCTTTTAAAAATAAAGTAATATATGACAACAGGAATCTGTAGTTGACAGATTGGAGTTTTAAGAACAAACACCCTGATGTGCCTAAGGCAAGTCACTTTATTTCTGAAGCCAGTTTCTGATCCACAAAATGGGCATGATGCTACTCTCTGCAGAGTTAAATAGATAATGACAATAGTGTGTGAAACTATTTCCTACTGGTAATTGGCTGGTAGTAAGCAAACTGCTCTTGGCAGTCATCAGGACTGCTACCTGCATTTAACATTCTGCCTTTCCAAGCAAGCTTGCATATTTGTACAGTAAGCCAGAACTCAGTGTTTAAGGTAGGCATCTTGTATATAATCTCAGAAATCATCTTTACCCCTCCCCACTCCAGGTTGCTTTTAACTTTGACAGAGGAAGAATTTTCCAGGGCACCATACACCATAGAAAACAGTAGCCACCGAAGAGTCATCCTCATGGAGCTAGAGCGGGTGAGAACTCTGGGTGTGAAGCCACCCCAGAACCTCTGGGAGTACAAGGTAAATTCTCATTTGTTTGTTTTTTAATTGAAAAGGAAAAAAAAAAGGGTAGAAAACCACTAGCAATTATCTTCCTGCTCATTATATAACTTAAGAAAGAAAGCATTGTGGACCTTGAAGCCACAAGTCCCGCCCCTCTCCAGAGGCACTATGTTCCTGCCGTGGGGGCTCTTCTCAGGCCTCTGTCCACAGGATTCAGTGTTTCACAGGCAAGATGCAAGAAGCATGCATAGTCTTCTGCAAATAGCTGCTTCTCCCTGGGGCTCCAGTTCATTCTGTTTCTCTTTAATCTTTCACTGGACATGTATGTGACAATTTATGGATTTTCCTGTTGGCGGACAATAGCAACTTTTCTGTTTTCACTATCACTAACAGTGCTGCTTTGGACATTCTCATCATTCTTCAGCTCATATACACACGTGATGATTATAGTATATGTAGAGGAGTGGAATTAAGTCACAAATAATACACAGCTTCATCTTACTATATTTGATAACTTGATTTCAAATGACTGTATCATTTGATTCTTCATAGACAGAATGTAATGTATACTGCACTAAAGAACAAGTATCTGGAATATTCAAACATGCATATTGAAAAAGACATTGTGAAGAAAGATAAAACCATATAATGCTTACACATATAGTGGGAAATGCTTGTAGTTCAAGAGGTAAAAATGGGACAATCAAGTGGCTTTTATCCATTCTTGATATAACGTGAAAGAGTCCACTCCTGTTTGTAGCTCCTGAATTGAGCCTTTTTAGTAGACAGTTTGTTAATAACATCTCAATGTAAACTGCACTGGCTTTGGGGGTGGGGTGTTGTTTTGTTTCTTAGACACAGTCCGTCTTTGTAGTCCAAATTGACCTGGAACTCTCAGTTGTCCTGCCTCAGACTCCTCAGTGCTGGGATTACAGACATGCACCACCAAGTCTGGATGGGGAAAAAATATATTTAATGTAATTGGTCGTAGCAGCACATTAAAAACAACCTAAGGGAGCCGGGTGGTGGTACACGCCTTTAAACCCAGCACTTGGGAGACAGACACAGGTGGATCTATGAATTGAGACCATCCTGGTCTGCAGAGGGAGCTCCAGGATAGCCAGAGAAAACCTGTATCAAAAACCCAAAACCAGCCACAAAAAAAAAAAAAAAAAAACAATCTAAGGGTCTGGGGAGCTCACTGGGTAACGTGCTTTTTGTGCAAGCATGAGCTGAGTTCAGATTCCCAGCATCCATGGAGAAGCAAGGCATGGTGGCCTATGTGTATAACCCTAGTTCTAATGGATCAGAACCAGGTGGATCCCCAAATCGTGTTGGCCAGCCAGCCTAGCCAAATTGGTAGGGTTTGGGTTCAGTGAGAAACTGTCACAAAAATAAGAAAGTAATAGAAGAGGTCACCACTGTTGACCTTTGACCTCTGCACATGGGAGAACACCTTCACAAATGTGAGCACATAAACCACAGACACACACACACACACACACACACACACACACACACACACACACAGTAATTTGTGCCCGTCATTAGCAAAGTTAAATAACAGACACAGAAATACAAACATCCACTGAAAAAGGGAAGGTGACTATGTGTTAATAAGGAGATCATAGGGGTAGTTTAGTGGTAGATCTTAGCATGCCTGCCCAAGGAGCCTTTGTTCAATACCCAGCACATGGATGGATGATTGGTTGGTTGGTTGCTCTATCAAGAGATAGGCAAACAGATAGAAATCTTTTTTTGAGGCAAAATCTCACTGTTGTCTAAACATGTCTAGACATGCCTGGAACTTACCATCCTCCTGCTTCAGGCTCCCAGTTGCTAGGATTACATGCCTTTATCCCCGGGTTTGACTCTTGTTTGTTTGTTTGTTTGAGATAGGGTCTCACCGTTGTAGCCCTGGCTGTCCTGGATCTCACTTTGTAGACCAGGCTGGCTTCAAACTCACAGAGATCCGCCTGCCTCTGCCTCCCAGGTGCTGAGATTTAAGGCGTGTGCCACTATGCCCAGCATTTTGCTTGACTCCTAAAATTAACCTTTCTTAAAATTTATCCTAAATTAAGCCAGGTGGTGGTGGCACACGCCTTTAATCCCAGCACTCGGGAGGCAGAGCCAGGCAGATCTCTGTGAGTTCAAGGCCAGCCTGGGCTACAGAGTGAGTTCCAGGAAAGGCACAAAGCTACCCAGAGAAACCCTGTCTCGAAAAACCAAAAATAATAATAATAATAATTTTTTTATCCTAAGTTTTTTTTTAATTTATCCTAATTTTTGAAGAATGGGTATGGAGTTCCTTACTTGGAAATTTGTACAGTTTGAACAGTCCTCCTACCTCCACTCTACAAGTGCTGGGATGATAAGGTTCAACACCCTACCAAACTCATGGTGTGTCTTATAATATTGTTAATTTTTTATTATGCTTATTTATTTCTGGGTGTGTGTGCATACATGTAGCTACCATGGCACATGTGTGGAAGTCAGGAAAATGTACAAATATTGGAAGTCTTTCCTTCTACCGTGTGGATCCTTGGGATCAAACTCATGCTGTCAGGTTTGGCAGCAGGTTCCTTTATTCACTAAGCTATCTTGCCTAATGTAATATATTTTTCCTGGAATGTGCTTGGGTGTATGGCCTGCTTACATCTCTGAGTACCAAGTGCCCTCCGAGGTCAGAAGAAGGCATTGAATCTCCTGAAACTGGGGTTAAAGGCAAGCACTATCACACCTAGCTAACCTCTTGGGTTTTGAAATGCTCTTTTTCTGTGTGGCTTATCCATGAACTTGTTCTGATACCAAGGCTGGCCTCAGATTCTTAGGCTTCCTGCTGCGATTAGAGATATGTGTAACCATGCCCAGCAAGAGTAGAGCTTTTTACAGTATACCCCAACAAATGGGCTCTACATTACTCAAAAGATTGGTGGCAAAAGTCATGGGACTTTGAAGGAGTGCACGTGGTCCTCTGTCTGTCTTGTCCTCTGCAGGCTGTCAACCCAGGCAGGTCCCTGTTCTTGTTGTACGCCCTCAAGAGCTCCCCAAGGCTTGGTTTGCTGTACCTGTACCTGTTTGACTACACAGACTCCTTCCTACCCTTCATCCATACCATCTGCCCTCTGCAGGAAGACAGCTCTGGGGAGGACATCCTCACTAAGCTTCTGGTAGGTCTACAGAGTTCCTGGAACAGGTAACTCTACCATACCTCAGTGTCGCACAGAGAGTGCACCAGCCTTTGTGTGAATTGTGCAGGGAGAGTTCCCTGAAGAGGAAAAGCAGGACTGGCCCGCCCTGGAGACCAGCTTTGCTTTCTGCACTACCCGACCAGAGTGATGGCCCTTTTAGTCTTGAAATAATTTTTTTTTTGTAAAAAGCATTGCTTCTGTTGCAAAAGAAGTTATTGTAGGTCCAGAACATCCTAAGAGATTAGATGTATGGGCTTTCAAATTTGGCAGGACCCCTAAAGGGTAGTAATTAGCCTACTACAAAGTAGGGTTTGGATCTTCTCTGAAGGCCTCACAGTAGTAAGCTGTGGTCCGGAGTATGACGACCAGCATTGGCCAATTGTTTCTGCCATGCCATGTGTCATCCCCCAACTCCTGTGGGACTCATTTTACTGGGACGGCTTCTCTGATTCTACTTGGTCATTTGAGAGTAATGTCCTTTGCTTTGCTACTGTGGGATTAATTATTATAGTCTGTCTTTTCTCAAAAAGTGTCATGTGTATAGGAATTATGATCTGTAACCCACACCCATAAATGCTAAAGCAGAATTTTCAAATCTCCAAAGACCTCTTTAGACACTGCGGTCAAGTGCCTGCCTATTGATTTTGGTCTTGAATGGAGCTGAAAGTCTGCTTTACAGGGTGTCCCTGTAATTACCTAGTTTCCAGCTATTACATGCCTATGAGAGTGTGTGCACAGAAGCTGTGGAATGTTTGTGTTTCCATAAGCACCAATAACCCCTGACTGTTTGTTTGTCAAGCTCACTTTTTGTCAGCTAACACCGAATTTAAAGGTAAGTACACACTATCAAAAAGTCATTTTCATGCTGGGTGGTAGTGGCGCACGCCTTTAATCCCAGCACTCAGGAGGCAGAGCCAGGAGGATCTCTGTGAGTTTGAGGCCAGCCTGGTCTACAGAGTGAGATCCAGGAAAGGCGCAAAGCTATACAGAGAAACCCTGTCTCGAAAAACCAAAACCAAAAAAAAAAAAACTATGGGGTTAGGGATTTACCTCAGTGGTACAGCGCTTGCCTAGCAAGCGTAAGGCCCTGGGTTCAGTCCTCAGCTCCAGAAAAAAAAAAAGAAAAGAATTTTCTTTCTTTTTTTGTTTTTTTGAGGCAGGGGCTGTCTTGGAACTCACTCTGTAGACCAGGCTGGCCTCAAACTCATAGAGATCCACCTGCCTCTGTCTCTGGAGTGCTGGGATGAAAGGCCTTTGCCACCCATGTTCGGTTCCATACTTGGCTTTTATGAAGTATGGAAGATCCAAACTCCGGCCCTCGTGCTTAACCATTAAACCATTTTCTAGCCCCATCCTTATCTATTTTAAGATGAATTATTACAAGGAGATTGATAGATTAATATTCTATTTTAAGCCATCTACGTGCTTTTAATTCTAGAACTCTGGACTGAGGCAGGGAAAATGTGAGTTCAAGGCCATCTAGAACTATATTAAAAAGATGCTGTGTGGAAAAAATATATAGATTGTTAAAGGGGTATGTGTGTGTGTGCATACAATGTCAACATCACTTGTGTAAGTCAGTCCTATGATTGGTACTGTGTGTGTGATTCTTTAAGGACCTGAGGGAGCCCACATGGAGGCAGTGGAGAGAATTCCTTGTCAAGTACTCCTTTCTCCCATACCAGCTGATTGCAGAGTTTGCCTGGGACTGGCTGGAGGTCCACTACTGGACATCACGCTTCCTTATCGTCAATGCCATGCTGCTCTCTGTTCTGGAGTTGTTCTCTTTTTGGAAGATCTGGTCGAGAAGTGAGCTGAAGTAAGTGCCTTTCTGTGGTTGATGGTTGGAGCAACAGGGGTAGTAAAGAAATACCAGTGAGGAAGTTCCCCGTTAGAGTGTTTTTCAGACTTGGAGTGGGGGGTGATTCTGTGCTGGAGAGATGGAGATGGCTCAGCAATTCAGAACAAGTGCTGCTCTTGTAGAGGACTGAAGTTCAATCCCTAGCACCTACATCAGGCAGCTTGTAACTCCAGCCCCAGGGATCTGACATCCTCTTCTGGCCTCTGAGGGCACTGCATTCATGTGCAGAAACCCATGCATGGACACATACATATACACATAATTAAATAAATAAAAATAAGTCTTTAAAAAAATTCTGCCTAGACTCCTCAGGCTCTGGTCTGACAAATACTCCTTAAGCAGCAAATAAGAAAGTTACTGTGGGGGCTGGAGAGATGGCTCAGCGTTTAAGAGCACTAGCTGTTCTTCCAGAGGTCCTGAGTTCAATTCCCAGCAACCACATGGTGGCTCACAACCATCCATAATGAGATCTAGCATATATGTAGACAGAACACTGTATACATAATAAATAAATAGATGGGTGGATGAAAGAAAGGAAGGAAGGAAGGTAGGTAGGAAGGTAGTTGCTGTGTCCAGGAGGCAGACTGCACTGTGTGTGTGTGGTCTGGTTTTGTTAGAGTCTGTCTAAATTAGGTTTCTATTGCCATGATAAAACACCATGACTAAATCAACCCGGGGAAGTCCAGCGTGGTGGCACATGCCTTTAATCCCAGCCCTTGGGAAACAGAGGCAGACAAATCTTTGGGACCTTGGTCTACATAGTGAGTTCCAGGCTAGACAGAGCCACAAAGCAGGATCCTGTCTCAGAATAAAGAGATAAATACATAAAAATAAAAACCTAAAAACTATTCGGGCGGTGGTGGCGCATGCCTGTAATCCCAGCACTCGGGAGGCAGAGGCAGGTGGATCTCTGTGAGTTCGAGGCCAGCCTGGTCTACAGAGCTAGTCCAGGACAGGCTCCAAAGCTACACAGAGAAACCCTATCTCGAAAAACCAAAAAAAAAAAAAAAAAAAAAAAAAAAAAAAACCCTAAAAACTAAACCAAACAAAAACCAATGAACACAAAGAGCCAGGCACAATAGTGCATGCTTATAGTCCCAGCTACTCAGAACCCTGAGGCAGGAGGTAACATCGTTGAGACAATAGTAAGATCCTGTGCTGACTAGTTTTTTGTCAACTTAGTACAGGCTAGAGATGAACTTCAATTGAGAAAATGTCTTTAAGATTGGCCTGTAGGGGGCTGGAGAGATGGCTCAGCAGTTAAGAGCACTGACTGTTCTTCCCAAGGACCTGGGTTCAATTCCCAGCAACCACATGGCACTTCACAACTATGTGTAACTCCAAGATCTGACACCCTCACACATATATGCAGGCAAAACACCAACGCACATAAAATTAATACTGAAGAACCAGGCGGCGGCAGCGATGGTGATGCACGCTTTTAATCCCAGCACTTGGGAAGCAGAGGCAGGTGGATGGATCTCTGTGAGTTCGAAGCCAGCCTGGGCTACAGAGTGAGTTCCAGGAAAGGCGCAAAGCTACACGGAGAAACCCTGTCTTGAAAAAAAACAAAACAAAAAAAATTAGTACTTGTGAGGCAGAGGTATTTCTCCAGATGTGGGAACAGATGAGATGACAGGGCAGACACCCTCAGTGCCCCAACATGTCCAAGCCTGCCCCCACCACTCTTCTTTTCTTTTCAGGACAGTGCCCCAGAGGATGTGGAGCCATTTTTGGAAAGTGTCTACGCAGGGGCTATTCGTGGCCATGTTCTGGCCACTCATTCCTCAGTTTATCTGCAACTGTTTGTTTTACTGGGCTCTGTACTTCAACCCAATTATTAACATTGATCTGGTGGTCAAGGAGGTCCGGCGTCTGGAAACCCAAGTGTTATGATCAGCAGCAAGGTCCAGGAGAGCCTGTGAGTCTCCCTGACATCCAAGCTGTGACACTGAGAGAGGCACGGAACTCATTTCTACCCCTGGTAAAGCAAAGTGCTGCTTCTGTGTCAAGGCTTCAACCAGGTCCCCTCCTCCTCTGTTTCTTGGACCTTGGCATCTGACTGCTACCCAGGTCAGGTGGGACTCTTTGACTAATACTCAGCCACTCTTCTTACGTGGACTTGGGAGGCTCAGGCTACTCTGGCCAACTGGATGGAAGGTCGTGGACACAATTCAGAGTGACATGTCAGAAGACCTCCATAGGCTGGAGGTGGTGGTGCATGCCTTTAATCCCAGCACTTGGGAGACAAAGGCAGGAGGATCTCTGAGTTCAAGGCCAGCCTAGTCCTCAGAGCGATTTCCAAGACAGCCAAGGCTACAGAGAAACCCTGTCTCAAAACAAATAAAAATAAAAAAATAAAAATAAAAAAGAAGGCCATCATGGTCTACTAGCCTTAACCTCATGGACTGACAGTCCCCTAAACCAGGCTTGTTGGGGCCAGTCCTGTCCTGTGGGTCAAGTTTAGGAAAACAAGGATATAGAGTTTGGTCATAGGCATGGATAATTACATATACAAAAGACAGAGGAAAACCGAGAATTTAATCACAGTTTCTTATTGAGTAGTGAGTAGGTTTCAGAGTAAACCCAGAGAAAGCTTCAGGCCGAGAGAGAATGATAGCTATCTGTCTTGTTTCCTGTTTTGATCATTGGAAATTCAATTCTCCTTTCTGTGAGCAGGGAGCTGAGTCAGATTCCCATCAGGCTGAGCCTAGTCGGGTGACTGAGAGCACTGCGTGGGGTTTTGAAAAATTTTAATCTGCAGGATAAATCCAGTATAGTCTATTCAAGGAAACATTTTGTAAGCTGCTCTCACATCGTATAATATATATTCTTTATTGTCCTGTTCGGAAGTATAGCATCGGGTGTAATTATACCAAGTGCTGCCATCATAAATATGAAGTGAGCTGAAGGGTGACCTTTATTTCTTGCCAGTGTAGAGTGTGAGCTTGTCAGCTTTGGCCTTATGGAAACAAGCTTAAATCCAAAGAGAGAGAGAGAGAGAGAGAGAGAGAGAGAGAGAGAGAGAGAGAGAGAGAGAGTGTGTGTGTGTGTGTGTGTGTGTGTGTGTAGAGAGCGAGCGAGAGAGATAGACTTTGTAGCTCATTAACCCTTTAAGATTTCACTTAAACTTTGCATTTGAAAGTCTGGGAAATTACTTGAAATAAAAATTAAAGATTTTTATACAAATAAAACCTCTATAGAGAAATCTGATTGCTGAGGAAATAGAAGGAAATCATGCATTGCTTGATGTGTTATGACCCAATCACGTTGAGTGGGGTGTTGAGCCAAGACGCTGCTTAGCGATCTCTCCAGTGAAGGAAAAATGTTCTTTCCCAGTTTTCTCATGGAGCCCCAGTACCACCTGATTTTGTCTATATGAGACAGCGACTCTGTGGTTCAGGCACCCTGTAGCATTTGTGCATTTCTGGAGACAACCCTGGAGATTCCTTCCAGCTTTTCTTCCCCGTGATGAAGTAGGGTGACTGACAAAAGTTATTGTACTGGTAGTGGCTGTGGTAGGTTCGATAGTGCCCAGGATAGACCATAAGTAGCCAGCCTCCCGATATCCCATTCCCACCTATGGCCTTCCACGCTGACCCCATGTACACCAGTACCATATCTCAAAGATGAGTAATGCCCAGATCTGCTCTGGGCAAAGAGGAGGTGTGGCCTAGAGCAACCAGATGGGCTGATGCTCTAGCTTCCATTAGAGTGGGCATGCTCACAGCCAGGACCACAGGCTTGCTCTAATCCTTGAGTCTTCCTACCCTTCCAGGGAGGCTTAGTGACATCAAAAGGGAGGTGTCCATATGAAACATTCAGACATCTCCAAATCAGAGCTTTATATAGCTCAGGCTGGCCTCAAACTGGTTACATAGCCCAAGATGATTTTAAGCTTCTGATCTTTGGATCTCTAGAATTACAGGTGCATGCAACCACGGCCAGTTTTATGTGGTGTTAGTGATGGAACTCTAGGCTTTGTGCATGAAAGGCAAGCCCTCTGCTAACTTAGCAACATCCCCTAGCCCAAAGGAAGATTTCTTCACACAGATCCTAAGAAACAGTTGACAAATAGGAGATGCCTCTGGTATCCAAAAGTTGGCAGTACTAGAGATGGAACCCTGGGCTTTATTCCTGGTGAGGCAAGCGCCCTGCCACTGAGCCACACCCTCAGCCTAATACTGCTTTTTATGAGGCATTAAATTTATGACAGAGGGGCTGGAGAGATAGCTCAGAGTTTGAGAGCACTGCTTGCTCTTCCAAAGGTCCTGAGTTCAATTCCCAGCAACCACATGGTGGCTCACAACCATCTGTAATGAGATCTGTTGCCCTCTTCTGGCCTGCAGGGATACATGCAAACAGAACACTGTATACATAATAAATAAATAAATCTTAAAAACAAAAATTTGTGACAGAAAAGACTGAAAATAATAGGGCATAGTCTCAATTACATCTTCTAAAACTAGAAAAAGCACAGTGCACATACACAACACACATATATAAAGGGGATTTATTAGAATGATTTACAAATTGTTGGATGACAGCTAATCCAACAATGGCCGGCTGTGAATGGAAAGTCCAAGAATCCTGTGGTGGTTCAGTCCAACTGGGTGAGCTGGGTGTCTCAGCTGCTCTTCAGTATACACTGGAATCCCAAAGAAATAGGCTCTAATGCTACTGAAGGACTAGATTGCTAGCAAGGCAAAGGCAGGCAGGCAAAGAAAGGACTTCTTTCTTCCTCATCTTTATACAGGCTTCTAGCAGAAGGCGTGGCCCAGATTAAAGGTGTGTCTTCCCACCTGAGGATCCCAATTAAGGGGGATCCTCAAAGGATGTCACCTTTGAGGTGTCTTCCTAGCTCCAAGATCTGGATTAGAAGTGGATCTACCTACTTCAAATTAAGCAAAAATTTCTCATAGGTGTGTCCAGCATTTTTGGATTTTAGTTAGGTCCAGGAAACAACCAAGAACAGCCATCACAAATCTACTCCTTGTTAACTTGACACATAATCATATGTCCTTAGGTCATGATTAGTTAACAAATAAAAACAGCCAGGTCATAACACGTAAACATAATATAACGATTCCACATACAGTTAACAAATGCATTATATATTTAGCCAGTCATAATTATGCCTATCATAATATAACTATCACTTGCACAACCGCACACATACTAAATGTAGAGTAGTGTCCCTTGAGGGACATTCTTTTAGTATCTCAAACTTAAATATAATAACCATTGATATTCTCTTAATTGATGTTATATCACATGATAAAGAAATTGAGGAAAAAACCAAATATCTATACAAATGCATTTTTTTTTTCAAGACAGGGTTTCTCTGTGTAGCTTTGTGCCTTTTCTGGATCTCACTCTGTAGCCCAGGCTGGCCTCGAACTCACAGAGATCCACCTGCCTCTACCTCCTGAGTGCTGGGATTAAAGGTGTGCGCCACCACCAACCGGCATGCATTTTATTTTTTATTTTTTTGGTTTTTCGAGACAGGGTTTCTCTGTGTAGTTTTGGTGCCTGTCCTGGAACTCACGCTGTAGACCATGCTGGCCTCGAACTCACAGAGATCCACCTGGCTCTGCCTCCCAAGTGATGGGATTAAAGGCATGCGCCACCACTGCCTGGCTCAAAAGTTTTATATACAGAATCACCACCAATTCCATTGCTGCCCACAACTGGTGAATCAGGAAAATAAAATGTATTTATCTCCTTAAGTTTGTAATACAGTGCACAGCATGGGCTTTCAGTACTCTCTGAGCTCCCAAGAAAGGCTTCAGTAACTGGAGAGGCTCTGGTAGCTGTAGGTGTTGGTGACTTGAAAGGTCTATTTCAGATACTTGAAAGATTCTTCCTTATACTTCTGTTGTTCTAGAACCACATCTGGTACCAAAATCTGTATTAGTCAGAGTTCTCTAGAGTAACAGAACTCTGTTTATAGAAAGGGGATTTATTATAGGCTGTGGTCCGGATAATCTGACAATGACTGCCTGTGTATGGAAGATCTAAGAATCCAGTAGTTGCTTAGTCTACAAGGCTGGACGTCTCAGCTGATCTTCAGTATACACTGGAATTCCAAAGACGTAGGCTCTAAAGCCAGTGAAGGAACGGACTTGTGATCTAGAGTGAGGGTAAGCAGGCAGAGAGAGCAAAAGCTTCCTTCTTGTATTCCAAAACTTGGGAATGCTTTGTCTTTGAAAAGATTTTAATTGGTGGTTGGGGCGGGGGCACGTGCGCACATGTGCATGTGAGGGCAGATACCTACAGAGGCCAGATGTGTCAAGATTCTCTGGAGCCAGAGTTCAAACAGTTGAGCTAGACAATATGCATGCTGGGAACCAAACTCAGGTCCTCTAGAAGATCAGATAGTACTGTTAACCACTGCCACTGAAGCCATTCTTCTGGCCTGTGCTTTCATTTTTTTAGTGCTTTATATATTGCTCTACATTTTCTTTTCTTTTGATTTTTTTTCTTGAGATGTTGGAAATCAAACTCAGACCCTCAGGCATGCTACACAAATGCTTTAGCACACAGTTGTACCACTAGCCCAGGAAATAATTTTCTTTTTCTTTTAGAAACGGAGTCTTCTGTCCTACTCAAGCTAGTGTCAAACTCCTGGGCTCAGGTGACCAGCAGAGTACTGCGGGCATATGCTACCACACCCAGCTTTCAGGAAGTAAATTTTACCCAAGACTGAGAAAGGTAGGGAATGTTCTTATTATAGTAGCAGTTCTTAGGTGTATCATGTGGCAATCTTATTACCACAGCCAAGCCTACAAGCAGGAGTTCATCCCCAGTTGACCCCCAGCCATCAACAGCAGGTTAGAAGATAGCACACTGTTTCATAAACGTTGAGCTTCAAAACTGATAGCAGTACAGCACACTGGTGGCTGTATTAGACAGACCCAGGACTCAGCTTTCATCAAACTAGCCACTCCACAGGCTAACAGTCCCAAGTTCTTGAATGGAGGAGAAAGCAAACACAAGGCTTTATCACCTGGCTCCCACTACCTCCTGCAGAAATTGAATGAAGTTGTTCATTACTGGAAGCAAACTTCATTTCCGTGGGCAAACAAACATTTCAAGACCAGCCCATCAGTGGCACTTGGGTGAGTCCTTTTCACATAAAACCGAGGGGTAGAAGAGGTATTTCAGGTGGTACTCTGTTCCTGCAAGGCAGTACGCAAGCTCCTCGTCACACTTGCACAGGAGTTCTTGGCATTTGTTCTCTGCAGGTCCTGGAAGAAGTAGGGAAACAGGTTAGAGCAGAGACTTACAGACACTGAGAAGAAATGCCAGGTAAGTCAGTAAAGCCAGAAGCAGAACAGGTTATAACTTGCACTTATGTGACACCTGACAGCTTTCTAGTAGCACCCATTGACAAGACCACTCCAGGAGGCAGCAGTGACAGCTAGCTTCCACAAGAAAGGAACTTGGCTTGTCAAAGGAACAAGCTTCTGGCTTCTCTTCTGTGTCAACATTACCCTGTTTCACTTAGGAATCCATTCAGATAAGACTGGATGCCTGGCAACTATCAGGCCTAGATTTGGAGTTCCTGCTCTTAGCTCTGTGACCTTGTCTAACTTTTATGTCAAACAGGAGCACTGCTGAGGGTACAGCTCATTGGTCGAGTACTTGCCTAGCTTGACTGAAGCCCTGGGTTCTGTTCCTGCCACCACCAAAAGAAGTAGAAAGTAAGTAAATAGAATAGAATCATTCTCCAATTTGTAAGGCTGTTACACAGTGCCATCTCAGAGCTGGCACTACCCTGAGCTGGCAGCATGGCTGCTTGGCATGCAACACCTAGGCTCTGTCTCCAGCACCAGAACTGGCATGGTGGCAGTCATGTAGTCCCAGCACTTAGGAGGTGGAGGCAGAAGGATCTGAAGGTCAGGGTGATCCTTAACTACCTAGTAAATTTGAAGCCAGCTTGGACCGCATGAGACCCTGACTCAAAAATTAAAAATTAGGTGGGCAGTGGTGGCGCACACCTTTAATCCCAGTACAAGGGAGGCAGAGGCAGGCAGATTGCTGAGTTTGAGGCCAGCCTGGTCTACAGAGAAAGTTCCAGGACAGCCAGAGCTATACAGAGAAACCCTATATGAAAACCAAAATTAATAAATAAAAGTTAGGACTGGAGAGATGGCTCAGCAATTTAGAGCACTTGCTGCTCTTCTGAAGGACCCAAGTAAGTTCCCAGCACCCATGTCAGGTGGCTTACCACTTTCTGTAACTCCAACTGCAGGGGATCTGGCCACCTCGGGCATGTGAACCCATGTGGCATACATTCACACAGGCAAACACACATATATGTAAAAGTAATAAAAATAAGGCTTGGCACTGGGTGTATACTCAAGATTTATTGGCTCCCAACTATGCTTTCTGTCTCCTTTCTCCAAGTCCTTCTTAGGACTAGGACTGTAGCTCAGTGGTTGAACATTTGCTTAGCATGCAAGAGACCCTGGATTTGATTCCCAGGACCACAAAATGAGAAAGAGGGTGAAAGAAGGAACTATGTAGCCCTGACCTGATGTGGAGTAATCTCTTTGTATACTGTAAAGATTTGTCACTCAAATTGGTTTAATAAAAAGCTGACTGGCCAGTAGCCAGGCAGGAAGTATAAGGCAGTATGACCAAACTAAGAATGATGGGGAGAAGGGAGGAGTCAGGAGTTGCCAGCAGATGCAGAGGGAGCAGGAGATGAACATGCCATGCTAATAAAGGTACCACCATGTGGCAGAGCGTAAATAAGGAATATGGGTTAACTTAAAATGTAAGAGCTAGTGAGTAATAAGCCTGAGCCATAGGCCAAGCATTTATAATTCATATAAGCCTCTGTGTGTATATTTGGGTCTGGGAGGTTGGGACAGGAAATGTCCATTTACACTGACTGACTTCAAACTCACTATGTAGCTGAGGCTGACCTCAAATGCAAAGCAGTCATTCTGCCTCAGCCTCCCCAGTACTGGGATTACAGGCGTGTACCACCATGCCTCACTTCACGTGCATTTAGCTATACAATAACAAGGCATGGTGGAGCACACCTGTAATTCCAGCATGTGGAAGGTGGGGCAGGGTCATCATTTCTGTATGCAGCCCTGAAGGGTAGTTTGTGAAGCTGCAAGGAAGGTGCAGTAGAGACTAAGATTGTTGGAGATGCCAGGACCATGGACTGTCCACAGAGCAGAGCTGTAGACAAGAGGGGATCGGGGAAGAGAGGCCAAGCCGGCTGTAAACAACAAGGTCCTGGGATGGAGCTGCCAAGCTTGTTGGAGCTCAAACCAGGACACCATGTACCCCCAGGGCTGGACAAGAAACTACAGAAGCCAGGTGGTAGTGGCACATGCCTTTAATCCCATCATTCGGGAGGCAGAGCCAGGTGGATCTCTGTGAGTTCAAGGCCAGCCTGGTCTACAGAGTGAGATCCAGGACAGGCACCAAAGCTACACAGAGAAACCCTGTCTCAGAAAAACAAAAAACAAACAAACAAACAAAAACCTACAGAAGTTTGTGTTTTGTACAGTGTGGTGGCTCACGTCTTTAATTCCAGCACTTGGGAGGTAGAGACAGGCCTTGTCTTGAGTGAAAGTCATGGTACCAACCACACAATGAATGCTTTTAACTGCTGAGAGTTTGAGAGCATCAATGGTCTACAGAGCAAGTTCCAGGCCAGCCATGGCCACATAGCAAGACTGACTTAAAAAAAGGAGGGCAGAGTAGCTTGTTAATTTGGGGGCTGAGGTGTAGCTCAGCAGTATTCACCTAGCATGCATGAGGTACTAGGCTCAACCCAGCACTGCAAAAGAATTAATTATTAATGGCTGGTTTTATGTCAACGCGATGCAAGCTGGAGTCACTGGAGAAGAGGGAGCTCAACTGAGAAGATGCCTCCATAAGACTGGGCTGTAGGCAAGCCTGAACGGCATTTTCTTCATTAGTGATTGATGGGGGAGCACTCAGCCCATTGTAGGTGGTGCCATTCCTGGGCTGGAGGTCCTGGGTTCTATAAGAAAGCAGCTGACCAAGCCAGTAAGCAGCACCCCTCCATGGCCTCTGCATGCAGCAATACATGCAGACAAAACACCTATACATATAAAAATAAAATAAATTTTTTAAGCATTTGGGGGCCAGCAAGAAGGCAGTATGGGGAGAGGTGCTTGCCACCAAGCCTGGCAACCTGAGCTTGATCCCAGGACCCACATGGTGGAAGAGGAGAACTGATTCCTTCAGGCTGTCCTCCGACAACACACGCTATGGCATGTGCATTCATCCACACAGGAAAGAGAGGAAAGGAGGGAGGGAGAGACAATGTTGAGAGAATAAACTAGATCCCTATATTATTTCCAGTGTGGATACAAACCCAACAACTGTTTTTTTTCAAAGTTTATCATTTTTAAAATTGTTTTATTACATTTTTTATTTTTTTGTGTTTGTGCATGTGTGTTACAGAGAGATTGTGGAGGTCAGGGGACAACTTAAAGGAATCAGTTCTCTCCTCTTACCATGTGGGACCTGGTGATTAACTCAGGTTGTCAGGCTTGGAGGATAGCACATTCAACCACTAAGACATCTTGCCAGCCCACAGCTATGTTTTATCATTCCCATTTTATTGACTAGAAAACTGAGGCTCAAAGGGATTACTTAGCCAAGATCACAGACCTGGGAAGGAATCACTCAGGATTCCAGCCTAGGAAAAGTCTTTTCCTTGGGCAAGAAAGGCTTTCTAAAGTAAGACAAGTTCATTGCTCTGTAGCCTGAGCTCCACCAGAGGGTCCTCACTGTTAAAGAATGAAGGTCAAGAGTCAGGCCACTGGTGCACACTTGTATTCCCAGCAATCTAGAGACTGAGACAGAAGTTTGGAAAGTTCAAGGCCAGTCAACCTGCACTAAGGTATGAAATGATTATCTCAAAAGTAAATAATATCTAAAGAAAAGGGAAACTAGCTCCCATGGGTTAGACATAAAGCCTGAGCCAGGCAGTGGTGGCGCACACCTTTAATCCCAGCACTTCGGAGGCAGAGGCAGGGGATCTCTGTGAGTTCAAGGTCAGCCTGGTTTACTGAGTGAGTTCCAGGGCAGCCAAGAGACTGCACAGAGGAACCCTGTCTGAAAACCAAAAAAATAAAAATAAAAAAATAAAAATAAATAAATTAATTAAAGCCTACTAGTAAATATTATTATAGGCTGAAATTTTTTTAAAATATGTTTGTCAGACCCATAAATGGAAAACAGGCCAAACTTGTAATTAAATAAACAGCTATGTTCAGAATATCCCTAAACAGAATAACAGAATATTTTTTGTTGCAAATGCATAACAGACACCTTGGGCCTTTCTGTGTGGCTCAGGGAAGGAGCTCTGAAAACAAGCAGACTCCAGCAGCAAACACAGCAGCAGACGCTCTGCGGACACCATCCCCCAGGGTGGAGGGAGGCTAGGAAAGCTGTGAGATCTGTTTCCCCACAAAGTCTCACTTCACATCTTTGCCCGTGCTAGTAGTTCAGGGACAAGTCCCTTCTTACCCTGAGTCTGTTTCTCCAACACAAAGTGAACAGGATATAGTTCAGTTGGAGTACAGTGTTTGTCTTGCGCGTACAAAGCATGTGAAAAGGGATGTAACATTTCCACAGTGATTCAACAGTAAAGTTGAAAGTTTAAAACAGTTATTTTAGGCCCAGAGAGATAGCTCAGTGGTTAAGAGCATGGGCTGCTCTTCCAGAGGTCCTGAGTTCAATTCCCAGCAACCACATGGTGGTTCACAACCACCTATAATGGGATCTGATGCCCTCTTCTGTTGTGTAGGCATACATGCAAGTAGAGCACTCATACATAATACATTTATTTATTTTTGTTTCGAAGGGATCGTTTTTTTTTTTTCTTTTTTGGTTTTCTCGAGACAGGGTTTCTCTGTGTAGCTTTGCGCCCTTCCTAGAACTCACTCTGTAGCCAAGGCTGGCCTCGAACTCACAAAGATCCGACTGCCTCTGCCTCCCGAGTGCTGGGATTAAAGGTGTGCGCCACCACTACCCGTTGGGATCATTTTCTTTGGTGGGGATGGGGATGTTGGATACACCATAGCACACTCTGGTTTTTCATACTGCTACTGTGTGGAACCCATGGATCAGACTTGGCAGTAAGCACCTTTACCCACTGAGCCCTCTGGCCCACCCCAACTTTACACTACCAGCTCTGCCTTCCTTCTAGGGAGACAGGGCCAAGAGCAGTGAATATTGAAGCCACCCTCCCATGATGCTCATGTTCCTTTCTGCCTCTAGAACAGTCTCTAGAAGCTGGGGTTCTAGTGGAGACTCGGAAGGAGGGACATGAAGAGGGAAAACAACACACTCATTCACACACACACTCTGAACTCTTTCACTTCTGCAATACTCAGCTTTCCAGGTAAGGAAACTGCTGCTCAGATAGGTTGTCAACAACTCAATGTGACAGACACAGCCATCACCCATCCAGGGTCGAGTGATCAAGAGGAAAGAATACCTCTTTAGGAGGCAGTGCTGAGACAGTTGTATCACAATATGCCAAAGAATGAAGTTAGACCTATCCTACTGTTCGTATGAAAGTTAACTCAAGCTGGGCAGTGGTGGTGCACACCTTTAATCCCAGCACTTGGGAGGCAGAGGCAGGTGGATCTCTGTGAGTTCGAGGCCAGCCTGGTTTACAGAGTGAGTTCCAGGAAAGGCGCAAAGCTACACAGAAAAACCCTGTCTCGAAAAACAAAAAACAAAAACAAAACAACACACACACACAAAGAAAACTCAAAATGGATCATTGCCATCAATCTCAAACTATTAGAAGAAAACAGACAGGTAAACCTTTGCTATACTGTGTTTCTCAATGGATTCTTAAAGCATCAAATACATGGGCAACAGTAAACAAAATAGCTGACTAGGATGTCAGCAAAATGAAAAACATTTGTATCAAGGATGTCATCATGAAAAGGAGGACAGCCCACAGAATAGAAGCTACAGCCACAAGAAAGATGCACAACAGCAAAAAGACAGTTCTATTGAAAGTTGTATGCAAGAGGGCACAGTAAAGAAATTGCTGAAATGGTTGCTCCTTTAGGGGGAAGGTTTTTGTTGTGGATAAGAGAAAGAAAATATTCAGAGGTATCTGGAGTAAGAGTCCAGAGCAAAGACAAACAAAACAACAACAACAAAAAAAACAAAAAAAAAAACGGCATGGCCAGGGATATCTGCCAGGAAGGGGAGAGAGTGGGAGAGAAAATGGAGACAGCAAAAGAGAGAAGAGCAGAGAATAGAGAGAGAAAAGGAGAATGGTGGGATGTAAGGAGGATGAGTAACTGCTAGGAGGGAAACCTGAAGGCTGGAGCCGGCCTGGGAGTTTAGGGTAGGAGAAGTCGTGATGGATCAGGATCCTAGGTGGGACTCTGAAATATTTAATGGGTACATATGAATAGGGACAGTAGGAGCCTGGAAGCTAGCATGGGCTTTGATATGCTGATGGCTGCTGTGAGTGTGTGTCAATGGAGAGCCATATGTACCTTCTGTCAGAGGCAAGGGAAGTGACTACCTTTGGTGGACAGAAAACGTGTTCCACAAGTTCCTGAGGAATGCTGGCTTTTATCTAACCACCAGAAATCCTCCTATGGGTCAGCTTGAGGTGGGTGGGCCAAACCTGTTATTTCTGAACATACAAACTGTCTGAGACCTGCGTAAAGTCCTCAAATAAGCATGTCTCCAAATGATACAAAAACAACCAAGAAGCACATGAAAACATAGTGTTGATGATTTATTAGAAAAAAGCAAATGAAGCCAGGCAGTGGTGGCGCACAGCTTTAATTCCAGCACTCTGGAGGCAGAGGCAGGAGGATCTCTGTGAGTTCGAGGTCAGCCTGGTCTGCAGAGTGAGTTCCGGGACAGCCAGGGCTACACAGAGAAACCCTAGCTGTTTGGAGAAACAAAGAACAAAACAAAACAAACAAACAAACAAAAAACCAAACCAACCAACCAAAAATTAACAAAGAAAAAGAAGAAAAGAGAAAGAAAAGAGAACTAGAAACCACAAGTATTGGCAAGACTGAACAAAAATTAGATCCTTACTATATTTATTTTAAACTCCTGTTTGTGTGTGCACAGAGGAGGTCAGAGGACAGCTTGCTAGAGTCAGTTCTCTCCTTCCACCATGTGCGTCCTGGGGATCAAACTCAGGTCTGTAGGCTTGGCAGCAAGTGCCTTTGCATGGTAGGCCATCTTGCCAGCTTGCTCTTCACTTAAAATGGTGGAAGAGAGCAAGGCATGGGGTACATGAGAGGGTTTGGAGGGAGGAAAGGGAAGGAAGGCATGATGAAATTAGAAGCTCAAAAATTAAAAATAAAATTTCTTTTCAAATGAGAATTTTTTCCAGTTTGACCATGGAACCCAGGGCCTTGACATTCTAGGTAAGTGATCTACCAGTGAGCTACTGCATCCCCAACCCAGCTGAAGCAATGAACTTCGGGGCTGGACAGATGGCTCAGTGGTTCAGAGTACCTCCTGTTCTTCCAAAGGACTTAAGTTTGCTTCCTAGACAAAGCAGGGAAAGCCAGAGCAAGCACTCCTCAGGTGCACATGCCCACACAGACATGCTCATAATTAAATAATCATAATAACTATTACTATTTAAAGGAGTGAAATTTGTGTTGTGTTTATTCTCATTTAAAAGAAAAAAGCAATTGGGCAGCCAAGGCTACACAGAGAAACTCTGTCTCAGAAAAACAAAAGAAAAAAATTGAAAAGAAAAAGGATCGAGTTAGGACCATGTGGCTCAGTGGGAGCACTTGTTTAGCATGTTTGAGGCCCAGGTCTAACCCCTAGTACTGTCAAAAACGGAAAAAGAGAAAGAACAGTGAGAAACCCAGTGCCTGCTTTGAGCCCCACTGCTCCAACTCTATCACTGTTTGTGATTTGAAAGAAAACTGTAAATGGAAGGGCACCACAGAGCCCTAGGGCTAGTGCCCCCGGTTCCCACAGCTGGAAAGTGCCCCACCCTGAGCTACATTCCCAATTACCCAGTGCCTTAAGGTAAACATCTCCCTTCTCCCTAGATGGAGCACACCTGTAATCAATCCTAAGCGTTGGCAGGCTGAAGCAGGAGAAAGAGCCTCCTGGGACTTGGGGGTTTAGGTCAGTAGTAGAGCACCAGCCAAGGAAGCCCTGGGTTCTGTCCTCAGCACAGGGAAGAGAAGGACAATTACATAGTCTCACCAGCTCTATAGTTCACATTTTTAATTGAAGTTTCTATTCGCTTGTTTGTTTTTTGTTGTTGTTGCAGACAGGCTCTCAAATGTATGGTTCTATGTCATCCTTTCTTCATGTTGGAGCATAGTCTGCAGTTTGGACACATGAGCATGTTTACCCAGTCCCCTCCTGATGGACTTTTCAGTTGTTTACACCTAGTGTCATTTCTCTTGTTCTTTTTGTCCAGACACTGGAGAAATATGGATGTGTGTTCCAAGGGCTTGGTGTGAAAGGTCACTTCTTAGGTAACACTATCATGTGGTCGATGGAGAGCTGGAAGCTGTGGTACCTTACTACGAGGGCACAGAAGCCATTTGGATCTTGCAGGATGCCCAGGGGACACTTGGGGAAGTCAGAGTGCATGGTGTGGGGCACTCACCACACTGGATGCGGTGGTCGATGCATTTCCATGCGTAGCGGTCTATCTTGGGGCTGCAGCCAGCCTCCTGAGCTCGAGAGTAGCAGCAGTCATGATGGTGACAGCACCTGGGGTGCAGCATGGGCAGAGCAGTAGCTGCATCAGAGAGTGAACTCTCTTGGTCCCCCCATCTGACCAGGGCTGGGCTAGTGGCCTCTGATGGACATGGGGTCCTGGACTGGCTGAGCAGCCTTACTCCCTGACCTTACCTGGCCTGCCCCTGCCTGCCTCCTTGTAACTCTGAGCTTCCCTTTCTTCCTCGGTCCAGCTTGTGCCTTCTGCCTGGACAACTCAATGGCCCCAGGCACCAGATTCCACCCAGGAGTGATCATGCCTCCTTCTCTCTCCTCAGGCTAGGAATATTTCTTGTCACACCCTGTCATAAAACCTCCCTCCTACCAGGAAGGTTGATCATGAATTCTCACTATAAACCTCATACCCTTTGGAACTCTGGAATCCTATCATCTCGTTTCCTCACAGTGTCCTCCAGGGCTAGCTAGCCTGCCATGTAGTAAAACTTCAGTAAACATTTATTGTTGGACAGTTCCCTGAGAGACACCCACACCTGCCCTCACACCTTGCAACACTCAGCTGAGGCTTCAAGCAGTCAGCTCCAACCTTGCCCTTAGAAAGCCTCCAGTCTGTGGAGGGAGGCAGATCAGCTACGTGATGTGGGATAGCCAGAGGGGCTCTAGGAGTCCAGAGGAGGTGGCAGCCCCAGCCAAGCTTCAGGGGAGGCTTCTTGGCGGTAGGAATTGCAGAGACACTTCTGAAGATGGTGTGGGAACCAGACGGCCGGAGTGTAGGAATGCACAGCTGTCATCAGATGCACCCAAGGTCCAGGGCAAGCCAACATGCTTCTGTCTCTAGCTAGGGAGGAAGCAGCCACATTCTACACTGATCACTGAATTAGCTTTGTGGCAATGGCTAGTGTCTGGGTCTCTGGGAGCCCCAGGGACTTTATTATCAAGTGGGAATGAGCATCATGCTTCTTCCTGAACAGAGCCATGATGGATGTCACAGAAAGATCTTGGCTCTCAGCTTTCACGGGGCAGGCTTTTCTCAGGGTATTCTTGATGCTCTGTGCTGGCCCAGATGAGCAATTTGATGGTTCTGTAGCTTGGTTTCCTTATCTGTGAAATGGGACTGTTAAGGATCCTGAGATCCGTGGCTGTACAATAAATAGTCTAGATAGCTTTATGTCATTACTAGGTGATGTCATCAGGGTAATTGTTAGCTGTTACCAAGATGCCTCTCACTGACCCCAGAACCCAGGAACCCCTCTATATACAGGGTAATGTTAGGTTCTGGGATCTTCCTAGTTCAAACCTGACTTCAGTTTGGGTTTCTCCTCATAGGCCTTGGCTGTCCTGGGAGTTGGGGGATCTTGTACTCTGGGTCCCAGTATACACTCACCAGTCGATGGCATCACGTGGGTCTCCATGGCCACCCAGGCCACAATAACAGCCATAGTTCATGTAGGCCACTGGTGATCGAGGACCAACACAATCCAAGGTTCCTGCCAGTTCCAGGAGCCCTCGCTTGTACACATGTGACCTCCTTGTTGCTGAGGGATAAACAAAGGTCATAGGTTCAAGGTCAGAGTTTCCCTATCCCTAGTGAAGGGCACTAGTCTGACAAGGATCTAGATGTTTCAACTTGTCTGGGTTTCATCTCATTTTTTAGGCGTGTGCCCTTGGACAAATGATAGTTTCTCTGTGCTTTGATTTCCTCATTTGCATAGTGCAGGATAAAGTGGCATCAGCTCTCAGAATAAAGTTGGACAAGGCATTCATGGTGCTCTGCACATTACAAACTCCATTACAATCCAGATCTTCAAGGCAATGTGAGCAGAAAATGAGTTGTAGAGCACAGTCTAGGAGAGACCCCAGCACTGGACTTTGGCTGATCTCTTTCCCTAGAATGCCCTGGTTCTCACTGCTCTGCCCCTTCGGATGCAGTCAGACTATGCACTGTGCATTCAATATGTATCATGCTGATTTGCTAGGTGCTTGCTTGTCATAAAAGACAAGCTGAAGAACATCCTTGCACAAAGGAGGCTCTCTGGGGATTCTGAGTCTCTGAGCCTCTCTACTCTCCTCTAAGACTCTGGCTTAGGACCCTATATATCAACTTTTATTTTCACCTCAAGGTCAGCGTCCTTCCTTAGCCTGACTCCAACCACCTGGGTCCTGGTACACCTCTAGTAGTACTCAATGGGTGCGACAGTAAACCCTGCATTTGAAAGGTAAAAACGGGACCAGCTGGGGGAAGTGGCCTCCATACTCCCCCAGCTCACAGCAGTGGAGCAGGCTCCAGCTCACACACTGGTGCAGCAGGAGGGCAGGCCTGAGGGGCACGGGCGAGAGAGCAGGACCAACTGCCAAGTCTGTTTGCTGAGTGTCTGTGTCCACCCTCCCCTACCCCACTCCAGGATGGAAGACAGTGGAGGTGCAGCCTGGCCCTGGCCTGCCATGACTCTCATCTGTCACTTAGAGCATGTTTCCATCATAATGACTTGTTTAAGGGCTCCACACTAAAGTTAAATCCAATCCTGTTTTCTCTCAAGTACCACACTAGAGGCTGGGAGGGGGTTCTCAAGGTGTCTCAGATAAGAAGAAAACTGAATTTAGAGAAACTGGGGCTCTAACTCAGGTGGTAGAGTGCTTGCCTGGCATACACTGGCTTCCATCCCTAGCATTGTATAAAGAAGACATGGTAGCCTGTACCCATAATCCCCAGCACTTCAAGGTGGAGGCAGGAAGATCAGAAGTGAAGGTCCTTGGCTAGATGTAAGTCTGAGGCCAGCCTAGGCTACACTTTCCTTTCTGGATGATAAGCCTGCCCTCTTCCAATAGTCCCCACACTTGCCTTGAGCCTTCCATAGTTCCCATGGATTCAGGGTAAAGCTCCCAGTTCCACTGTACTCCACATTCCAGTGGAAATCCAAAGCTTGACCCCCAAGCCTTCCTACCTCTCCAGAACCCAGCCATCCCTCCAGTCAGGCCCATCACACTACTGCCCCTGCCTTCTCTTCAGCCGGCTCACAGAAGCCTTACTCTACAGGTGGCCCATGCTGTGCCTGTTTATGGGAGTGCACTTCTTGCTTAGATGCTCTTCCAGAACAGATCTCTGACTCTCATAGCTGGATAGCCTGACACACAGAAAGGCTTCTAGGAAAGGTCTGCTGACCTCAGGAGCCACCAAGCCCAGGTCAGACACTCCTAGCCTAACCACTCCCAACACTGTCCCCTGAAACCATCTGCCCAGCTCCCCCCAACTCCACCCCTAACCACTCTGCTGTCACAGAGGCTGGAACAGCCCATGAAGGGCCCAGGTGAGGTACAGACAGCAGCACTGGGTTTGGAACCAAACGAAACACTCCCTTTGTGCTAACATAGGTGGGGTAGGTCAGGCTGGGGTCTGTTTGCTCTGTCTTTGTGGGCAGCCTCCACTGGCAGTTCCAGGACCCATGGGGCATTGTACAAGCCCAAGGACTCAATGCTGGTATACACCCAGTGTGAGTCGTCCTAGGCATCCCTGAGCTGTGCTACCCAGCTGGTGGATCTGTGATGTGGATCTGGAAGATTTTGTCCTGGAGTAGAAGCTTCACACCTCACCTCAGTACTCAGGTAAGGCCAGGTACCCCAGGACTAGGGAGTCACCAAGAGAAACCTCTCTAAAGGGGGTTTCCTCACCCATCCACAGGAGTCTAGTTCCTATCCCTGATCCTCCCACCCACAGGGTCCTGCCTGGAAGTCTTACCTCAGACCCCAAAGACAAGGCAAGTGATTGCCAGTTCAGAGGGCTCAGGACCCGGGTCTGGGAGCTCCAGGCTGCTGGAGAGGACTGCAGTAACTCTGGGGCTTGTGGAGGGAGAACTCTGATACCCTTCACCTGAATGGAATGTCTGAGTGGAGGGTGCTGGAAGGGATCAGAGACAGGGCTCCTGAGTGTCTGGGAAGGTAGGTGTGTAGGCATCTGAAGAAAGGCTTCTGGGTGCTTTAAGGGTCTGTTGAGTTGGGGGTGGTGAGAAAAAAATGAGGAGGTATGGAATCTGACTCGGGCTGGAGGAAGCCGGTTGTCACCCACCCTCGCTGGTCACTCACCCTCATTGAGTCTGGGTCCAGGTCCTAGCAGCAACAGTAGCAGCAGCAGCAGCAGCATTATTAGCCAGCACAGAGGTAGCCCACAGGCGTAGGAGGGTGGCAGGTGTGGGACTGACCAGAAGGGCTAGTCTTAAACTCAGCAATCCTGCTGACCCTTACCTCCAATCCCGCCCCCACCTCACCTTCTTTCCGTGGGGGCGGAGTCAAACAGGAGTGGTCACCTGGCGTCTTGGGGAGTGTCTGTCCCTGACTTCTGCAGATTGGTCCCCAAATGGAGGGCTAAGGCTAAAAGGGGATCAGGCCCAGGGATGCCTCCATGTAGTAAAAAGGTGCTGTGTTGATGTTGAAGAGCACCTTAGCATTTTACAACGCCTGCGGCTGTGCTGCTGTGAGGCAGTGGCAATTGACTCTCTATAATCTCCTCATGATACCACCACAAAGTGAGAAACTGAGGTAGTCAAAGTTTGCCCAAAGTCATGCAGCCATTTCTGGTAAAAGACAGGGCTGGAGCCCTGATGGTGGTGAACTGGGAAGCTGGGACAGAAGGATGTGGGGAATTCTGAACCAACCTGGACCTCACAATGTGGTCTTGGAGGGGAGGTAGGGAGTGGGGAGGAAGGAAAGGGAAAAAGGACAGGCATGGAGGGGCGGAAGGCCATGCCAGCATCACACTGGACTACCTATTCCATGCAGGTCTACCCCAGGCTTCTCATTTGTTGGATGGTTTCCTTCTGGGGAAGTGGACTCAACAGATGCTCTCAACTGAAAAGAAATGACCATTAGAGGCATTGCTTTTGCCCAATGCTCACAATGCACAATTAGGCCCCATTTCTTTTTCTTCCTGGAACTCACTTTGTAGACCAGGCAGGCCACCAATTTTTGTTGTTTTGGCTTCTTACTTGATCTGAGTGGAACCTTGGGAAACACCCATACCTTATGAACAGATTCTAGTAAAGTGAGAATTATCTCCAGCAATAAATAAATAAAAAGTAAATGACAAGGGGAAATTGGGTCTCCCTGGCTTTGAAGGTTCACCACACACACGTTTCTGTTGTTGTTGTTTGGTTGGTTGGTTGACTGGTTTTTTTTTGGGGGGGGGGGGATTTGTTTTGTTTTGTTTTTTTGAGACAGGGTTTCTCTGTGTAGCTCTGGCTGCCCTGGAACTCAATCTGTAGACCAGGCTAGCCTCTAACTCATAGAGATCTGCCTGCCTCTGCCTCCCAAGTACTGGGATTAAAGGGGTGCACCACTACCACCCAGCACAACACAGGGTTTAGCCTAGGCCCTCAACCAATTCACTGTTACAGAAAGATACTAAGGATCTATGAACTGAGAAGCCAAAGGGCTGGTGGGATGACTCCGAGGGTACCACACAAGTCTAGAGACCTAAGCCTGAGCCCTAGAACCCATGTAAAGATGGAAGGAGAGAACTGACTCTACAGAGTTGTCCTCTGACCTCTATACTTGTACTGTGCCCTCCCATGCATACACACTATAATAATACATCTAAAATATTATGTATTGAAAGTAGGGGAACCATGACTAGAAATCATTATACATAGTACCCAACCTCTCTTTGCCCCTGCTATGATAATTCGAAGGGGACAGGCTTCATCCCTTATCTACCCACTGGAGTGTGAGAATCAGGCCACAGTCTGGTCTCATGCTTCTTGTGTGGCCATCACTGATCTGCCTGGCCCTTGGTCACCATTCAGTAAAATCTTTCTCATATAGTACAGATGGGATTTCAGATGCTCCAAGTCTTTGAATTACAGAAAATGTAAGTAACAACTTCAGTGTACAGCACTATTAGGAAAGGACAGGGGCTCCTGTGGCCTTAACACCCATAACCACCTGCTCCAGGAGAGCATTGTTTTGAAACTGAAGTCCTACCTGAAAGATACTAGAAGTTTGGAAGAACCAGAAGTTCGGAGCAGGGACAGGGTTCCTGCCCAGCTAATGTGAAGTACCCCAAGAATCATCATTCAGGGTGCTGCTCTCTTGGAGTCTCTCCCATGGGACTTCTTTCTCACTTTTCCTTAATTTTGCTCTATGGAAAAGACATTGAGCTCTTGGAAGGCTGGGGTAGCAGGACTGTTGTGAGTTTGAGGCCAGACTAGATTATATAGTGAGTTCAAAACCAGCCTGAGCTACTGAGTAAAAGCTTATCTCCGAAAGCTGAAAGCCAGCAAGATGGCTCAGAGGGTAAGGGCACTTGCCACCAAGCCTTAGGACCAGAATTTGATTCCAGGAACCATATGCTTGAAGTAGAGAACCACCTTCCTCCATGTCCTCCAACTCCTCAGCTAAATAACTGTTAGAAGAAGAAGAAGAATCAAGTCAGGTGACATAGGTCTGCAGGCCTAGCTGCTTAGGAGGCTGAGGCAGGAGGATGATAAGTTCAATGACAGTCCAGGCTATAGAGTGAGCTCAAGGCCAGCCTGAGCAACTGACATCCTTTCCCAACCCAAGGGTAAGGGGGTGAGGGAGGGAGGGAGGGAGGGAGGGAGGGAGAGAGAGAGAGAGAGAGAGAGAGAGAGAGAGAGAGAGAGAGAGAGAGAGAGAGAGCGAGCTAGAGATGCAGCTCTGTGGATATTCTTACTTGTGTGTTTGAGGCTATTAAACACCGATTACCAAGGAAAGAAAAGAAACTTCATTCAATTTCTCCATTATTCATTCACTGAGTCTGCAGCATGGACTGACCACCATGTCCTCAAGGGCAGGCCCTGTACTGGGTACAACAGGTGACCAAGTGCAGTTGTGTGCCCAGGTAGTGTTGGCAGACTGGGGGGACAGGTGTGAAGACGAGGGGAGTGGAGATGTGAGGAGGGCAACGACATAGGAGCAAAGGACTTGGGTATCCAGGAAGTAAACCTCTGGGTCTCAGACTGGGTGCCCTATTGTTTCTCAAAAGCAGATCCTGGCCCAGAATGCTGGAAAGGTGGATTATTTGTAAAGTGTATTCGGGGAGCAGAGGATGGGGCACAAAGGAAAGCAGGATGCAAGAACAAGTCCTGAGACTAAACACAAACAAGTCTTCAAGGGTTCATCTAGAAACCTTTTACTAAGCACCCATTTAGAGAACAAATGGAAGAAACATTTACTTCAGACTCCTGCCTCTCTTTGTTTGAGGGCTGCCTGGTGGGGAGGGCAGAGAGGGAAGCTGGTGAATCTGATTAAAGCCCACCTGGTCAGAGCTGGGGCTGAAATTGGCTGAGTTAGAGAAGACAGAGCTCAGGGACAGAAATCAACCAACTTCTCACCCCTCAGGGCTCAAAGAAAATTCTCCAAGTCAGGTATCTGAGATGAACTTTCCAGATTGACTCAAATGTGGTGAGACCAGGAGCCAAAGACATGTAAGGATGGAGACATAGCTAGGCAAAGGGCCTGGCACTAGTGGAAATTCCTAGAGTACAGGCCTCCCTCTGGTGGACAATCTAGGCATAAAGATTCCTACCAGGAAGTATTTGATTCGAAAGGGGCAATGGAAAAAAACTTATTTTTTGATTATAAAGATTGTGAAGCTGGAGATGTAGCTCAACAGTAGAGAGCTATAGCATTGGAAAAAGAAAAAAGGTGTGCATGCAAATGAGGGGGCGGAGTTTGTAGCTGTAGAACGGCGGGTATTGACAGGGAAGGAACTATTGATGGAAAACACACACACACACACACACACACACACACACACACACACACACACACACAACAGCTGGACAGGACAGCGTGTGCCTGTAGCCCCAGTGTGATGCAGGCCGAGCTTGAAGAACACAAGTTCAGGTCTTGGCTACATGATATTGAGTTAAGAGGCTAGCCTGGGATATATAAGTAAAAACATTTTTTTTTCCTGATGTTTGGGTAGCCTGCATGTCTTATCATTGACAATATTGGTAATTTCATCAAACAGGCTGGGACTTGGGTCATTTGACCAATGAAATGTGGTGAAAGAAGCCTACGTCACTTTTCAGCAGAACCTTTGGAGCCAGCAAGTGTCTGGGTATATCATTCCTTCCGCCACAAAAGGCTAAGCCACTAGCCTGTTGTGGAAATGAAGAATTTCTTGTGGAAAGAAGTCTTTTTGTTTGCTTGCTTATTTTTTCAACACAAGGTTTCTCTGTGTGGCCCTGGCTGTCCTGGAACTCACTCTGTAGACAAGGCTGGCCTTGAACTCACAGAGATCCACCTGCTTCTGCTTCCCAAGTGCTGGGATTAAAGGCATGTGCCACTACTGGCTGGTGGAAAGAAATCTTTTTAAAATAAAAAATTATATGTTTGTATTTGTGTGTCTATGTAGGGCATGTGTATGTGAGTGCAGGTGCCTTTGGAGGCCAGAAGAGATTGTTGGATCCTCTGAAGTGAGAGTTCCAGGTGATAGTGAACCTCCCCCCACCTGGCTTCTGGGATCAAACTCTGGTGCTCCACAAGATCAGCAATCTCTCTTACCTGTTGAGTCATCTCTGTAGCGTAAGAAATAAATATTTGTTGTAGGAAAACTTTGAGCATTGGGCTTGCAGCCAGGCAGTGGTGGCACACACTTTAAATCTCAGCACTTGGAAGAAAGAGGCAGGTGTATCTTAGTGAGTACCAGGACAGCCAGGGCTATACAGAGAAACCCTGTCTCAAAAAACAAACAAAAAATAAAAATAAAAAAGAGAATTGGGCTTGCTTGTCACTGCATCAGAACTCCATTTTTTCTGACTAATATACAGAAGAACTAAAACTAACAGAAGAACAATGTATAGAGTCTACTTACTATGGCCTTTCTGAAATCTTCAGAGAGAAGGCTCAGCGTGAAGTTTTTTCTAAGGCAGATCCTGGTTCATATTCCAACTACAACCTGGGAGACTTTGGGTAATTCATTCCCTTCCATGTGGTTTGGTCGTCACAAGTGTCAAATGAAATACTGAGTTGAGCTATAACTTTTGCATGAGACCCTGGGTTTTATTCCCAGCATAAAAAAAAAATTGACAAAAAGGAACTTTTGGTGCAGGGACACTGTGTAGTTGAGAGCAGACTCTCAGTACCTTTGAGTTGCAGCTGTCCTGGTTCTGTGGGGCTGTGGTTATTAGAGCTGTAAGAAGACACCTAGCAAACTAAAGAGACAACCATTATTTTGGCTCATAGTTTCCCAGGGTTCTCAGCTCTGCTGATTATGGGCCTGTCCCAGGCAGAGTCATCAAGTTGGAAGGGTGTGGAAGTGGAAACAGCTGTTCATGTCATAGCAGCAAGATACAGAGAGTGAGGAAGCAGCAAACCAGGGATGAGGTGTATATTCAAAACCACACCGTCTGGGACATACTTTGTAAGATAAATTAGTAAACTGTCTTGTAAATAAAAAACCCAGAGCCAGATATTGGGGTGAAAGCTGAGAGATCAGAGGAATAGAAGAAGCTAGACCCACAAGTTCTTACCACTAGGAAATCCTCAGCCTAAAAGAGTTACTTCCTGTATACCCACGCCTATATACCTTTCTGTGCCCTGCCATCTTACTTTCTCTCTCTGCCCAGCTATATCACTTCCTGTCTGTCTGTACAGACCTCCAGACTTCTATGGTTAACTAGTACTGGGATTAAAAGCATGTGCCACCATGCCTGGCTCTGGTCCCAGTGTGGCCTTGAACTCACAGAGATCTGGATGACTCTCTGCCTCCTGAATGCTAGGATTAAAGGCGTGTGCTACCACTGCCTGATCTCTATGTTTAATATAATGGCTGGCTTTTCCTCTGATCCCCAGGCAAGCTTTATTATTATTCATTTGTTAGAGCACAAATAAAATATCACCACATTTCCTTTTTTTTGTCTAAAATTTTTAAAAAGTTATAACTAATATAAGAAAAACTATATACAATAAGTACAATAACTATATACAATATATACAGGCAATAAGTACATTGACAATGTCTAGTCCATTTGCATTTAACAAATTCAGAGTAAATACTCCATTATCTATCCTATTTTGTGAGTTCAAAATGCACCTAATTCACTTTTCATCCTAACTTGTATTACCAACTGAAAACTATCCTTTGATGTCTTTTCAAACTTATACACTTTATACCTCTTTAGTGAGTTTCTGCTCTGAATTTGTGAACAAGGAAAACTATAAATATAACCATCTAATCTTCAACTCCCTCAGAGACCCGAGAAGGAAATAATAGTACCTAGTCAGACAGGAAGTGCAAACGAGCGACTTCCAAAACAGGTGGAAATGACAGAAACAGCTGGCTGCCTGGACAGTCATCCGAGGTTTCTCTGCAACATTGGGGCATCCATCTTTGGCCTACAGGCTTAGCATATCTGACAGACTCATCTGTAAAGCAGGATTTTCTAAAGATACTTCCTACCTGGCTTTGGCAAGGATTGGCAGTCCTTTCTTTTGTGTCCTGCTTGTCCATTTTGGACAGCATACTGTCTGCAGTTGAAGCAAGGGCACTTTCTTGCCCAGTGGCTAACTTTTGCTGCAATGAAAGTAAACTCTGTAAGGAGTTTCTTCAATGCCCATCATCTTCTCTGAAGTAGATTGGTGCTGCCAGGAGCAGACATGTCTCATTGTCAAAAAAAAAAAAAGAAAAAAAAACTATGTTATTAAAACACCTTAAATGCCATATTCTGTAGATCTCTGAAGTGTTTGAAGATGACCTGCTTATCTAAAATATATCTCGCTTTCACCTTGAAAACATACCTAATATGACTACAAGTTTGATTTAGTGACTGACTACTAACTGCATTTCTTTATTATCCTAAATAGTTGGTAACAACTTTTAAGGACTAGAAAATTGCATTACATTGTTAAATGAACTGTATAGGTACAATACCTGAACAAGATTAGAAATATATGTACAGTATTTTCTAACAAAATCAATCTCAAATTTGTAGCAATATGCATAATTTGTATACAATATACAAAAATCCAATCCAATGTAAAATATTGTAAAATTAGTAGTTGCCTTTTAAAAGTAGATTCAATAACCTACCTTTTTATCTTAACATATCCATATTCTCTCTTTTTTCAGAGTAGATTCAATAATTTACCCTTTATTCTATCATTTCTATATCTTTTTTTCAGAGTAGATTCAATAATCTACCTCTTATCTATATCCTCTTTTTTTTTCAAACAAGAACACTGAATCTAATTCCCTGACCATTAACAATTAACAACTTGTAACCAACCATCCTAAACAATGAAAGCTATCCATAACCCATTGAATGACCAAAAATCACCCACCTCACCTCTTGGGAATGTGGGTGTTGTGTTGTTAAAATTACTTCCTGCTGTCTTGGGGTAAAGGCATCTTTAGGGGATCTTGAAAAGAAAAATTTTGGGTTTAATTGTCAAGTTCTGGGAGAGGTAGCTGTATTCATTTGTTGTCCAGTGTGTGTATAATGTAAAAATGCAGGACCTGTCTCAAGTCCTTGCTCAGGTAGTCTGTGAGGCTGAATCATCTCAGCTACCCATCTCAAAATTGTCCTGAGCAGTTTGTAGTCCAAAGCCGAACTTTGGATGGTGTTTGTCAGCTTAGTGGTATTATCACTGTCCTGATGGGATCGTTGTTGTGGGGCCCCATCATCTTTCTGGAGACTTCAGATTTGCTGTTAGGCATGGTCATGATTCCCTGCAGAAAACCGATAGAGATTCAAACATGAAAACATGTATAGGCAGCTAGATGAAGCCTTTTTCCTAGAATTAGTTAGTACTCTATATGACCATTAATATCATGACAAAAGTTTAAATATATACATATCTTATAGATTTTGATATAGAAGTCATAGCTTAAGAAAAGTTGTGGGGCTTTTTTGGTTTTTTGAGACAGGGTTTCTCTGTGTAGTTTGCGCCTTTCCTGGGACTCACTTGGTAGCCCAGGCTGGCCTTGAACTCACAGAGATCTGCCTGGCTCTGCCTCCTGAGTGCTGGGATTAAAGGCGTGCATGTGCTGCCGCCACCACCGCCTGGTGAAAAGCTTTAAAGAGTCAAAATAGAACCAAAGAATTATGAGATTAGTGGCAATAGAATAGCCCCTTAATTTTGTTTTGTTTTTTCTCTCCCATATCAGATGGCTTTTCTGACATGATACAGAGATTTTGTGTTTTCTTTTAACCAGCGTGCTTGGGTTTGGAGAAGGAGAGAGCTATACTCCAACTCCAAAGCCAGCTTTAATTTTTAACTGAACTGGGACTACATAAAGACCATTTGTGCTATGTGTCTGTAGATAACAGCAGAAACAAACATTTAGGAAGACTTACGAAATTTCATCCTGTTAGATATGTGATATATCAATAGGCAAATTTACTCTTTTTCTTGAGACATTTTTTCTGGATAATTTGTCCTTTTTCTTCAGATGTCTCATTTGTCCAGTGTTCTTCAGATTCCTTAGCCTTCATTCTCCTGAAAGACAAAAACAAAAACTCTTCCCCAACCCTAGCTTTGGGGAGGCTCCCTTTTGGCAAGTTATATCTGATTAAATAAAAAGCATTTGTTAGTATATAAGTTAATTTAAATTTAATGGTCATGCTGCTTGATGAACTATTACCTATTCTAATTAAGATGTCTCTCTCGTTCAAATTGAACCTTTATCAATTTTGTTGGTATCCATAGCTCTTCTTCTCCCATTGAAACAAAAACAAAACCTTGTCCCCAATGTAATACATATCCTGGTTTCCATTCTGAAGTCAGTGCATCTTTAAAGTATACAGGCTGATTTAATTCTGTAGTTTTTTCTATTATCCAATGTCTCTCCACAGCTGTTGTTCCTTTCTCATTACCACTGAGAAAATTCAAAGTTAATAGAGCATTATATAATCTATTTCTGGGGGTTTTTGTTACCCCCTTCTGTCTATTTAGTATATCCTTTAGAATTTGATTTGATCTTTCTATGACTGCTTGGCCTATAGGATTAGGTGGCATACCTGTAATATGCTTTATATTGTAATAAGCAATAAACTGTTTCATTTTACCAGAGACATATACTGGAGCATTGTCAGTTTTAATTTGTACAGGTATATCCATGATGGCCATAACTTCTAGCAAATGCGTGATTACAGAATCAACCTTTTCAAAACTCAGAACAGTTGCCCATTGAAATCCCAAATAGGTATCAATGGTGTGGTGAACATATTTCAATTTTCCAAATTCTACAAAATGAAACACATCCATCTGCCATATTTCATTCCTCTGAGTACCCTTTGGGTTATATCCTGCTGGTAGTGGCGTCTGATTGTAAAAGGAGCAGGTACGACATTTCCTTATAATTTCTTTGGCTTGTTGCTTGTTGCCAGGTTATGGAAAAATCCTTTTTTAAACCCTTACATGATTTTTTTTTTTTTTTTGGTTTTTCGAGACAGGGTTTCTCTGTGTAGCTTTGCGCCTTTCCTGGAACTCACTTGGTAGCCCAGGCTGGCCTCGAACTCACAGAGATCTGCCTGGCTCTGCCTCCCGAGTGCTGGGATTAAAGGCGTGTGCCACCACTGCCCGGCCTTACATGATTTTTTAAAAAATGAAATTCTGAGGCCTCTAGCACATTTCCTATCAATAGTTTATCAATCTCATCATTTCCTTGTGCTAGAGGGCCTGGCAGACCCATATGAGATTGGATATAAGTTAAATATAAGGGGTGATACCTATTCCTGCTTCTATCTTGTAACTCAATAAATAACTAAGTTAATTCTGACTCATCAGGGATAAATTCTGCTGTTTCAATATGTAAGACCACTCTTTCAGCATACTGAGAGTCAGTAACTATGTTGAGGAGTTCAAAAAAAATTCATTAATGCCATCAGAATAGCATATCATTCTGATTTTTGAACACAATTATAAGGACTTTGAACCACTTTACTTAATTTTTCTGACTTGTAACCTGCCTTTCCTTGTTTGTTTGCATCTCTTTTAACTAATTTCTCCCTTTAAGATATCTTAATTGCCGGGCGGTGGTGGCGCACGCCTTTAATCCCAGCACTCGGGAGGTAGAGCCAGGCGGATCTCTGTGAGTTCGAGGCCAGCCTGGGCTACCAAGTGAGTTCCAGGAAAGGCGCAAAGCTACACAGAGAAACCCTGTCTCGAAAAACCAAAAAAAAAAAAAAAAAAAAAAAAAAAAAAAAAAAAAAAAAAAAAAAAAGATATCTTAATTGACTCACCAAGTCTGATGACTGTGTAGAACAGAAGTCCGAGGGAGTTTCAAGGCAGCTACCTAGTGTGGTAGCAGTCTGAGATGGGGATCCAGAGATAGCTCACCACCCACCAGGAGAGAAGAAGCCAAAGAGACTCCTATGTAGGGTGGAGACTCTGGCTGCGTGCAGTTCAGACCTGAGTTGGAAGCCTGCAAGCCCACAGGCAAGCGGCTTTTTAGTGAATTTGTGCCACAAATGTTGGGGTGCCAGATGTAACAGGAATTGCTAAATGGTCTTATAAATAAAAAACCCAGAGCCAGATATTGGGGTGAAAGCTGAGAGATCAGAGGAATAGAAGAAGCCAGACCCACAAGTTCTTACCACTAGGAAATCCTCAGCCTAAGAGAGAGCTACTTCCTGTATACCCACGCCTATATACCTTTCTGTGCCCTGCCATCTTACTTTCTCTCTCTGCCCAGCTATATCACTTCCTGTCTGTCTGTACAGACCTCCAGACTTCTATGGTTAACTAGTACTGGGATTAAAAGCATGTGCCACCATGCCTGGCTCTGGTCCCAGTGTGGCCTTGAACTCACAGAGATCCGGATGACTCTCTGCCTCCTGAATGCTAGGATTAAAGGCGTGTGCTACCACTGCCTGATCTCTATGTTTAATATAATGGCTGGCTTTTCCTCTGATCCCCAGGCAAGCTTTATTGTTGTTTTATTTGTTAGAGCACAAATAAAATATCTCCACGATACTTCCTCAACTAGGTCCTAACATCTGGTTTCTAGAATGTTCCAAAACAGCCTGTGGGGAAAGTTTTATACTCAAGCCAGAGCAGGTATTTACTAATGTGACCCTGGTTGATAATACGTAGGGAGACCAGGGCCTTTGGATCCTAGTCACCTTGGATTAGATTGTCAGCTCTGGCAGTTTCTGGCTTGCCTGGTACCTGGTTTGGATAAAAGTGCAGTGGGGCTGGGACAGTGGCGTCAAGCTGAGGCTGCCTTCCTCTATAGCAGCACAGCCTCTCTCCTAGAAGCTGGTCCCTCCAATGACCTTGCCCAAGGACTGGTGCCTTTGTCCTCCCAGGTTGCCCTCTTTGCCTACTCCACAGAGACCCACTACTCTTCTCCTTTCCTTCTCTCTCCACTCCCCTTTTCCTTTATTATGGAGTTTGTGACCCCTGGGAAAAGACCATATACTCAATCCAATTAGAATTAAAAGATTTATTGATTAGCTGTTAGCAGGACAGTCTCTGAGCCAAACTTGAGATTGCCATGGAGGAGGGGTATGGGGAAGGACTTCTAAAGGGTAAAGCCACATGAAAACCTTCAACTCCTATGCAAGCGGGTTAAAACTGTTCTGTTCTGCTAAGTTAAGTGTTTAAGGCAACTCAAAACAATCTGTGGGTATCTTCATAAGCAAGTTACAGAAGCAAAAAAAAGCAGTCATATAACAAGGAGTCACGGCTGTACATTTTTAGGTGGGGGCCACTGAGTCAGGGTTACTAAGAACTTATTTTCCAGGGACTGGAGTCAGAGATTAACAGCTGGTGGGTGCCAAAATGGATGTCTAGCATCAGATGGAGCCTCTCTAGCCTTAACACTGTGCTCTTCCTCTATCACTACTTTCTTCTCCTCCTGTCTCTCTCTGCGCTTCCTCTATTCTGTCTTGTCTCTCCATGTTCCTCCTGAGTCCTCTAGTTCCTTCTCTGCCTCTCATATTCAGTCCCTGCTCTTGTTCTCCATCTCCTCTCTATCCAGCCCTCTGCACCTACACCTTTCTGTTTTCTTCTGTTTTCATCTCTGTTTAATCTTTTTCCTTTTCTATCTCACCAGCTGCCCCCCATGTCCCCCTACTCTTCATATCAGTTCTCACTCATTTATCCACCCCACTCCTTGTCCTTCCTGCACACACACCTGTGCCTTTCTTTCTCTACTCTCTTTTCACCACATCTATCATTCCCTCCTGGACCCATCTTCTCCTTCCCACAAACACTGTTTTGGAGGACCTAGTCTCCTGTGCCTTTGGTTCCATTCCACAGCTGGCCAAGATCACAGCCTCCCTCTGTCCTGGGTTGGCGTGGGGCACAGAGTAGATGGGGATCCAGTTCCCAGAGGCTGTTCCTGTGTCCCCTTTCTGCCCCACTGCAGCCCATTCTGTGGACAGACAGGGCTCTATCCCAGATCTTCTGCTGAGCTGGCCTCCTCCACCACCTAACAGGAGAGGTTGCTGGTGCAGGATGTATTAGTGAACAAGGTGAACAAGTGGAGCTGGAGCTGGATGTGCCTCTTCATTCCTTCTAGCAGGACTTCCTTCTCACAGACTTTAACCATACTGATCCCTCAGTTAATAAGACTAAGACATGGGGTGCATGCAGAAAACTGTCCCCAGCTCCCCCAGTACCTCTCAGATTGCTGGGACATGGTGCTTCTGGGGAGTGGCTAGCACAGTAAGGAGAGGTCACTGCAGGACATCCTCATTGGTCTCTTGTGGACACTGCTGGCTGCTCATCCACTTCTCACCACCAGGAATGGTCCACTTAATGGGCTATCTTTTCATCAGACACTCCTTTGTCTGGAAGGCCCAGGTACTCTGTAGCTTGAGTTTTCCTGCCTGGCCCACAGTCAGGACAAATCTGTCACCCGCCAGTCCCACAGCTGCTCAGACCCAACCAAGTAAACAGAGAGGCTTATACTGCTTACAAACTGTATGGCCGTGGCAGGCTTCTTGCTAACTGTTTTTATATCTTAAATTAATCCATTTCTATAAATCTATACCTTACCACGTGGCTTGTGGCTTACCGGCATTTTCACATGCTGCTTGTCATGGTGGCGGCTGGCAGTGTCTCCCTCTGCCTTCCTGTTCTCTCAATTCTCCTCTCTGTTAGTCCTGCCTATACTTCCTGCCTGGCTACTGGCCAATCAGTGTTTTATTTATTGACCAATCAGAGCAACACATTTGACATACAGACCATCCCACAGCAGTACTCAGTGTATGTTTAATGACTGTACAAACAGAGCTACCACCCAGGTCTAAATACAGGATATTTTCAACACCCTGCTGGCTCCCTTGGGCCCTTTTCAGTCAATATGTCTGTCTTAGTTACTGTTCTATTGCTATAAAGAGACACCATAACCAAGGCAACTCTGTTTTTTTTTTTTTTTTTGATTTTTCGAGACAGGGTTTCTCTGTGTAGCTTTGCGCCTTTCCTGGAACTCACTTGGTAGCCCAGGCTGGCCTCGAACTCACAGAGATCCACCTGGCTCTGACTCCCAAGTGCTGGGATTAAAGGCGTGTGCCACCACCTCCCGGCTACCAAGGCAACTCTTATAAAAGCACTTAATCAAGGCCTTGCTTATAGTTTCAGAGGGTTAGTCCATGATTACCATGGTGGGAAGCAGACAGGCATGGTGCTGGAGCAGAAGCTGAGAGTTTTACATGCTGATTTGCTGTCAGAAAGAGACATTGGTCCTGGCATGCTTTTGAAACCGCAAAGCACACCCCCACTGACACACCTCTTCCAACAAGCCCACAACTCCTACTCCTTCCCAAACAGTTCCACTAGCTATGACCCAAGCATTCAAACATATGAGTCTATGGGGGCCATTCTCACTCAAAGCACCACAACTATCCAAAGGAGAACATGCTTCTGTTACCACCCCCAGGGTTTCTGTGTGATTGTGACTTCTGTGTGTATTAAATCACATCACGTGCATTCCAAGGTGTGTCAGATGATCTTCCAGGAAGCACAGTCAGACAACATGAATACAAGAAGTGTGTTGGAGTAGCACTGTGGTGGGCAAAAGGAACATGAGGCAGGCCTGGGAGGGACAAATCTCACACTGTGACATGAGTACCACTCACTGTGATCTCTGAGGGTCCCCTTTACCTGTCAAAATGACTGTGGTAGAAGGCAACAAGGGTTTGGTTTATTTTGATCAGATTGTGTTTCCATGGGCACATTTTGTCTTCTGAGACAGTCATTCCTTTTTTTTTTTCAGGGTTTCTCTGTATAACAGCCCTGGCTATCCTCTGTAGACCAGGCTGGCCTTGTTTGAGGCTAGAGATCTGACTGCCTTTGCCTCCCTGAGTTGCTGGGATTAAAAGTGTGTACCACCACTGGCATAACTGGATGTCAATATGTAAAAGATTACAAATAGATCCACATCTGTCACCATGCACAAAACTCAAGTCCAAGTGGATCAAAGACCTCAACATAAATCCAGTTACACTAAACTTAATAGAAGAGAAAGTAGGAAGTACTCTTGAATGCATTGGCACAGAAGATCACTTCCTAAATATAACACCAGCAGCACAAACACTGAGCACAACAACTAATAAATGGGATCTCTTGAAACTGAGAAGCTTTTGTAGGGCAAAAGACACGGTCAATAAGACCAAAAGACAGCCTACAGAATGGGAAAAGACCTTTACCAACCCCACATCTGACAGAGGAATGATCTCCAAAGTATATAAAGAACTCAAGAAACTAGACATCAAAATACTGAACAATCCAATTAAAAAATGGGCTAAAGAACTAAACAGAGACTTCTCAAAAGAAGAATCACAAATGGCTGCAAGACATTTAAAGAAATGCTCAACATCCTTAATCATCAGAGAAATGCAAATCAAAATGACTCTGAGATACCACCTTACACCTGTCAGAATGGCTAAGATCAAAAACACTAATGACAGTCTATGTTGGAAAGGATGCGGAACAAAGGGAACACTCCTCCACTGTTGGTGGGAATGCAAACTTGTACAACCACTGTGGAAATCAGTATGGTGGTTTCTCAGAAAATTGGGAATCGATCTACCTCAAGATCCAGCCATACCACTCTTGGGCATATACCCAAGGAATGCTCAATCCTATCACAAAGATACATGCTCAACTATGTTCATAGCAGCATTATTCATAATAGACAGAACCTGAAACAACCTAGATGCCCGTCAACCGAAGAATGGATTAAGAAAATGTGGTACATATACACAATGGAGTACTACTCAGCAGAGAAAAACAATGTCATCATGAAATTTGCAGACAAATGGATGGAACTAGAAAATATCATCCTGAGTGAGGTAACCCAATCCCAGAAGGACAAACATGGTATGTACTCACTCATAAGTGGATTCTAGATATAAAGCAAAGAACAATCATGGCCGGGCGGTGGTGGCGCACGCCTTTAATCCCAGCACTTGGGAGGCAGAGGCAGGCGGATCTCTGTGAGTTCGAGGCCAGCCTGGTCTCCAAAGCGAGTACCAGGAAAGGCGCAAAGCTACACAGAGAAACCCTGTCTCAAAAAACCAAAAAAAAAAAAAAAAAAAAAAAAAAAGAACAATCAGACTTCAACCCACAGAACTAGGGAGGCTATATGACAGGGGGGACCCTAGGATGACTGTGACTTAGAATAAGTTTTGATTTTACTAAAAACAAACAAACAAACAAAGTGTGTACCACCACTGCTCAGTGAGATGTTCTTTAAGCCCTGATGAAAGTTCATGAGTATCTGCACCCTACTTCCCTTCTACATATATTGAAATCAACTTTCCTTCAGATCACAGGTCCAGATATTTGAATGGAATCAAAACTATCCTTTCTTTCTCTATCTGGTAGGGATGACTTTTTTTTAGCTTTTTTTTTTCTAGGTGTGGCTTTTAATACATCAGTCTTTCAAAATGGGTATCAGATCTTTTGGCCAAAGCTATCTCTTATTATTGGAGGTGTGGCCTTTTTGGAGGAAGCATGTTACTGGGGGTAGGCTTTGAGGTTTCAGAAGCTCAAGCCAGGCCTAGTGACTCACTGTCTCTTCCTGCTACCCAATTAAATATTTTCCTTTATAATAGTTACCACAGTTGTGGTGTCTCTTCACAGCAATAGAACCCTAACTAAGACACATCTATAACCTTAGTTTAATATACTTGGATGGAGCTGGGCAGTGGTGGCGCACGCATTTAATCCCAGCACTCGGGATGCAGAGGCAGGCAGAGGATCTCAGTGAGTTCGAGGACAGCCTGGTCTACACAGTGAATATCAGGAGAGCTAGGGCTACACACAGAAACCCTGCCCCCCAAAACAAACAAACGAACAAACAATGAAACCAACCAATTCAAAACAAAAAAAGTTAATGGATACTATTAATGATCTTTGATGAGGAAAGAGTACAAAATACCTTCTCTACATGCTCAGTCTCTTCAGTGTCCTCAAATTTTAAGGTCCCACACATAGCAAAACTAAGACCCTGAGGAGCCTCATAGAGTTGATTTTAGGTCTTGAGACAGCAGGGACATAGAGGAAGAGTGGGATGTGGTCTAAGGTAAAGTTCAGAGCACAAGGTAACTAGAGGGCATTTTGGTGTGGTGAGGATGTCTAGCAGGCAGCTCAATATCAGCCTCTGTCTCACCCGCTCTGATTCCTGGTAGCCTCCCACTGACTTGGAGCTGCCTGCACTGTGATTCTCCATGGAGCTATGTGAACTCCGGCAAACAAAGTATCTGGAGAGAACCACATGAAATTTTCTTCACACCAAATCTCCCATTCAGGGGAATCAGTCAGTTCTGCCTCAGATTATGGACTAAGAGCTCTAGGGCAGCCATGGAGCTCTGGGGAAAGCAGGGCCTCTTCCACACAGTGCCATGGAGCTCTCATGCTTTGCTCCTGCATCCTACCATTCTGGGGACTGCCTTCAAGCCCATCAAGGTGAGTGTCACAAGCCTCTCCCAGGCTGGATCCTCATGAACTACTCTCCCCAAGCCTCTAATTCCCTCCTCCCCAGGAGGCTTCTCCTGTTCTGGATGCTTCTGCTATAATTCATAGCCACTTCCTAGCTACATGACCATGCATGCACTGTCCAGCAGTCAGGCAAACTGGGCCAACCAGGCAGCCAGGACAGTGGCCCTCCAGGGCCCAGACTCATCCTACCCACCACAGGGAATCCATACAGTACAACCCACACCCTCACAGCCCCTGACACTAGGCAAATTCTGTCCTGTCTGCATCAGCTCTTTCACCCTAATAGTCAGGCCCTGTCTCAGTTTGTCACAGCCCATGTACAGCCCACCTCAAGGACTTACAGTTCTTGTAAAATTTGCCAAAAGTCAGATCCTAATTCCAAATATCGGAGCCAAACTTTTCCCACTACCAGCCTAGAGGTTCCCTTCCAGGGACTGACTGGCAGCTTGATTTTATTCATATGCCCACTTTCAGATGAATTAAATATCTTCTTGTGATTGTGGGCTCTTTTGTGAGCTGGGTGGAGGCATTTCTGGTTTCTAATAAGTGAGCTCAGATAGTTGCTGACCTCCTCTACATCCCTTATTTGGAATCCCTGTGTAGTCGGAAGGTTTCCCTGGCCCTGCCCAGTCCCACAGCCACTCAGTCCCAAGTAAACACAGAGGCTTATATTATTTACAAACTGTATGGTCTATGGTAGGCTTTTTGCTAGCTAGCTCTTATAACTTAAATTTACCCATTCCTATTAATCTATAAGTTGCCATGTGTTCCACGGCTTACTGGTACTTTCACGTCTTGCTTCTCCTGGCGGCAGGCTGGCGTCTCTTCTACCTCTCCTTTCTGTTTCCTGTCTCTCCCTCTTGAGTCTCCTGCCTGCCTCTAATTGGCCTTGCCATAGGCCAATGCAACTTTTATTTATTAACTAATCAGAGCAACATATGTTCACAGCATACAGAAAGCATCCCACAGCATGCCTGCCTCTCTTCAGTCTGATAATGGCCCAGAGTTCACCTCCCAGATTTCCTAGACCCTATCTAAAGCTCTTAACATCACTTGGCATTTCTATATCCCTTACCATCCTCAGTCCTCAAGGAAGGTGGAATGTACCAACTACTCTTTAAAAAACATTCTTAAAATGTCACAGGAACTTCACCTTGACTGGGTGAAATTATTGCCTCTACCTCTTTTTAGGCTCCAGTCTTTTCCCAAGCAACTCTTTCAGTCTCACCTCCTGAACTCATGTATGGGAGATGGCTCTAACCCTGGGCCTCCTATCCAAACCGTCACCCCTCCCTGACCACCTGCTCACCCACCTACTCTATCACCTCTGCTCTCTCCTACAGAGTTTTGCTGACCATTCCTTACCCCAGTCACATGACAACCCCTGCCCACATTGGGGATCAGGTCCTTTTTTTCTCCTCCAGACCAGCACCCCTCAACCCTTTCACCTAAATGGCAGGGACCCTTCAAGGTAATTCTTGTAACCCCCACAGCTGCTAAGCTCAAGGGCCTTCCCCATTGGATTCATCTGTCTCACCTGAAGCCTTTTACCCCACCCCCAATCCAGGGGAATTCTTCTTCATATACAGTGATACAAACAAGGCTCTGCTCTCTTAAGTTCCAGAGGACGCCAAGATCAACTGCTTTGTCTCCAATTCCAGAAGAATGAGGTTTCATCCCACAACCGTACTCAGTCCCACTGGATTGGGAACCCCATGTTTTTTCTTCCTGATTCTTTCTCCACATTATCCTGTCTCTACCGACCACATTCTGCTTCATCAGTTTCCCTCTGTGTTTCTAATAATATATTCAAATTTCTAATTAACTATTCAGCTGTTACAGGACTACTATTAGCCATAGAATCAGAGGTGCAAGGATCATCAAATCTACCCAGGTGGTAAAAAATAGTAACACTGTGGAGGTATTCACACCCTCAGACTCAAAAGGGTCTGGACTTTGCAAAAAAAACAGACTTTAATATAACAATGTATTACTGTTAAATGCCCTCAGCAGCCAATCACCTGTGTCTAGATTTCCTAGACCCTATCTAAAGCTGGGGGGTAGGAAGGGGGGCTTTTCTTGAGGTAGCTGGATGCTGAAATAATAAAAGGAAACAGATGCCTTAAGGTTTGTCTCAGGTGAAGATAGAAAGCCTAATTGATGATAAAAATAAAGCATGTGGGGCTAGAGAGATGGCTCAGAGGTTAACAACACTGGCTGTTCTTCCAGAGGTCCTGAGTTCAATTCCCAGCACCCACATGGTGGCTCATAACCATCTGTAATGAGATCTGGTTCCCTCTTCTGGCCTGCAAGGATACATGCAGACAGAACATTGTATACATAATAAATAAATAAATCTTTAAAAAAAATAAAGCATGTTCCAGATTTCTCTCTCCCTCTCCCTCTCTTCCTCTCTCCATCCCCTCCTCTCTTTCTTGCTTACACTAACTAATGGAATTCTGATAGCAGAATACTAAACATTATAATATCATGGCTACCAGCTCAGGACTTTAAATTCTCTTTGGGTGCTTCTTAATATGTTTAAAATATGTCTCCTTCGTAAACTTAAAAATTATTCTGAGCTCCAGAGCCAGCTTGGACCCACCCGGAGAGGTCAGATCCACTTCAGGTAAGTATCATTCAAACTTTCCTGGTCCTGGGACCCCCTCCCTCATTCTGGGACCCCTCGGAGACATCCTCCCCCTTCATCTCATTCCCCCTTTCCCTCTAAGGTAAAATTTTTTTCTAAACTTCCTTTTCTGCCTTGCCAGCACCTTGTCAGATCCAAGTGGTTATGGATGATTCCACAGGGCTAAAAGCAGTGGTGAAGACAATTCAGCTACCTCAGAACATCCAGCTACCTCAAGAAAAGCCCCCCTTCCTACCCCCCAAAATTAACCAATGCCCACCAAGTCAGCTGGAAGCAGTTCCGGGAGACACGGTGCCCCCATTCCCGTTCACCTGCCACTCCTAACCCCTTGTTTTTATAATAACAAAAAGGGTGGAATATTATAATTGTAGCCACTTCCTAGCTACATGACTGCATATGCGCTATCCAGCAGTCAGGCTAAATGCTTAGTCACCCTAGGGCCTTATGTACTACATAATCCGTGTGCTGTGTGGTCACATATTCTGCGCACAGTGTGATCATGTAATCTATGTGCATGCATGGCACAGCTATGTGAGCCCATATGCGCATGCGCAAGGTGACCTATAAAAGATTCCACCCAATACCTGCTCTCTCTCCCCTGAACTATCTATTTCCGGTAGGCCTATTCATGTTCTTATACTTTCCCCTCCCTAATAAAACTCTTACAGTGGGTTCCATTGTACCTCGTGTTCTCTGTTGCCTGGTAAACAGTGTCGCAAATAAATAACAGCTTCCATGATAGGGAATCACAGCTCTGTGATAGCCAGTGTGTTTGTCTGAAAACAGTTAAAGCCGAGAGCTGGGAATAGCTCAGTAGTAGAGTGCTTGCCTGGGATGTGTGAAGTCCCAGGTGAAATTCTTAGCAATGAAAAGGCAGGCTCTGGAGAGTGGCTCAGAAGTCAGGAGAACTTGCTGCTCTTGCAGAGAATCTAGCACCCATTTGGTGACTTACAGCCACCTATAATTCCAGTTCCGGGGTACCTGATGCCCTCTTCTGGCCTCCTTGGAAATCAGACATGCACGTGGTATACATACACGTGGGCAAAGATTTATATGTATAAGATAAAAACAAACCTTTAAAATAACCAAGCAAACGAACAAACAAACATCTGAAGCCCAAAAAGTAAGGATGTGACCAATTGAGTTCTCATTGTGGGGCATATGGCTAATGTTCCATGCATGTCTGCTATTATTTCCAACTTCTATTAATCTCTTTCCTTGTCTGCAAAAGATGTGTCAACCAGATCATGGTGGGGAGAAGTCCATTGTGTTGCCTCAGGCACCTGAAAAATTTTCAATGTCTATCACAGCCAGCTTTTCCTTGTATTGCAAATCCCTGTAACAGCATCAGGTGACCTTTTTTGGGGAGGTGTGGGTGAACTAAGGATCCTGTTCCCTTACCTACATTAAACATTCTACAAGTCTGACTGGCAAAAACTTCAAGGACTATGGGGTGCTGAAATGTTATAGGTCAGGGCCCAAGGTATCTTGGGCTACCTTAGCCCCTAAATAGCCATCCATTCCTCCTGCTGCATGTGCCCTAACACCCTCGTGACTATTGGGTACATCTTTTTGGAATGTACAGATAGACCACTATTTTCTACAACCCAAGGAGTTCAAGATCAATTTGGGTTAATAGTAAGTTCAAGAGTATTATGAGACCCTGTCATAAGCAAGTGTCTTAGTTAGGGTTTCTACTGCTGTGACAAAACCCCATGACCAAAAAGCAAGTTGGGGAGGAAAGGGTTTATTTGGCTTACACTTCAGCATTGCTGTTCATCACTGAAGTAAGCAGGACAGGAACTTAAACAGGGCAGGATCCCAGAGGTAGGAGCTGATGCAGAGGCCATGGAGGGGTGATGCTTACTGGCTTGCTCAGCCTGATTTCTTATAGAATACGGGGTCACCAGCCCAGGGATGGCTCCACCTACCAGTAACAACTGACACCTTGTCACTACTAAGCCGCAACCCTTTCTTTCTTATTCATCTTCAAGATCTCACATCAAAAACATAAATAACTTTAAAAAGTCCACAGTCTTGAACTGGACAGATGACTCAGTAGTTAAGAGCACTGGCTGCTCTTCCAGAGGACCTGGGTTCAATTCCCAGCAGCCATGTGGTAGCTCACAACCTTCTGTAACTCCAGTTTCAGAGGATCTGAATCCCTGGCACAGACATACATGCAGGCAAAATACCAGTGTACATGAAATAAAAATAAATAAATCTTAAAAAAATTCACCACAGTCTTTACAAATTCAAACACATTAAAGTTTCAGTCTCTTTAAAATAGCCAATCTCTTTTAAAATCCAAAGTCTTTTAAAATTCAAAGTTTCTCAACTGTGGGCTCCAGTAAAATACATTCTTACTTCAAAAGGGGAAAATCAGGGCAGTCACAACCAAATCAAATCAAAACAAAATTCCAACCATCCACAGAGATCTTAACATTCAATGGTCCTTTTAGCTCTAAGTTCCAAAGTCCTTCCACAGTCCTCCCCAAAACATAGTCAGGTCTGTCACAGCAATACCCTACTCCTAGTTCCAATTTGCCTTCAGTTGGCAAGGCCAGCAGAATACCTTCACAGTTTTGCCTCAAGGATATATTAACTCTCCTGTCCTGTGTCATAACTTAGTCTCTTCCACAAAATATCACACAGGTGCCCCAAGTGAGCAGGAGACAGCAACCACTTTGAACTCATTGGTGACACATACTTGTATCAGAGGATAAGTCCAACCAAAATTCAAGAACAGATATTTGTGTTTTCTTTCAATTTCTTTAACATCAATGAAAAGAATATCAATGGATATCATATTTGAGATACTAAAAGGATGTCTCCCAAGGGACATTGCCACCTATTCTAAATTTATAATGTGTTTGCGGTTGTATGAGAGATGTTTAGGTGTTATTATGACCTGATTATTGTTTTCATTTGGAAATTAATTATGACCTAAGAACATATGATTATGTGTCAGATTGACAAGGGGTAGACTTGTGATGGCTATTCTTGGTTGTCAACTTGACTATATCTGGAATGAATAACAATCCAGAAATAGAAGGCACACTTGTGATCCGGATCTTGGGGCAAGAGGACACCATGCCTTTGATCTGGACCTTGAGGCTGGAAGATATAGGCTTTTTTTTTTTTTGAGACAGGATTTCTCTGTGTAGTTTTGGTGCCTGTCCTGGACCGGATCTTGCTCTGTAGACCAGGCTGGCCTCAAACTCACAGAGATCCGCCTGGCTCTGCCTCCCAAGTGCTGGGATTAAAGGGATTAACCACTGCCCAGCAAGATATAGGCTTTTGATCTGGATTTTGAGGCAGGATGACACATAACTTTAATCCAGACCTTGAGGCAGGAAAACACACATCTTCAATCCAGATCACGATGTGGGAAGACACACCTTTCATCTGGGCCACACCTTCTGCTGGAAGCCTATATAAGGACATGGAAAGAAGGTTTTCTTTTTTGCCTGCTTGCTCTCACCTTGCCAGCACATCCATTCCTTCACTGGCATTGGAGTCTACTTCTTTGGGATTCCAGCACATACAGAAGACCAGCTGAGACAACCAGCCTTGTGGGACTGAGCAACTACTGATTCTTGGACTTTCCATTTACAGAAAGCCATTGTTGGATTAGCTGGTCTGCAGACTGTTGAGTCAGTCCGATAAATTACACACACACACACACACACACACACACACACACACACACACACACGCACAGCTTTTTGTTTTGTTTGTCGAGACAGGGTTTCTCTGTGTAGCCATGGCTTTCCTGGGAATCACTCTGCAGACCAGGCTGGCCTCGAACTCACAGAGATCTGCCTGCCTTTGCCTCCTGAGTGCTGGGATTAAAGGTGTGTGCCACCACCGCCCAGTTCCAGGGGGAATTATCATTCTTCGGAGCTTATTGTGTGAATCCAGAAGTCGAGTGGAGTGGAGTGGAGGAATGGAGTGGAGTGGAGGAGTGGAGTGGAGGAGTGGAGGAGTGGAGTGGAGGAGTGGAGGAGTGGAGTGGAGGAGTGGAGTGGAGGAGTGGAGTGGAGTGGAGGAGTGGAGTAGGGGAGTGGAGTGGAGGGGAGTGGAGGAGTGGAGTGGAGTGAAGGGGAGTGGAGTGGAGGGGAGTGGAGTGGAGGGGAGTGGAGTGGAGGAATGGAGTGGAGTGGAGTGAAGGGGAGTGGAGTGGAGGGGAGGGGAGGCGACGGAGTGACGCCAGTGCCTCTCTTGTAGAGTATCTCCTCTGCCAGGACAGCAAGGCACAGAAGGCCACTTTCTTTCTCCACTCCCAAAGCTAAAAATGTCATCAGACAGCATCTGAGACTTGTAGCAGGTATGTCCCAGCCTCCCAGTAACCACATGCCTCATGTCCCCACCAGAGTATTTAGTAAATGCCTTGACTTGACCTTGCTTCATGCAGGAATGTTATTGGGGGCAACATAAATCTGTGTCTCCAGTCTATGGTCATTCACATTTGGACAAAAATAATGTCTCTTATTCCCTTGACTGTGGGAACTACTAACACTTTACTGTAAACATTCTCAAATACACAGACAAGTTGAATTGCTCGGAAAACATCTATATCCACAGTGTGTACCTTCTACTTTTTGTTGTTGTTGTTGTTTAAGACAGGGTTTCTCTGTTTAGCCCTTGCTGTCCTGGAACTCACTTTGTAGACCAGGCTGGCCCCAAACTCAGAGATCCACCTGCCTCTCCTCCTGAGTGCTGGGATTAAAGGTGTGTGCCACCACTGCCCAGCCTACTTTTAACATTTTGTTTTATCTATATATATATTGTATATATCTACCCCTCTATATATCCATCCAATTTTTTTGGTGGATTTAAAAATAGGATGCCATTATCAATGCACCTCCCCTTAATGCCTCTTAGGTTCCAAATTCCTTTTCACCTTTCATTCACAGATAAATCAAGAACACGTGTGTGTGTGTGTGTGTGTGTGTGTGTGTGTGTGTGTGTGTGTGTAGAGGGGAGGGAGGGAGGGAAGAAGGGAGGGAGGGAGAGACAGAGAGGAGAGAGAGAGGGAGAGGGAGAGACAGAGAGGAGAGGGAGGGGGAGAGGGGAGAGGGGAGAGGGGAGAGGGGAGAGGGGAGAGGGGAGAGGGGAGAGGGGAGAGGGGAGAGGGGAGAGGGGAGAGGGGAGAGGGGAGAGGGAGACTGAGACTCACTGTGCAGCCCTGGCTGGCCTGGAATTGGTTATGTAGACCAGGCTGGCCTTCAATGAGATCCTCTGCTTCCTGAGTACTGGGATTAAAAACATACACCATCGTGCTCTTTCCATTCTATAGTATTTACTTCACATTTTGCCTTGTCAGTGTTTACTCCAAGCATCAGAACTGTCCTCAGTGAGAAATCATTAAAGGTCTATTTACTCAGAGTCCTTCCTGATGGACATTTAGGTTGTTTTTTCATATTGTCATTTCTATCTTTCTTTTCTCTTAATCTAGGCAAGACAGGAACACACACACACACACACACACACACACACACACACACACACACACACACACATTTTACATATACACTCCTTCACAGCAGGAATGTGGTGCCCAGAGAATGAGTTTAGGAGTCAGCTCTCTCCTTCCACGTTAATGTAGGCTCCAGGGTTTGAACTCAGTTCACTAGGTCGCACAGCCTGCTGAGAAATTAATTTCTTTTGGATGTGCATGTCATTGTTATTTCATATGGAGTGATCTAAAGAGAGTCAAAAGCAGTTGTCATAGCTGGTGAACAGGAGTCATCATGCTTTGAGGGACTGGCAGAACAGTGACCAATAACACATATTGGCACTAGGAACTCAGTGGGAGGGGATTTTGTGAGCTGTTTAAAGAATTCACCTCTTAGACCAGGGTAGGGACAAAAGGAAACATTTATTCAGTATACTTTGTAGTGAGCAGCAGGTGTGGTAGTGACATAAAAATCATCTGGTGGAGCCCAGTCCCAATGGAGACTTCTACAAAACAACTCCACATCTAAGCCTTAGGAAACACTGCAGAACAGGGGCAGAGGATCAGGGGTTTGCTGTCAAATTCTGTCTCCTAGGAATGTCAAAAGCTACACCTATAAAGTCTCACCACCATGAGCTGAACAAGGATGACACCTGTAGACAATGCTAATGTGGCCAGGGAAAGATGAGGTCTTAACCATACCTAGACAAAGAACTGCAGGCCATTAAGGAATGCTGAGACTGAAATAGTCCTCCCCAGGGATGAGCACACCAGTTGTTTATCCAAAACCAAATGGTCAGCCCTGAAAACATACAAAAGTAATAATATACAGATCAAGCAGGTTATATTTAGGAAGATATATGTGTATATAATATAATATATATAATTTATATTTATATAATAATACATATACATTTATGCATGTAACAACAATTAATGGAAAAAGAGGCCACAGATGTGAAAGAGAGAACGGAGGAGTATATAGGAAGGCTGGTAGGAGCAAAGGGAAGGGGAAATAGTATAATTAAAACTTCAAAAATTAAAAGTTTTTTAAAGTACCATTATTCTGACCTTTACTATAATAAATTAAATATTTTTTAAAAAAACACCTGCATATGGTGATGGGCTGCAGAGTAGGGTCTCCACTTTGGATGAGTTCTTACTGGGTAAGCCACTTAGCATGAATTTCTACCATGCAAATAAAGGCAGCTCTGTAGTACTGGCTGATTCACGACACCATTCTGCTGGTCCAGTGTTCCACTGCCACTTGAGTAGAGCACAGCTTGGACTGGGGACCTGTTCCTCTGTGGTCATTTAATCATGGCCTTCTCTCCTTACTGCACAGGATCACTGGTATGCATAGTGATGATTACTTACACTTGTGAGGTCAGATGAGGAAAACAACAAGTAGGCGTGGGAGGGAGCTCTCCTGGCCAGTTTTTCATACCAGTTCTCACAAGGGGAAGCATCCTTTGGTGGAATATTTGTCCACCCCTGCCACATTTGGTCAACTGCAAGCTGACCTCTACTTCCTGGCATCCCTCCTGTTCCTCCCCCTTTCTCTTTCTTTTTTTTTTTTCTTTTGGTTTTTCGAGAGAGGGTTTCTCTTTGTAGCTTTGGAGCCTGTCCTGGAACTCACTTGGTAGCCCAGGCTGGCCTCGAACTCACAGAGATCCGCCTGCCTCTGCCTCCCGAGTGCTGGGATTAAAGGCGTGCGCCACCACCGCCTGGCCCTCCCCCTTTTTCTTTTCTTCATCTTCTTGTTTGAAGACTGAACCCAGGATCGTGTGCATGGTAGGCATGTACTCTACCAATCAAGGACTACCCCCCACCCATTTTTTGTTTTGTGTTTTTTTGAAACAGATGCTCTCTACATAGCCCCGGCTGTTCTGGAACTCACTATGTAGATCAGGCTGGCCTGAAATTCAGAGGCCTGCTTCTGCCTCCTGAGTGCTGGGATTAAAAGTGTGCACCACGATGCCTATGACCTACCCCATTTTTCCAAGTCAACAACTTTTTGAAAAATCAGTTACATGCTTCATAGAAAAAGGGGTAAGGGTTGGTTTTTGTTGTTGTTGTTTTTTGGTTTTGTTTGTTGATTCAGTTTTTCACACATCAGTAATTACATGCAGTTATGGGGATGCCCACATCAGGTGCAGCAGCTGCACTTGTGGGAAGCTCTTTTCAGAGGGAGCCCTCAGTGAACTCCCATAGCTCATGCAACAGCAGGATTAGCACCTCATCTTGCAGGAGGTGCATCTATACCATCTACACCTTTGGTACTTGCTGGAGCAGGATTCATTGGTGGCACAGGAACAACTAAGGTCCAGCTGAAGTCAGAAGGCAGACACATGTAGACATGCTAAGAAGAGACATGGTCCCTCCCCCTTGTGTGTGTGTGTGTGTGTGTGTGTGTGTGTGTGTGTGTGTGTGTGTGTGTATTTATGTGTGTACAGGTGCATATGTGTGTATAGAGGCCAGAGGAGAATTTGTATTGTTTTTTTGAGGCAGGATATTTCACTAGCCAGAAGCTCATCGAGCTGGCGAGGCTGGCTGGCTAGCAAGTCCCAGGGATCTACCTGTTCCCAGTAGTGGAATTACAAGTGTGTGCCACCACGATGGTTTTTTTACAGGTCCTCACATTTGCACAGCAAACATTTTATCAATTGAGCTATCTCCCAGCTTTAAAAAAAAAAGATTTATTATTATTTTTATGTGTGTCTTTGTCAATATATGTAACATATGAAGCAGTACTCGCAGAAGCCAAAAGAGAGTGTCTTAACTATTGAGCCATTTCTCCAGCCCTTGTGTTTATTGTTTTTTAAGACTGGGTCTCATATAGCTCTATTTGCAAATACCTTTTTTTTTTTTTTAAACTCTTGATCCTTGTACCTTCTTCTCCTGAATGCTGGGATTACAGGTGTGTTTCCCATGCCCAACTAGACCATAGCTGTGAGTATAAACTGTGAATCACAACCCCATACAGGGTCACTGCGGTGGTTTGAATGGGAATAGCCCCACAGACTCATGTGTTCGAATGCTTGGCCCACAGGGAGTGAGTGACACTATTAGGAGGTGTGGCCTTGTTGGAGGAAGTGTGTCACTGTGGGAGCAGACTTTGAGGTCTCCTCTGCTCAAGCTACGACCAGTATTGCACACAGTCTCCTGCTGCCTGCGGATCAGGATTTAGAATTTTCAGATCCTTCAGCACCACATTTGCCTGTATACTGCCACGTTACCCATCATGATGACAATGGACAAAATCTCTGAAACTGTAAGCCAGCTCCAGTTAAATGTCTTTCTTTATAAGAGTTTCTGTGGTCATGGTGTCTCTTTACAGCAATAGAAACCCAAACTAAAACAGTTACATAATTGAATGTGGGGATAGCAAAAAAAGACACACAACAACCAAAAATTAATTCAAAATCAAGCACATAAAGAATCCAGGACATCTCTGGAAGCATCACTCATGTTGAACCACACTTCTCTGCAGCTTTTCATTGTAACTCAGGACAGGTGCAGTTTGCACTGTGCATGCTGTCATACTAGCATCACCATCCAAGGCTGCCTACAACACCTACCTCAGCCGTGAGACTAATGTATGTTATGAAGTGTAGTGTCTCTACTGTATGCACCGTTTTTTGCTCTTATAGAAACATAATGGTTTAATTACTGAAAACAAAGACTTTTAATATTTTCCTCTTTCCTCAGCATAGAAGTTCCAAATCAGTAAGTCTGTTACAATGTTTACCCTCCCCCTCCCACACACATAGGGTGTTACTATGTATCCCTCGCTGGCCTTGAACTCTCTTTGTTGTTAAGGCTGGCCTCGGACTCAGAAATCTGCCTGCTTCTGCCTTCCCAGTGTTGGGGTTAAACACCATGCCTGGCTAGAATGTTTACTTTTTGTTTTAACTTTTAAAACTGTTGCATGGGCCTGTGGAATGGCTCAGCGGCTGCTCACTGCCAAACCTGACAGCCATGTGATCCTCTGGACTCACATGGTACAAGTACAAGTTGTCTTCTGACCATAGCTGAGCCCCGGTGTACACATTCCCCCTCCCAAACAAACAAATAAATGTAATGTGATTAAAAAAAACCTTTTGAGTTGCTTACTTCAGTTTCATTTTTTAAAATGTTAAATTTTGTCTTAGCATTATAACAGAATTTTCAAAATGCTCCTAAATATATTTCTGCCATTTTGTACTACATATTTCTGCATATCGGTATTCTCAGCATTAATGATTATAAAATCAAAATATTGATAAACTCTAAAAATGTTGAAGATTCTCTATGTCCTGCAGTATCAAATATTTAGCCAAGAATTATGTAAAAATAAAAATGTGAATCCATCTTATTATCATGTCAATTTGCTTTTGTCTAATGAATAGTAAAATTATATGTATATCAAAGAATTATTTAAAATAGCAGGGCATGATGGCTATTCCCATAATCCCAGCACTTTGGAAGTGGAGGCAGGAGGAACAGGGCCATCCTCAGCTACATAGAGAATTCAAGGCCAGCCTGGGCTACAATGAGACCATCTCAAAAATAAAATATCAACAACAAAAGACTTATTTTAAAATCAATTTATGATTACTAGTGTTTGATTTGTATACCTATTTTATATATCTATATACCTACAGTCACATGAAATTTTCTCACACATAAAGGGGTCCCAAATGGAAACAGTTTAAGAGGTCCTGGTAGAAAGCAATTGTTAGTGCTTTCCAATACAGGCATCATCTACCGCTGTATGGGCGGGCACCTGTTCTGTCATTTATAGAAGGGGAGACCAGAGCTAAGGGAAGTGAAAGAGCTTGCCCCAGGTAAGAAACTCAAACTTAAGCCTGCCTAATTCCAGGAATGACTATATCAAGGCTAAACTGGCTAATTCTAAGGACCTGGGAAAAAGGGTGACTCCAGCTCACCCTCTTGTGGTGGCCTATGGTGCTTCACCCTTCACCATCAGGCAGTTCATTCTGGTTGCCAACCTTAAGCACTCCTGCAGCCAAAGAGGAGAAAAAGGGGAGATACTGATTTTTCATGTGGAGGTCGATTCTCACTTTCCACCATGTGGGTCCTGGGGGCTGGAATTAGCTTGTCAGGCTTACTGCTGATCAAGCCTTTAACTACTGAACCATCGTGCCCCCCTGATTGTTACTCATAAGTTTAAAACTAAAATTTTAAATTACAAAATAAAATCCTGCAACTCATTTGAAAAAATGTCAGACCTAAACACAGAAATGAATGAACACCTATACTCTCATTTCATCTATAGTCTACAATTATTAACATTTTGCCACATTAATTTTTCTAATTATCTTTTTTTCTTTTTTTTAATTTACACTCATGATATTAATTACACTCATGATATTAATTACATTTGTGGTATTCATTGATTACATTTGCAGTATTCATTCAATAATTATATTTATGATATTCATTAATTACATTAATTGTATTGATTTATTATATTTATTATATTCATATTATGTCCTGATACTTTTTTCATTCTTTGACAATTTGTACATGTATATCTTGATCTTATCTATCTCCAACTTTCCACCCTCACGTCCTTTTTTTTACTTTCATTCATTCATTCATTCATTTTAAGACAGGGTCTCACAGTAGTCCTGGCTGGCCTGGAATTCTCAAATTAGAACAGGTTGGGTTCGAACTCACAGAGATCTGCTTGCCTCTGCCTCTCGAGTGCAGGGATTAAAGGCATGCACTATCACGTCTGACCTCTTTAAAAATATCTTAATAGCTGGGCAGTGGTGGTGCATGCTTTTAATCCCAGCACTTGGGAGGCAGAGGCAGGCAGATCTCTGTGAGTTCAAGGCCAGCCTGGTCTACAGAGCAAGTTCCAGGACAAGCCAGGGCTGTTATATATAGAGAAATCTTGTCTCAGAAAACACACACACACACACACACACACACACACACACACACACACACACACACATATTTTAACAACTCACTGAGTTCAATTAGTATTGCTTGTATGCTCAGGCACGGGTATGGACTATCCACTGGAGTATCAGTGACGACATCCCTATACCTTTCTAATTATCTATCTATACTTTTGAAAGTATTTAAGAATAGTTTTTTTTTCCAAGTGTGGTGGCGTGTGCCTGTAAGCCTAAGTAAATGTGGCCTGACCTACAAGCCTAAATCTATTTAAAAATGTACTAGGATGTTTTAAAATCCATCTTTAGCAAAACACAAAACAAGTGCCCAGCCCTCAACACGATTTTCTCTCCTTTCAGGCTATCCTCTTCCCCCATCCCGACTCCTATAGCAGACGGGAGAAACTGGAGCGATGGGGGTCTACCAGGTCCTTGGACAAGTATATCAACAGTCGCCAGGTAAGGTGGGAATTCAGAGCCAACACCGGACTCTAATTAGCCACTTCTCAGGCGAAGGAAAACCAGGAACGCCTGACTGCATCCGACGCCAAGATTCATTCCAGCCGGTGCAGGGAAGTTACAAGAAAAGAGTCTTCGTGGATCGCTCTCCCACGAGCTCTCACCCTCCCTCGAGAAGATTCTCGCCTCGGGTACGGTTAGTTTCGCTGTTGTAAATTTTACCTCACGTAATGCCAAAGGGTCAGACACTGGGGCAGATGGTCGGCGAGCGGCGAGCACTGCACAAGCGCAGAGGGCGCACCGGGTCCTAGTGCGCACGCGCAGCTCTCTAGGCAGGCTCTGTTTCCTCTCTGGAGGGGCAATGCGCCGCCTAGCGTCCCTCCCCGCCCCGCCCCTTGCGTTGCCATGGAGACCCAGCGGCCAAAGCCCGCCCGTGGCAGCGTCCCGGGCCTGGCGGCGTCTTGCGGGGTTTGCGTGGGCGATGTTGAGCCACACAGAGCTTCCGGGGAAGAGCGTGGACTTGGCGAAGATGTGGTCCGGGGGCCTGGGCCGCTGCAGGCACTTCTTTTGGCTGGGCGTCGCCTTCGACGCGGTGGGTGTGGCAGTGCTGTTCACTGGCGTGTTCGCGAACCTGCTGTTCTACGACATGCTACTCTATCTGGGTTCCATCATCATCTTCGTCAGCCTCCTGTGGTGGATCTTCTGGTACACTGGCAACATCGAGGCGCTCCCGGAAGACCCTTCGAGGAGGACTTCGCCTCGCCCGGGCGAGGTCGGGATGCATCGCAGCGGCAGCCTTCGCTTCTCGATGACCCTCAGGAGCGTCTCCAACACCTTCCGGCGGATCCACCGGCGGCAGCGGCCGCGGCTCCTCCCAAGGGTCCTCCAGACGATCCGTAGCCTCAGCTCGACCGACCCAGGCCAGCTGGAAGGGAACAGCGATGCCGGGAGCAAAGGTGGTGGAACTTCGTTACGTCCGGCAAAGCCTGTGTCCGTTCTGAAGCAGCTACAGCTTTGCTCAGTCCAGGCCTCTAGGAGCCTGCCCCTGGTCCCTTTGCCTGCTCCGCTCTCGGTTTGTACTTCTAGGAGTCAGCCTGTGTTTTCGGTGACCTCACAGGGCTACTCTTCTGGCAGCTACTCCCAGATGACTTTGTCCTCTGACAGCCGTGCACCTGTGGATCTTGACCCACAGGGGCGCTCTAAGATCAGTGTGACTTCTCGGATCTACCCTCTGCAACGAGCAGACAGTCAGAGCCACCTCCTGGTGCCCGTACCCTCTGATAGTTTCCCTATGGTGCCCATGAGCTCTCAGAGCCAAATCCAGGACTCTGTGTCCTCTGACAGTCGTGTGCCTGTGGATCTTGACCCTCAGGGGCGCTCTAAGATCAGTGTGACTTCTCAGATCTATCCTCTGCAACGGGCAGACAGTCAGAGCCACCTCCTGGTGCCCTTTGAAAGTTTGCCTGTGGTGCCCATGATCTCTCAGAGCCAAATCCAAGGCTCTCTAGCCCAAGAAAGCCAGCTCCAGAATCTTCCACCTGCCTCTCAAACTCAACCTGAGACTGTTAAAGCTTCCAAGAGCCATTCTTTGGCCCTGGAGGTTCCTGTAGTAACACCTGGGTTTGCTCAGACTTCTCAAAGTTGTTCTCCAGGTGTCCAGGAGGTTCCTAAGAACTCAGGTGCTAAAGCTTTGGAGACTCTCCCAGCAACCAGCCGTAAAATAGCTCTGGACCAGCCTGACCCTTCATTGCCTGTCTCCGAGGTCACACATACAGACAGGCAGTGTGACCCCACTGACAACCTTCCAGCCTCCAGGGGAGTGAGGGAAAGTCACTCTTCCTAATAGGAATCAGACCCCCACATGTCTGCTAAGGTCTTTGCCAAGTAAGTGCCTTAGAGGAGAAATTACCAACATTCCCTTTTTATTGTCAGCATCCCAGTGGCTTTCTCACTCCTGTAATGGGAACAAAGTGGCCTGGGACTTCAGGGATTAGCCACTTTGAGAGTTGGTAGGCTTTTGAAACTAGTTCTCTGAGTCACGAAGACTAAGGCTTTGACTACTTTATCAGACAATGAAGTCTGTTCTTTTGTTTAAGGTTAGAGAGGGAGTCAGTGGAATATTGTTCCTTTAGGAAGCTCTGAGTTCTGGAGGAAGGTGGAGGATTTGGATTCTGCAAGGTTTCTCCTGGAAGAAGACAACTTCATTTTGTACAGGGACATGACATTAAATGACACTGAATCTTAGGTGAGGAGTTATTCTTTTTCAATACTTTTGATTTTTGTCAGAGACAGTACTCTTTAATACCCCTCTAAAGCTTCAGTAGGCAAAACTGTACCCAGCTAGAATTTCATAATATTCATATTCATACACATTTTCAGTGAGTTACTTCTACTTAGTGCCAAGTAATATTAATTTCCTGCTTACAACAGTGAAAGTTGCTATTTAAATACATTATCTAAATAAAACACTTTGCACAATGTAAAGGTAAGCTTTGAATGTAAGAAAAGTTGGGTAATTCTGAAGTGAAGATGTTGGACCTGCGTTAGCTAGTTTACTCTCCCTCTTCCTCTCTCCTCGCCCCTTCTCTCTCTCAGTTTGTATTTTGTTGTTGCTGTCCTGGAACTCACTCTGTAGACCAGGCTGGCCTTGAACTCACAGAGATCTGCCTGCCTTTGCCTCATGAGTGCTGGATTAAAGGTGTGGGCCACCCACCACCAGGCTTGTTCTGTAAATCTTTATGGGCATTTTGACTGCTTTAGTTTTATACAGTTTGAACACCTGAATTCTATAAAATATATCCAATGACTTATGTTCATTTCTATTAGAAGAGAGAAAAGCTGGGCATGGTAGCACATGCCTGTAATCCTAGCATTTGGGATGCAGAGGCAGGAGGATTGCTGAAAGTTCAAGGTCAACTAGGATAACATAGCAAGACCTGTCTCAAAAAAAATTGGGGGACATGGACTGAGGTGGAGTGACTCAGTGATGGTGCCTACCTAGAATGCCCATATTTCTAGATTGAATCTCCTATGTATTACCCAAAAAATAATAAAAGAGATGGGGTTGGGAATGAATCTCAGCTTGCTTGACATCAGTATTGTGTGTGTGTGTGTGTGTGTGTGTGTGTGTGTGTGTGTGTGTGTGTGTAACTATGTATGAGCAAAACAATAATTTTAAAAAGAAAAGACTGGGCTGGGTGTGGTGGTGCACATCTTCAATCTCAGTACTCACAAGGGAGAGACAGGCAGATCTCTGAAAACTGGAGGCCAGCCTGGGCAACAGCGAAAGCTCTAGGCCAACCAGGACTATCTCAAAAAAAGAGAACAGGACTTAATGTTATTTCAAAAAGCCATTTCCTGCCCCCTTTACTCTTTGAAGTGGTCCGTATGATTGAAATAATTATCTAGGTAGGTCTTAAAGACTTAAGACACTAGGTACCAGGAATAAGGTAAACATGAAGTTACAAGGATGTAGATCTTGCCAACAGAAAGGTTTGTAGTCTTTGTTCTCTGAATCAAAACAATATTTATGAGGATGATTGAAGGTCAGCCAAGTAAAAAGGAAGTCTTTAACAGGCCAGTGTGAGTGTTATCTTTTTGACAGAAGAAGCCACTCCATGCCTTCAAATAATTAATTCATTGGCCAAACATTTGTATGCTATTTTTTTGGTTTTTCGAGACAGGGTTTTTCTGTGTAACAGTCCTGACTGTCCTGGAACTCGCTCTGTAGCCCATGTTGGCCTCGAACTCACAGAGATCTGCCTGGCTCTGCCTCCCGAGTGCTGGGATTAAAGGCGTGTACAACCACTGCCTGGCTAACATTTGTATTCTTTCTAGCAAGTGCCAGACATTGTATTAAGTACTGAAGAGCCAGTGCTATATTTGGAGGCCCTACTTTTTAAGCACTTACCGTCTACCAAGAGGCATGGACACTGAAATAACCACTGCAGTGTAATACCACGCTTTAAGAATACCAGTGAGTGTTGGGCAAGGGGTGTTTGAATTGAATCCAAAAGTAGATTTTCACTGGGTGAAGGCATGGGTAAGAACATTCCATATGAAGGGAAAGTGTCATCAAAAGAGTATAGAAGAGGGTCTGGAGACATGGCTCAGCAGTTAAGAGGGCTTGCTTTTCTTCCAGAGGACCCGAGTTTAGTCCAGTGCTACACAGAGAAACCCTGTCTCAAAAACAAAACAAAACAAAATCTGATGGGTTTGTTGTTTTGTTGTTGTTGTTATTTTTCAAGACAGTGATTCTCTGTGTAGTCCTGGCTGTCCTGGAACTAGCTCCGTAGACCAAGCTGGCCTCAAACTCAGAGATCCCCTGTCTCTGCTGGGATTAAAGGTATGGGCCACCATGCCCTGTGAAAAATGAATAAATAAACAAATAATAAAAATAAATCTTAAGCAGGATATAGTGCACAGAATATTGTTTTTTGGTTTTTTTTACTTGCATTTTTATTTTTTTTACCTTTTTAAACAAACATTTATAATCATTATTTTATACAGATATAGGTATATAAGTACAACATTGAGTTCAGTAGTCCTTCAGCATTTTCCACTTAAATGTTTTTTTTTAACATAAAAACAAGATATAATTCCAAAGTCCAGAGTTATTTGAAACTGGAAAATATTTTCTCTGTAGAAAATAGTAAAAATGATAACATTTCCCAATGAGCCCATTTAAGCCAAATAATAGCTGAATTAAACATATAAATATTGATTAGATTCTGGGATACAGAAGAAACCTATCTTCATCTGTTCAGAGAACTATGTTTTATTTAAGTTGTGTAAGTGAGATTCCTATTCATCTAGGTTGTTTCCAGATTCTGTCTATTGTGAATAATGCTATGAACATAGTTGAACATGTATCTTTGTGGTATGATTGAGCATTCCTTGGGTATATGCCCAGGAGTGGTATGGCTGGGTCTTGAGGTAGATTGAATTCCAATTTTCTGAGAAACTGCCATACTGATTTCCACAGTGGTTGAACAAGTTTGCATTCCCACCAACAGTGGAGGAGTGTTCCCCTTGCTCCACATCCTCTCCAACATAAACTGTCTTCAGTGTTTTTGATCTTAGCCATTCTGACAGGTGTAAGATGGTATCTCAGAGTCGCTTTGATTTGCATTTTTCTGATGACCAAGGATGTAGAGCATTTCCTGAAATGTCTTTCAGCCATTTGAGATTCTTCTTGTGAGAAATCTGTGTTTAGCTCTGTAGCCCATTTTTTTTTTTTTTTTTTTGTTTTTTGAGATAGGTTTTCTTGTGTAACAGCTCTGACTGTTCTGGAACTTGTTTTGTAGACCAGGCTGGCCTGGGATTAAAGGGATATATCACCACTGCCCATCTAGTGCACACAACTTTAATCAAAGGCAGGCAGATCTTTTTGTGTTTGAAGTCAGCCTATTCTATATATCAAATTCCACAACAGCTTGGGCTACATGGAGAGACCATGTCTCAAAAAAAAAAAAAAAAAAAAAAAAAAAAAAAAAAAAAAAAAGAAGAAGAAGAAGAAAGGAAGGAAAGAAGGAAGAAAGGCCAGGCAGTGGTGGCACATGCCTTTAATCCCAGCACCTGGGAGGCAGAGGCAGGTGGATCTCTGTGAGTTCGAGGCCAGCCTGGTGTACAAAGTGAGTTCCAGGAAAGGCGCAAAGCTACACAGAGAAACCCTGTCTCAAAAAACCAAAAAGGAAAAAAAAAAAAAGAAAAAGAAAAGCATGAGTCAATTTGGGGCTGGAGAGATGGCTCAGAGGTTAAGAGCACTGACTGCTCTTCCAGAGGTCCTGAGTTCAATTCCCAGCACCCACATGGTGGCTCACAACCATCTGTAATGAGATCTGGCGCCCTCTTCTGTATACATAATAAATAAATAAATTTAAAAAAAAAAAGAAAGGAAGGAAGAAAGGAAAGAGAGACACAGAAGGGCATGGATTTAGTAGCTAAGCCAGTATAATGCGTATATGCATACATAAAAACAATGCTGGGCTTAGACCTCGGCACTGTATAAACCAGGCAGGGCTCTGCACACCTGTAATTCCAGCACATTGGAGATAAAGACAGGAAGAACAGAAGTTGAAGATCATCCTCAGCTACACAGTGAATTTGAGGCTAGTATGGGCTACATGAGACCCTATCTAAAAAAACAAAAGCCAAACAACAATAAAAGGCTGGCAAGATGAGTCGGTGGGTAAAGGTGTTTCCTGCCCAGCCTGATGACCCCAAGACGCACATGGTGGAAGGCAAGAACCCACTCCCACAGGTGATAGTCCTCTGACCTTTAATCTTGTACCTTTCTCTTTCCTCACATAGATAAAAATATGTAATTTTTTTTTTAATTAAGGTTCACTAGTGAGTGGCGGTGGCATGCACCTTTAATCCTGGCACTCGTGAGGCAGAGACTGGTGGATCTTAATGAGTTCAAGGCCAGCGTGGTCAGCAGAGCTAGTTCCAGGACAGCCAGGGCTACACTGAGAAATCTTGTCTCAAAAAACAAAAACAACAACAAAATGAAGGTTCACTTTATTAGGGGGTTGTGTTTTAAAAAGGTGCCAAGTTGAGGGGACATAAATTTTAAAAATTTAAAGGAACAGATGTAGCTGAAGTGTTCCTGTGTCCCGCCTAGCCCATGGTCAGGACAAACCTCTCTCACCTGCCAGTCCCACAGCTGCTCAGACCCAAGTAAACACACAGAGGCTTATATTATTTTTGAACTGTATGGCCATCAGCTCAAGCTTATTATTGACTAACTGCTGTAGATATAGCTCTGTATAAATAAACATTGATTGGCCAATAGCCAGACAGGAAGTATAGGTGGGACTAACAGAGAAGAGAATTGAGGAAACAGGAAGGGAAGGGAGAGATTGCCTAGAGCTGCTGCCAAGACAAGGAAGATGTAAGGTACTGATAAGCCACGAGCCACATGGCAAAGTATAGATTAATAGAAATGGGCTAAATATAAGAGTCAGAGCTAGACAATGATAGGCCTAAGCTAATGGCCAAGCAGTTTAAATAATGTAAGAGTCTGTGTGTTTATTTTATAAGTGGGCTCCTGGACTGGCAGGACTTGGCGGGAGCTGTAGAGAAATTCTCTAGCTACAACTAACTCTTACACTTAAATTAACCCTTAATTCTTATTTATGTTTAGCCACGTGGCTTGGTACTTTTTTTCAGTTCTGCCTTCACATCTTGCTTCCTCTTTGACTTCTTTCTCAGCCCTTTTACCATTTGTGTATAGGAGGGCTACTGATTTTTTTGAGTTGATCTTGTATCCTGCCACTTTCCTGAAGGAGTTTATCAGCTGTAGGAGTTTCCTGGTAGAATTTTTGAGGTCACTTATGTATTGTCTGCAAATAGTGGAAGTTTGACTTCTTTCTTTGCAGTTTCTATCCCTTTGGTCTCCTTTTATTGTCTTATTGCTCTAGCTAGAACTTCAAGTACCATATTGAATAAATATGGGGAAAGTGGACAGCCTTGTCTTGTTCCTGATTTTAGTGGAATCACTTTGAGTTTCTCTCCATTTAATTTGATGGTGGCTGTTGGCTTGCTGTAAATTGCCTTTATTATGTTTAGGAATGTTCCTTGTATTCCTGATCTCTCCAAGACCTTTATCATGAAGGGGTGTTGGATTTTGTTAAAGGCTTTTCAGCATCTAATGAGATGATCATGTAGTTTTTTTCTTTCAGTTTGTTTATATGGTGTATTACATTGACAGATTTTCATATGTTGAAATCCTTGCATTCCTGGGGCGAAACCTACTTGGTCATGGTGGATAATTTTTTTGATGTGTTCTTGGATTCATTTTGGCAATATTTTGTTGAGTAAAGAATGTGGTGTGTATAAAAAGAAAATGAGAATATATGAGGAGTCTTTCATGGATGGGAAACCTCTGATGGCCTTTTACTTTGCTCTTTTGTTATTCCTTAAGGCAGTGTCTTGCTGTGTAGCCCAGAGTACACTTGAACTCAAGATTCCCCTGCTTCCAGATCTTTGTAAGTTCAAGGCCAGCCTGGTCAATATAGCAAGTTCCAGACTAGCAAGGACTATACAGTGACACCCTTTCTAAAAAAAAATCATGTACCTCAACCTTCTGAGTGCTGAGATTACAGCCATTGCCACCTTGCATGGTTTCTGCCTGCTACTTTTTAAAATTTTCATCTTTTTTTTAAAAAAACGCCTTATTATTTTTGATTATGTATAGGTATACCTGCATGTGGGTTGTGCATGGGAGTGCAGGTGCCAGCATAAGCCAGAGGCACCAAATCTTCTGGAACTGGAGTTAACAGACAGTTGTGAGCCATCTGATAAGGTGTCAGGAACTGCATTTGAGTCCCCTGGAAGAGAAGCAAGTGATCTTAACCACTATGCCATCTCTCTAGAACTTTTTTTTTTTAGAATCTCATGTAGCTCAGGCTGGCCCAAATATTTGAACTTCTGATTTTTCGGCCTCTGCCTGCCTGAGTGCTTGGGTTCTGAATATCACTACACTAGGTTTGTGAAGTGCTGGGGATGGAACCCAGGGCTTTCTGAATACTAGGTGAGCAGTCTACTGAGATTCATGCCCAGCACACCACATCTAATCTTCTTTGCAGAATTTTTAGCAGGGTTGAATTGTGTTTGTTGTTTGCAGTTCTACCTATGACTGTCTGTAAAGTAATGGCAATAGGCAAATAATTGAGATGAATTGCTAATGCTCTCTTCATTAAATTATAAGCCAAAAGTAAACCTCATTAAATTATAAACCAAAAGTAGACCTCTTAAATATTAGCAACAAGCCGGGCAGTGGTGATGCATGCCTTTAATCCTAGCACTTGGGAGGCAGAGGCAGACAGATCTGTGAGTTTGAGGCCAGCCTGGTCTACAGAGTGAGTTCCAGGACAGCTAGGATTGTTTCACAGAGAAATCTTGTCTTGGAAAACCAAAAAAAAAAGGTTAGCAACAAAGTATAGTTTCCATGACTGTTCATCTTGCAAAATAGTTCCAGGTGTTTAATTTCTTGTACAGAACCTTTTTGGTGGTTACAGAGATGACATCATGTCATCATGTGGAACTACTGTTTACTATAATAGCCCATTTATGCATGTTGCTAGCAAGATAAGTACTTCTCTAAAACAGGAATACATGTGGTTTTTTTCCCCATAAAAGTCAAGGTAGTAGATATTTTAGACTTTATGGGCCAAAAGACAAAAATCAAAGATGTGAATTGCCTGGTGTGATGATGCATGCCTTTAATCCCATCACTTTGGAAATATAACTCTATAAATTTGCTGCCATCCTCTTTGTGTATCCAGTTCCTGGACAGCCAGGACTACAATAGTGAGACTGTCTTTAAACAATGCTGTGAGTCAACTTGTGTAACCAAGGAGAAAACCCCTGCCCTGATCTGCCCGTTTGCCTGGAATGGGCACTATAGCTCCTTTGGCTCCAGTTACATCATCTGGAGTCATTCAGCTAACCAAGAACAAGTGGCATAGAGGAGAAGGGACATTGTGGGGCAGATCTACAGCCAACATTCCTTTTTTCACTCTGCCCTGGGACACCCAGATATGGCCCACTATTCTCTCAGAATACACAGCCTTCTCTGTTTGACTTGCTGGCCTAAGATAAGGCAATTTACTAACCTCCTGACTCCCAGATGGAGAATCTACTTTTCAGGACCTGGTATCTGCCAACAACAGAGCCCATATTGTATGGCAATGCCTAGGTCCCTGGGAAGGCTGGTAGTCAAAGAGGCAGCCCTAGGAATGCTTATTTGGGAACTGATTCCCTAGTTGGTTTTTGACGCTCACCTTGAGACTCTATGGTAGTATAAAACTAGGATAAGGAGGGGTGCCTGCCAATGCCTAGTGTATATAGAGTGGAGATGCAGTGAAGCATCCGAACAGTGGACAGGATAGCTTGTGTGACACGGATTTCTCTGACCCACAGTGTCAGTAGTATGAGCCTAAGAAGCTTGAATCTGTATTACTGAAACTTTAGATTGCAGGATGGAGGCTCCCTGCTGTAATCAGTCTGGCACTTGGAAGGGTGAAGTGAGAGAATTGAGAGTTGGAGACTATCCTGGCCTATAAAGAGAAATTGCGTCTCAAAAAGCAAAAATAAAATTTTAAATTGCTGTTTTTCATAAGCTTTATTTTTTTATTTGTTATTTATACTTTCTGAGTGGCCTGGAACTTACTGTGAAGCCCAGGCTGGCCTAGACTTTGCAGCATCCCTCCTGCAGCTCCTCCTGAGTGCTGGCATTATGGGTATGTGTTACAATGCCTGGCTTTCAGGAGCTTTTCAAAAAGATGGTCTTCGGTAGGCAAGAGTGTTCAGTGGTGGCAACACTTAGCACCAAGACTGACCTAGTTCTATCCCCAGTACCCACAAGTGTAGAGAACCAACTCCTGAAAGTTGTTCTCTGACCACCATATATACACCCTGGCATGTGCATCCCCAAATAGATAGCTAAATAAATAAATAAATAAATGATTAGGACATAAGTTGGTAAATAACTTAAGAGATCCTTGGGTGACTTCTTATGATCCTTACCCAATAGACCATGAGAATCTTGTTTATCTATGTTTCATTTATCTTAGAACCTTAGCTTGTATCATTTTTGAATAAGCATACATGAATTTATTAATAAAGTAGCTATTGGGTGTTTATAACACAATAGGAGTGACTCAAGGGCATTCATCAGAGTTAAACGCTATTATCTCCACTTAAAGGATGGATTTGACATTGAGAGATTAAGTAAATTTTCCAAAGATATACAAGTAGAGGAGCTGGAATTGATGGATCATATGTTATATGGGATAGATGACAAACTTTTCTTTCATATTAAAGTTATTATTCAGGTAGGTGGTCCATACTGTAATTTCAGCACCCTGGAGGTGGAGGTAGGAGGATCAGAAGTTCAAAGTCATCTTCAAGCACAAAGGGAATTTGAGGCCAGCTAGAGCCACATGAGACCCTGCCAATATTATTAAGGAGCATTTTTGACACAAATCTTTTTCTTTTCTTTCTTTTTTTTTTTTTTTTTTTTTTTTTTAGTTTTTAGAGCTTTATTAGGAGGGAGAGGGGGAGGGGAAAGAGGAGAGCCAGGCCTGGAGAGAGGGAGGGAGCAGAGCAGAGCAGATAACAGAGAGAGTTTTTGTTGTTGTTGTTGTTGTAGTTTTGTTTTGTCTTCTTTCTTTTTTTCCAGAGCTGAGGACTGAACCCAGGGCCTTGCACTTGCTAGGCAAGCGCTCTACCACTGAGCTAAATCCCCAACCCTTGACACAAATATTAAATGTAATTTCAGTTGTAATACTGAGGGTCAGTTCATGGATTACTTCTCTATTTAAACCTTTGATTTCAGCGAAAAAATAAGAATTGGCATTGTCTCTTTTTTGTTTTATTCTAGATTATCATATTTATCATCTCAAATAAAATTGCCTTTTTCTTTCTAGAACTTAACAGTGTTTCTACATACTTCACTGCCAACTTGATAAAAGCACAAGTTCTTACCTTGTTTGAGAAACTTCTCTCTGGAGTCCTGACCTATTCCAGATCAACAGACTGCCTATACCGTATTCTGTGAGACTGCCTGTAATCATTGCCTCAGTGCTGGAGACAGCGTTCCAGCCTCCAGTAATAGTGCTATTTATTAACAGGACTATAAGCCATAATAAACTTTGTTATTCCAATGAAACTTTATTTAAAATAAATTGAGTTTTTAAAAATAGACTGGTCTTGTGCAAGCATTCCAGAAACCTGAATGGAAAATAATATCCCATGTAACATGTGTGTAAGTAAAATCCACATACAAATAGACATTTAAAAATAAAGTAAAAACCACTGTATAGCCAGGGGTGCTGGCACAGGCCTTTGATCCCAGCACTTGGGAGGCAGAGGCAAGCACATCTCTCTCTGTGAGTTTGAATCCAGCCTGTTCTACATATTGAGTTCCATGGCTTTACCTGCTGCCTTTACATGATGCTCCCTGGACAGCAGGCTGGCGTCTCTTCCTCTCTGCCTTCCTGTTCTCTCAATTCTCCTCTCTGCTAGTCCTGCCTATTACTTCCTGCCTGGCTACTGGCCAATCAGTGTTTTATTTATCAATCAATCATCCACAGCAGCCTCTGCCTCCAGTTCTGGGATTAAAGGTGTATGCCACCACATCAGGCTGAAAGCTGCTTACTAACAGGACAGGGCCAAGAGGAATCCCTTGTGGAGCTTCTGAGTGGGTTCAGAGCCTCAGGGATTCGATTCGCAGCCTTGCACAAGGGTTAGGGGGAACTAGGTTCTTATTTAGGCCTTTGTCTCGAGTTTCTTCACACCCCTTTTTGGGAATGAGGATAGAACCTAGGCAGAAGTACTGTCATGCTACAAGCCCAGCCCACATCTTTTCTCTCTCCCACGTGAGGACGTCCTCTGTAATTCAGCAACAAGGGACTATCTTGGAAACCACCACTGGGCTGTCACCAGGCATGAAGCTTACTAGTGCCTTGATCTTGATCCTCTTAGTCTCCAAACTTTGATGAATAAATATTGTTTTCAAATTATCCAATCTCATGTATTTTGTTACAGTAGCATAAATGGATTAAGCCAGGTTCCTTTTTTTTTTTTGTAACTATCTTCTAATTTCCGTTTGACTATACCTATAATTAAGTATCCCTGTCTACATAGTGAGTTTGGGGCCAGCCTGGGATACATGAGACCTTGTACTAGTTACTTTTCTGTTGCTGTAATAAGATACCATGAACAAGGAAACTTATAGAAGAAAGAGTTTATTTTGGCTTACAAGTTCAGAGGGTTAGAGTACATGATGATGAGGCCACCGTGGAAGCAGGGAGTAGAGCAGGAACATGAGAGATCACATCTTTAACCATAAACATGAAGCAGAGATTAAACTGAAAGAGGGGCAAGGTTATGAGTTCTCAAAGCCATTCCCCAGTGACATGCTTCCTCTAGTGAGGCTGAAGCTCCTGTAACCTCCCCCAAAAGTGCCATTGACTGGAGACCTAGTGTTCAATACCTGAACTTCATAAATGGAGGAGATGGCTCATCAGCTTGAGACCTGTAAGTCAGTCCTGATCACCTGACTTTTTGCATAAGTTGTCTTCTCATACACATACAATAAATAAATCAAAATTGTTTTTTTAAATTCAGTTTTGTGAAATGATGGATTCCAGACATATGTTTAAGTGATCCACCAACTATAGTCCCCTGAGTAGCTGGACTACAGACCTACGGGAACACACCCAACTCTCTAGCCAATATTAACTGGATTATAGGAGGGTACTGGAACAACGTTTAATGAGAAGATTTTTTTTATGTGTATGTCTGTTTACTTATATGTATGCCTGTTTACCACTTGTGTGGCTGGTGCCTTTTAGAGGTCAGAAGAGGACATCAGATGCTGGGATCTCAAGTTCCAGTGGGTTATCTGCTGCTATATGGGTGCTGAAAATTGAACCAGGGTCTCATGGAAGAGTATCCAGAGCTCTTAACTGCTGAGCCATTTCTCCAGCCCCAGTTTTTAAAAGGCATTTGTTATTATGTGTTTGTCTTTGTGTGGGTATATGCATGAGTGCTGTGCATGTGGAGCCCTGTGGCATTGGATATCATGGAGCTGGAGTTACAGGTGGTTGTGAGCCACCTGATGTGGGTGCTGGGAACTGAACTCTGATCTTCTTCCTGCATGAACCATATGTGCTTCCTTCCTTTTTTTTTTTTGTTTGTTTTGTGTGTATGAGTGGTTTGCCTGCATGCATGTCTGTACCACATGCATGCTTGGTGCCTGAGGGAAGTGGTGAGTCTCCATGTAAGTGCTGGGAATTGAACCTGGGACTTTTGCAAGAAAAGCAAGTACTCTTAACCACCAAGCCAACTCTCCAGCCCTGCCATATGTGCACTTAACTGCTCTGCCATCTCTCCAACCAGAAGATTTGTTTTATTTATTTATTTTCGTTTTATGTGTTTTGAGTGTTTTGCCTGAATGTATGTCTGGATATGTACCATGTGAGTGCAGTAGTAGTTGTGGCCAGAAGAGGGAGTAGGAGCATCCTGGAACTGGAGTTACAGGAAGTTGTGAGCCACCATGCTCTTCCTCTGAAAGAGCCAGCAGCTCCTCTGAGCAGCTGAGCCATCTCTCCATCCCTGAGTTTGTTGTTGTTTTGTTTTGTTTTTCTTTTTGTTTTTGGATGAGTGTGTGTGTGTGTGTGTGTGTGTGTGTGTGTGTGTGTGTGCATGTGTAATGTGTATTTGTGCCTTATAATATACTTGAATCTTTAGAATGATTCCCTGCTTAGACTGTTGGCATTGGTTTCTGCTACTTGTGAGCCAAGAGGCTTAGCCAACAGAAGCACTCCAGGGACAACTGTAAAATTCACCTCTGGGGAAGACTGCTCTTTTGAAAGAGAAATCTAATGTGTCTTCTGGGTGTATGAAGTAGAGAAAACTTCACTCTGAAGAACTGCAGAACAACTATTAACAACTGTAATAAACAAGATGTAAAAAGGAGGCTGTGCCCTCACAGGTACCTTACTAATGTGCTATGGGATGTCTTTCTGTATGCTATGAATTTGTGTTGCTCTCACTGGTTATATAATAAAGCTTTTTGGTCAATGGTGAGGCATAATAAGGTTAGACAGTACATTCAAACTAAAAACAGAGATGAAGAAGGGTTGAGTCAGGGTAGATGCTGTGAGCCATCCAAGAAGCAAGATGTGAAAGAACCAATAAGCCACGAGCCACATGGCGATATATAGATTAATAGAAATGGGTTAATTTAAATGTAAGAGCTAGCTAATAATAAGCCTGAGCTACCAGCCAAACTAAACCCAAGTTTAGTAGCCTAGGGTTTTTTTTTGGGGGGGGGTTAGCTTGGTTTGATTATGTGAGACAGGCTATCCTGGAACTCAGTATGTAGCCTGGGTTGGCATTGGACTCTGATTAGTCTTCCTGCCTTAGCTTTCCAAGTGCTGGGCTCATAGTCTGAGCTACTATGCCTGACATGGGAGCATAGCCCACTTGTTGATTTATTTGAAGACAGAGTCTTACTTCAGAGCTACATAGCAATTTCTAAAAAAACAAAAAACAAAAACAATCAAGAGACAAGGGCTCAGTATGCAAGTCCTTGGCTGGTCTGGAACTTACTGTAGCTAGAAGTCTTCCTGGTCTTGCCCAGTACCAAGGTCCCACAACCATTTATAAAATTCCTGTGTCCCACCTGGTCCTGCAGCCACTCAGACCCAAGTAAACACACAGAGGTTTATATCAATTACAAATTGCATGGCCAAGGTCTATGGCTCAAGCTTCTTGCTAGCTAACTCTTATATCTTAAATTAACCTATTTCTATTAATCTATAAGTTGCCACATGGCTGCGGCTTACCGGTCTGCTGGCATGTTGTTCCTTTGGTGGCGTCTGGTGTCTGCTTTTTTCTTTCCTTTTTCTTCCTGTCTATCTGTTTGGATTTTCCACCTGCCTCTAAGCTGCCTTGCTATAGGCCAAATGACTTTAATTATCAACCAATCAGAGCAACGTATTTTCACAGCATACAAAAGACATTCCCCCATCAACTTACTACCAGGCTGGCTATGAACTCACAGTGATCTGCCTGCCTCTGCCTCCCAGGTGCTGGTAGTAAAGGTATGCATGTCCTACCACAGCCTGTTTGTTAACATAGTCTTAACTGTGCCTTGGGAAAATAACCAATTATACTGTGCTTAAGGAGAGTTATATTGCTCAGTGTGTAGATTTGCACAGACACTTGGGAAAACTTTTAAAAAATATTTATTTGATGTGTGTGTGTGTGTGTGTGTGTGTGTGTGTGTGTGTGTGTGTGTGTATGAGTGTATGTACATCTTGCGAACCATGTACATTCCCCAAACTGGAGTTATAGACTTCTGTGAGCTGATGGGGGGTGCTGGGAATTGAACCTACATCCTCTGCAAGAGCAGCCAGTACTCTAAACTCCTGAGACATCTATCCCTGGAAAATTTTTTCATGTATTCAAATAATGGGATGCAATATGACAGAGAAACTACAATTTTATATTATATGATATGAATTGTAGAAATAAATGTTGAAAGTAAGTAGCCATTGTTGGTTAAGTGGTGGTGCTCGTGGCTGGTCGTTGTGGCTGGCGGCCATGCCAACGAATGTTGCGGTTGTGGAAGAATCACGAGCCATGGTTATCTTTTAGAGCTTTATTGGGAGAGGGAGAGAGAGACAGAGACAAAGACAGAGACAGAGAGACAGAGACTGCGCGGAGGGAAGAGAATGTGGAAAGAGAGGGAACAGAGAGAGCACACCGGCTTTTTAGGCTGGGACGTGTCATTATAAATGACATAATCCTTACATCCCAGACTTTCGCTTATTATAAAAAAGCAGGTAGATGGGAATAGGGGCGTCATTCCTCTCAAAAGCTGCTTCCAGCTGACTGTTGGACATCGGTTGGCTCTTGGGGGAGTCTTCTAAGGTAGACAGGTGTTGTGGGATGCTGTCTGCCATCAGTTTGCTCTGGAGACATGTATCCCTCTTGGCTGTGGCTGGGAACCTTCTGTCTGACAAGATGCTGGTGACATAGAAAATAACTTAGAGAGAAAAGAATCATTATTATTTTATGTTGGTTGATCCAGCCTGTCCCTGATGGGTTTTGAAACATGTTCAGCTTTATCAGAGACAGATTATTTTAAAGCACCTGTTTCCTTTACTAGTTCAGCATCCAGGAGTCAGGTGATCAATTGTTAAAAGCATCTCATAGTAATAGATGTTTACATTAAAGTCTTTTTTGTAGCGCCCAGATGCTTTTGGGTCTGGGGGTGTAAATACCTTTTAGCTGTTACAGTTCTTACTTGATGATCTCTGGACTCCGGCTCTGTGGTGGTCCTGTACCATTAGCTGAACAGTGAGTTAGAATAGGGAACTGGGAAGAGAAACGCTTGTGGTGCATGAGAATTTATTTATTTATTTATTTATTTTGGAATTAGGGACAAGGCAAAGATCAGGGCCCTGTCTGTATGCACATGAGAAACACAGGGAGTGATCTGGAGTGAGGCAATGAGCTCTTATCTTAGCTGGAAATCTTTTTCCATTAAGTAACTCTGAAAGTACAATTAAATCAGGTGAGGTGGTAAGGCTGTCCTCTGTACCTGATGATAGAGAAAGGAGAGGTGACATCCCAAAACTCCCAGGACTGAGTCAGTGACTCTGGTGTCCAGAAGGAAAGAAATGGATCACTTCCCTGCTGCGCTCTGGGTTCCCTGCCATGTCTGTAGCCAAGCCTAAGTCTGCTGGAGGTCTTAGCTTGATGTACCCATCTTGGCGCCTGGGGGCAGACAGCTGACTAGTTGTCTTTATAGGAAGAACTTTTAAGAAGGCTGTTGATGGCCTGGCAGGGCATTCGCCCGTGGCCTTTTTCCTCACTTAAAACAGGGACCCACCAGCTTTTGGGAGTCAGCGAGTGCCAGCACTTGGCAATTTTGTTTTCAGGCTTTTATCTCTTCCCTGGCACACCTTAAATGCCACAGATGACTCTTTTGCCTGTGGGGTCAGGAGCCTTGCTCTCCAGATGATTAAGTTTTAGTTGGGGAGGTCTGGGGAACAAGAAACTGATTTTATTCTGTGTCCTGAATTTTTTTTCCTGATGATTGATGGCTTAAGGATAGCTTTTGGAAGATCTGCCAGGAGGCCGACTATAAACCAATCCTTTTGGAAGACTTGTCTGAGGCTATAAGATGATTTTTGGCTTAAGAGCCATCCTGACTACTGTAAACTTATTTATAAGTATGGATCTTAGCCGCTTCCAGATCCGTCTGTGTCTCCCAAGGCAGTTTGAGAATGAGTGGGTGGAGTTAAGGTGGGTTAGGGCTAAAGTCAGTAGAAGCCGCCCAAGCACACCCATTTGAGCCTGCCCACTGCTGGTGGAAGTCAGACAGAGAAGGTTGCATGTGGCAGACACAGAAGTAGGGAGGGAGAAGGGTTGAGAGCTTTAGCAGAAAGCTTGGGGATAAAGTAACTCTTTTATTTGCCTGTTTGCTGGCAGAAGTTCCTTCAACACTGTTATGTGGCCAGATTTATTGGTACCTGCTCCTATACACCAATGTAAGTGGTAAATGTATCCGCCCCTTTGTCCCTTGGCTGTAGCTGAGAGAAAAATAAAAAATTAAAATAACAAACCAGGATCAGACTCCAATCTCGGGTGTCCCCAAGGAGTGGAGAGAGATCTATGAATCAGCTCAAGTTCCTGTCCTCTTCGTCAAGGGATGGGAAGGGTTGCAGCCGTGCTGCAGTTGGTCCACGGTGGACCTGAGACAGCATTGACCTCCTCGTCAGGAGGGGAAATGTGCCTGCTGTTGCCAGCACAGCACAAGGTCAACCACCAGGGTGTCCGTCATGAAGAGTATAGCTCAGACTACAGCCGGGAGAACGGCGGACTCACTCACTGTGGTAAAGAATCATGGCGGTAGCAGTAGTGGTAGCTGTTTGGGGTCCAGCGGAGGCGAGGGACGCGTGCATGCTCGAGGTCTCGTGGTCTTGAGGTCTCGCTGGATGGGGGAGGGGGTGGCAAGTGGCAGCGGTCACAGCAGGTCCTTGGTGGTCTAACCGAGTCTGAATGGCATCAGATGTTGGTTACATGGCGGCGCTTGTGGCTGGCCGCCGCCCGTGGTGGCCATGCCACCGGATGTTGCGGTGGCAGAAGAATCATGAGCCGTAGTTACCTTTCTAGAGCTTTATTGTGAGAGAAAGGGGGAGGGAGAGAGAGAGAGAGAGAGAGAGAGAGAGAGAGAGAGAGAGAGAGAGAGAGATAGAGAGACCTCACAGAGGGAAGAGAATGTGGAAAGAGAGGAGACAGAGAGAGCACGCCTGCTTTTTAGGCTGGGATGCTGTCGCAGGCTGGTGATGTAATTAAGGACATAATCCTTACAGCCATATAATGAAGCATGCAAATAAGATTTACAAAATTCAAAGGCATGTACAAACAATTACAGTGTTGGCTGGGGTGTATCTTAGTGGCAGAGCATATGGTTGCGCAAGGTTCTTGCCTCAAATCTCAGGACCAAAAAAAATAAAATCTCTAACTCCAGTGGATCATGGTAGTGTGCACCTGTAATTCCAGCACTTGGGGTGGAGACAGAGGGACCAGGAGTTCAGAGCCAGCCTTGTCTGCAGAAGGAGTCTGAGCCAGAAGACTCCACCTGCCATTGTCTCAAACAAACAAACAAACAACACTCAGGCTTAATCAGGAGGAGTCTGAACTGGGCTTATATAGTGACACTGTCTCAAACCCTTTCCCCAAAGCACAGTGTTTAGGAAAAAAGTGCTATTTACATAAAGAAAATGGAAGAGCTAAGGATGTAGCTTAGTGGTAAAGAGCTTGCCTTGCGTGGGGAAGACCCTGAGTTCAGTTCCCAATACTCAAAACAAAACAAACCTCACAAGCTTAAAATGACCTTTAAAAACCAAGAAAATGAGTACCTTTGCAGGAAAGCAAGAACACAGATGTGAGCATTGCAGCTCAGATGGAAAGCATTCGGGAGCCAGGGAATACCACAAGTCACCACAAACTTCACACAAGAGATTTATCGGGAGGGAAAAAACCAGGAGGGTGGCTGTCTCTGCTTAGGCGAGAAACAGCAGCAAACTGAACAGGATACAAGAATTACACAGAGTTTTGTGGGAAGGGGGTGGAACTTTTCAGAATGGAGCTTTCCAGGGTGAGGAATTGTGGGATTTCACGTCCAGAGATTGAGTTTTTTTACTCTGCAGGGAGGGAGGTTCTTAAGGGAAAGGTATCCTGGCTGTCAGAAGCCAGGCTATACCTATAGCTGTGAAGGGAAAGGTATCCTAGTACACCCATGAGGTGATATTTTATTTGTATGTTAATAAATAAAGCATGCCTGGAGATCAAGGGGGAAAAGGCCAGCCATTTTTAAGTAAACATAGAAGTCAGGTAGTGGTAGCACACACCCTTAATCCGATCATGTGGCAGGCAGGGTCTCTGTGTGTTCAAGGACACACTAGGAAACAGCCAAGTGTGGTGACACATGCCTTTAATCCCAGTACCAACCATACATACCTGGAGGTCTATACAGACAGGCTGTTACAAGGAAGTGAGGTAGCTGGGCTAAGAGCCAATGAGAGGGCAGAACAGCAAGGCAATAAAGGTGTGGTAGACAGGAAGTCGTGTACTTTTGGTAGTAGTGGACTTTTGGCTATCACTATTTCCCTGATGTCTAAGGTTTTTGTCCCTGTATTTGGCTTTGTGTTTTTTATTTAATAAGACCAGTTAGAAATTCATCTACAATTGGTGCCCACGTGGCAAGAATTCATTAAAAAACCATTGGTGGCCTTACAGGCCAGGAGTTACAGGCCCCCGGCTCAGTCAGAGCTACAAGCACTCTGGCTACACACAGCTGGAGCTACTTGTGGCCAGATCTCCAACTCATGGCCAGAGCTGCAAGGGGCTGGACTGCTTGTGGGTTTACAGACCCCTGGCTTAGGCCCGGTACAGCTCAGGCCAGAGCATGTGGCTGGACTTTCTTTAGCTTTTAGCTTTTAGTAGGCTTGCTCTCTCTCTCTCTCTCTCTCTCTCTCTCTCTCTCTCTCTCTCTCTCTCTCTCTCTCTCTCTCTCCCTCCTCATTTCTGACTGCCATCACGCTAGGTAACTGCTTTGAAATTCCCTCAGACTTATACTGTTCTATGCAGACTTGGTACCTCAATTAAGATATCAGATATCTTAAAGGGAGAAACTAGTTAAAAGAGAAAATTTTATCCCACATTAAAAAATGGGAAATATTTTTACAATGGAAGTAAATTGGTCTTTGTTTGATAACACATTAGGCAGTCTGAAAATGGAACAATTAAATGAGAGGATAATTAATGTTGATAGGATGTATGTAACATAAATTATGAATATTATTTGTTTAATTATCCTTACTTTAGTATTAGAAAGGTTGGTCAATTTAAGTGCCAAGATAAAAGCTTTATAAAAACCTGTTAAAATGAATTATAGAGAAATTCAGACCCAGACAGAAGAATTTAAAAGTGAAATTATTTCAGGATTGAATTATATGGTTACAGAGAGACAGCCTGATTTTAAACAATCAAACCTAATTTATCTGATATCCTTACAGAAACTACCTGCTCAAGGGTGTATACAAGCTAATTGGACTACAGTGGAAATGTTAGATTTAAGAAGATTTAAGGAAGCTATAGAATGAGATGACATGCATTCTCCATTTGTAAAGCAAATGTTAAACTCATGGTCAACTTGTAATAGGATTATTCCTCAGTACTGGACAGAATTAGTAACAGCTGTCCTGGAGTCCAGAGCACAGTTACAGTGTCAAACCTGTTTTAAGGAGGAGGCTAAGGTAATAGAACACCAATGTATAACTAGAGGTGTGGAAATTTCTCAGGATCAGCTTCTTGGAGAAGGTGAATATGCTGATATACAAAGACAATGTTTATATGATAACCAAACTTTAATTCTATGCCTCATGGCAGCCATGAATGCATGGGACAGAATTGAGGAAGCAGGAAAAAAATTGAATCATTCACAAAAGTTATACAGGGCTCCAAAGAATACTTCACATATTTCTTACATAGGCTGTCTTCAGCAGTAAATAGAATGATACCAAATTCAGAAGCTAGATAGATAATAATTGAATCTTTGGCTTTTGAGAACTCGAATGCAGCATGCAAAAGAATAACCAGGCCATTAGAGGCAAGATTAGCACCATTGGAGGACTGGATTAGGGACACAATTAATATTGAGTTTCATGACCATGATGATATGTGGATAGGAGAAGTAATTTCAAAAGCTTTGAGGAAAAATGTCAGATGTTTTGGGTGTGGCAAACAAGTTCATTTGAAAAGGGCATGTAAACAGGGCATTCCTAGAAAGAATGTTTATTCAAGGAACAACAGCAACAGAATGCCCCTCCCTTGTGTATTATGCAGAAGGTGTGGTAAGGGTAAATATTGGACCAACAATGTAGATCAACAAGGGACAGACAAGGTAATCCTTTGCCTCTGTCCTCGGGAAACTCCCAGAGGGGTTTCATGCAGGCCCCCACAGCAAATTCAGTTCAGACTTTTCCTGCCATCATAGAAGAAACCCCTTCTCAGAGCAATTAAATAACCAAATGCCTATTGGAATAAACCAGACTGCTCAGGGTGATAGAACAGCTGTAGGAGAGAAAACAGGAAGTTCAGGAGAAATCATAAAGTGAATTTTTTTGGCAAACTTCTATAAATGAACAAAGACCAAAATTAAAAATATGAATAAATGACGTTCTCTTGGAAGGTTTAGTAGACATAGGTGGAGATGTGACAATAATTGCACCAGAATTTTGGCATCCAAATTAGCCTCTTCATGAGGTAAATGTTCAGCTGTTAGGGATTGGAACATTATAACAAGTGAAACAGAGCGCAAGATGGTTCAAATGTATAGGTCCAGAGGGACAGAGAGGAAAATTAAAGCCATATGTGGCTAATATAGCTATGATCTTATGATCTATTACAACAATGGAATACTCAGATTAACATTCCTCCGACCTCAGAAACAAATCATAAACTAACACATGTTTCTGAGAGAAATATTAGAAGGTATTATTCTAAAGAGTGATCACCAGCCATCCATATTATACAAGAACAGGGCACAACAACTGCTGATCTTCCAAAGGCACCAACAGCTCTACCTTTAAAATGGTTAACAGTCAAGCCTGTATGAGTTCAGCAATGGCCTTTAGCAACAGAGAAACTTCAGGCTTTAGAAAAGCTGGTACAAGAGCAGTTAAATGCTCAGCATATTGAAGAATCAACCAGCCCTTGGAATTCTCCTGTATTTGTTATTAAAAAGAAATCTGGTAAATGGAGAATGGTAACAGACCTAAGAGCAATTAACAAAGTAATTCAGCCAATGGGCTCTCTACAATCTGGAATTCCTTTGCCTACTCTGTTACCTAAAAAATGGCCTCTTATAGTTATTGATTTAAAAGACTTTCTTTTCAATACCCTTACAAGAAAAATACAGAGAAAGATTTGCCTTCACGGTGCCTACTTATAATTCTCAACCGGATAAGAGATATCAATGGAGGGCTCTCCCACAGGCAATGTTGAATACCTTAACCCTGTACCAATATTTTGTACAACAGCCATTGGAAGTAATATGTAAACAATTTCCTAAATCTATAATTCATCATTATATGGATGATATTTTACTAGCTGACTCAAATGCAGATACTTTAGAAAGAATATTTGAAGAAGTAAAAAAAATTGCCTTGTTGAGGATTACAAATTGCTCCTGAAAAGATACAAAGAGGAGATTCTATTAATTATTTAGGATATAAAATAGGTCTACAAAAAATTAGACCCCAAAAGGTGCAAATTAGGAGAGATGGATTATAGACTCTTTTTTTTTTTTTTTTTTTTTTTTGGTTTTTCGAGACAGGGTTTCTCTGTGTAGCTTTGTGCCTTTCCTGGAACTTGCTTTGGAGACCAGGCTGGCCTCGAACTCACAGAGATCCGCCTGCCTCTGCCTCCCGAGTGCTGGGATTAAAGGCGTGCGCCACCACCCGCCCGGCTGGATTATAGACTCTTAATGACTTTCAAAGATTATTTGGAGACATTTCCCATCTACGAACTGTTGTTGGGGTAAAAAATGATGAACTGAGTAATTTGTTCAAAACCTTAGAAGGTGACAAGGACTTAAATAGTCCAAGAGAATTACCACCTGAAGCTGAGAAAGAATTGACCTTGGTGGAAAAGGAAGTACAGGATGCACATGTGGATCATGTGGATCCAAAGCTCAATTGCATTTTGGTTATTTTACCCTCTAGGCATTCTCCTACAGGAATATTAATGCAGATGGAAGATATGTTGGAATGGGTATTTCTACCAAGTAAATAGAGTAAAAAAATAAAAACTTATGTGGAAAAGATCTCTGACTTGATTTTTAAAAGAAAAAATTAGACTTCGTCAGTTAGCAGGAATAGACCCAGCAGAAATTGTTATACCTTTCACTATGGAGGACATTGACAAATTATGAGCAGAAAGTGAACCTTGGCAAAGAGCTTGCAATAATTTTTTGAGAGAGATTAACAGCAAATATCCCAAAAGAGATAGAATTGATCTTATGAAGAGAGCTGATTGGATTTTGCCTCAAATTGTATGGGAAATACCCCTATCTAGAGCTCATACATTTTATACAGATGCAAACAAACAAGGAAAGGCAGGTTGCAAGTCACAAATTTTAAGTAAAGTGGTTCAAAGTTCTTATAATTCAGTTCAGAAATTGGAATTGTATGCTATTCTGTTGGTATTAATGGCTTTTTCAGGACCTCTCAACATAGTTACTGACTTTCAGTATGCTGAAAGAGTGGTATTACATATTGAGACTGCAGAATTTATCCCTGATGAGTCAGAATTAACTTCACTATTTATTCAGTTACAAAATACAATCAGGAAAAGGAGTCATCCTTTGTATATAACTCACATCTGATCCCATACAGGTCTGCCAGGCCCTCTAGCACAAGATATTGATGAGATTGATAAATTATTGATAGGAAATTTGCTGGAGGTCTCAGAATTTCATAAAAAACATAGTGTCGCCGGGCGGTGGTGGCGCACGCCTTTAATCCCAGCACTCGGGAGGCAGAGCCAGGCGGATCTCCGTGAGTTCGAGGCCAGCCTGGACTACCAAGTGAGTTCCAGGAAAGGCGCAAAGCTACACAGAGAAACCCTGTCTCGAAAAACCAAAAAAAAAAAAAAAAAAAAAAACATAGTGTCAATAGTAAAGGTTTAAAAAAGGATTTTTCCATAACCTGGCAACAAGCCAAGGAAATTGTAAGGAAAAGATCTAGTAGTTCTTTTTACAATCAAACTCTGCTACTAGTAGGATGTAACCCAAAGGGTACTCAGAGGAATGAAATCTGGCAGATGGATGTGTTTCGCTTTGCAAAATTTGGAAAATGGAAATATGTATGCCATACCATTGATACTTATTCAGGATTTCAATGGGCAACTGCTTTGGGTTCTAAAAAAGCTGATTCTGTAATCATGCATTTCCTAGAAGTTATGGCCATCATGGTTTTACCTGTACAAATTAAAACTGACAATGCTCCAGCATATGTCTCTGTTAAAATTAAAAAGGTTTTTGCTTATTACAATATAAAGCATATTACAGGTATACCACCTAATCCTATAGGCCAAGCAGTCATAGAAAGATCAAATGGAACTCTAAAGGAAATGTTAAATAAATAGAAAGGGGTAACAAAAACCCCCAGAAATAGATTACATAATGCTCTATTAACTTTGAATTTTCTCAGTGGTAATGAGAAAGGAACAACAGCTGCAGAGAGACTTTGGATAATAGAAAAAAACTACAGAATTAAATCAGCTTATATACTTTTTTTAAAATATAAAAACAGATTATAATTCAAAAGTCCAGAGTTATTTGAAACTGGAAAATATTTTCTCTGTAGAAAATACTAAAAATGATAACATTTCCCAATAAGTCCTTTTAAGCCAAATAATAGCTGAATTATAATATAAATATTGATTAGATTCTGGGATGTAAAAGAAACTTATCTTCATCTGCAGAGAACTATGGTTTACTTAAGTTGTGTAATATTCCTATTCATCTTCCCCTTCACTTTTTGATTTATGGCAGACATTTTTGTATAGGCTAATCCATAATCTAAAAAGATTTTAGGGCTGGAGAGATGGCTCAGAGGTTGAGAGCACTGACTGCTCTTCCAGAGGTCCTGAGTTCAACTCCCAGCAACCACATGGTGGCTCACAACCATCTGTAATGAGATCTGGTTTCCTTGTCTGGCCTGCAGACATACATGCAAGCAGAACAGTGTATATATAATAAATATACAAATCTTAAAAAAAAAGATTTTAGCCTCCCCTCCTGAAAGTATAGCCATCATATTCTTTTACCAGCTTGATACCAGCCTATATACTTTAAAGATGTGCTGACCTCAGAATGGAGACCAGGATATTGGGGACAAGGATTTGCTTTTGTTTGTACAGGAGAAGATAGGCTGCAAAATTGATAAAGGTTCAATCTGAACAAGGGAGACCTCTTAATTAGAAGAGGTGATAGTTCATCAACCAGCATGACTATCCAATTTAAAGTAACTTATACCACAAACAAATGTTTTTTATTTAATCAGATATAACTTGCCAAAAGGGAACCTCCCCAAAGTTAGGCTTGGAGAAGGGTTTTTGTTTTTGTCTTTCAGGAGAATGAAGAATAAGGAATCTGAAGAATACTGGACAAATGAGATATCTGAAGAAAAAGGACAAATCATCTAGAAAAATGTCTCAAGAAAAAAAGTAAATTGGCCTATTGGTATACCACATATAAAATTTCATAAGTCTTCCCAAATGTTTGTTTCTTCTCTTCTCTACAGACACTTAACACAAATGGTCTTTTTGTAGTCCCCATTCAATTAAAAATTAAAGCTGACTTTGGAGTTGGAGAATTGCTCTCTCCTCCTTTAAACCTAAGCATGTTTTTAAAAGGAAAATGCAGTATCTCTGTATCATGAAGGAAGAAAGTACCATCTTCTGATATGAGATAGAAGAAAACAAAAAAAAATTAAGGGACTATTCTATGGCCACTAATCTCAATTCTTTGGTTCTATTTTGATTCTTTAAACTTTTCTTAAGGTATGAATTTCATATCAAAATTTATAAGATTAATATATATATATATATTTTTAAACTTTCATTATGATATTAGTGGTCATATAGAGTACTAATTAATTCTAGAAAAAAGGCTTCATTTAGCTGCCTATACATTTTTTTGTGTTCCAGTCTCTATCAGTTTTCTGCAGGGAATCATGATCAGGCCTAATGGCAAATTTGAAGTCTCCAGAAAGATGATGGGGCCCCACAACAACAATTCCACGTGGGCAATAATAATACCACTAAGCTGACAAACATCACCCAAAGATCAGCTTTGGACTACAAACTGCTCAGAACAATTTCAAGACGTATAGCTGAGATGATCCAGCTTCACAGACTACTTGAAGAAGGACTTGAGATAAGCCCTGCACTTTGGCATTATGTAGAGACTGGACAACAAATGATATAGCTACCTTTCCCAGAACTTGACAATTAACCCAAAAATTTTCTTTTCCGGATCCCATAAAGATGCCTTTACCCACAAACAGCAGGTAGCAATTTTAAGAACATGACACCCACATTCCCAAGAGGTGGAGTGGGGAGGGTGGTTTTTGGTCTTTCAGTGGGTTTCAGCTTTGGGATAGTTGTCATTGTTTAGGAGGGTTGGTTACAAGTTTTGTTGTTAATGGTCAGGAAAAGGGCTAAACAAAGGAGACTCAATTTAGGGTTCTTGTTTGAAAAAAAAGGATATAGATAAGAGGTAGATTATTGAGTATTCTGAAAAAAGATACATAGAAATGATAGAATAAAGGGTAGATTATTGAATCTACTCTGAAAAGAAAAAAGAGAGGATATAGGTATGATATAGATAAAAAGGTAGATTATTGAATCTACTTTTAAATGACAACTACTAGTTTTAAATACTTTACATTAGATTGTAAAGTTTTGAGAGAAAGAGAGAGAGATGAATATTATTAGAAAATGCTGTACATATATTTATAATCTTGTTCAGGATATTGTACTTATATAGTTCATTTCACAATGTAATGCAATTTGCTAATCCTTGAATGTTATTAGGATATAAAAAATGAAAGTTAGTAGTTAGACATTACAATTGAACTTGTAGTCATATTATGTATGTTCTCAAGGTAAAGCAGAGATATATTTTAGATAGACAGGTCATTTTCAAACCCTTAAGATATCTACAGAATATGGCATTTAAAATGTTTTTATAACTTAGATTTTTTTCTTTTCTTTTATGATCATGAGACATGTTGGCTCCTGGCAGCACCAATCTACTTCAGAAAATATATGGGCATTGAAGAAAACTGCATATGGAGTTAACTCTCACTATGACTAAAGTTAGTCACTGGGCAACAAAGTGCCCTGGAATCAACTGCTGACACTCTGCTATCCAAAATGGACAGACAGGACACAAAACAAAGGACTACTGATCCTTGCCAAGACAAGTGTGGTTGCGGCTTTAGCAACAGGCATTCTCTGAGGCCAGGACAATATGGCACCATTGCTGGCTTTGCAATCCAGAAAAGGTACAGTGTCCCTTTCTTTGAAGGCAGCTGAACAGGCAGTGGACCAATGGCTTCTGGTGTGCAGTGGAACAGCAGCTGAAACAGTTATTCTTGAAGGAGTAACTAGGATGACAGAGTCTAATCTCTCAATGGTAGACTGGCATTTAAAAAGGAGATGAAGCCATCCACAAGCCGAGAAGAATAGGCAGCCAATTTCCAAAAAACACCAGCAAT